GGTATTCACTGGAAGATACTATTCTTGCTTGCGACCCGTTCAAAGCCGTCACCGTTGATGGGGATGGCTTCACTTTGCTAGAACGGTACGCGTATCACGGCATGAAGAAGCGAATGATGGAGATCTTGAAAGGTCTTCCATCTAATACTTTCCAAAGGTCAAATGACTGTGGATCAAAGCTCTTGATTCTGTGCGCTCAGCAAGACTGGGAGCAAGTTGTCAACGTCCTGGTCTATGAGTTCTCTGCCGATGATACTTCAACAGACTCTGACGGTAGGACTATCGCTCACTGGGCAAGTGAGCTTGGTTGGGTATCATTGTCGTCTCTATTGATCTCCAAGACAAGGGCATGGCTAAACAGAACAGCCCGGGACGGGAAAACAGCTCTTCATATCGCCGCGGAGTACCGGAACTATACTGCCTGCAAAGACTTACTCCAAGCAGGCGCCAGCCATTCTATTCGAGACAAGAGTGGCAAATTGCCGATTCACATCGCTGCTGAACAGGGCCACCGGGAGATAGTGAAGCTGCTACTTGAAAGCCCCATCAAGGACTTGCGAACATGTGAGGTAGATAAGGAAGGGAGAGGTATCCTGCACTATATAGTCATGTGGCATTCCGACAGCTTCATTCGCCAGTGTCTCACCGTCCTTCGACCACAAGTCAGCACTAAGGACAGCAAAGGGAGAATGCCGCTGCACTTTGCCTGCATATTCGGCAACGAGCCTGCTGTTTCTGTTTTGCTAAGTATGGGGCTGGACCCGGATAAAAGAGACGCTTCGTCATTTACGCCATTACACCATGCTCTCATGGAAGGCTCGGTTAAATGCGCACAAACCCTTATTAGACATGGGGCAAGGTACGACTTGAACGACAAGTTCGATAGGAATATTGTCCTTTTGGCCCTTCGAAGCGAGAACACTAGCACGGTCGAGAGTCTGGTCCACTTTCTTCAGTCCAAGTACTCACCGTCAGAGATTGCCCGAGAAGCTGGCCACGTGGACCGGTTCGGACGCGCCGCCTTTCACTATCTATGTCACTGGGTAGATCCTAACAAGAGTGACGATGACGATGAATTGGATGAAGTTGTCGAAGAACTTAATGATGACCAGGACATCGACCCAGCTGAGACCCAGCAAGTCTTGTCGCCGGCCGAGTGGCTCATCAAGGCATTCGCTGCAATTGGTGTGGATATCAATACGAGAGATTACCACAAGCATACACCTCTTCATGCTTCGGGAAGGGCAGGGAACTTGGCTGCAGCTAGAGCTCTGTTGCGCGTGCCCGGAATCGAAGTGTCTCCCAAAGACGAGGATGGCTTCACCCCTTTGGACTGGGCATCAGTCAATGGTTACGGCGAGATTGCTGCAGCGATAGAAGCACATGGGGGAGTACACTCTTCTGATTGGGCTTTGAAGCTCAAACCTATGTATCGATCATGGCAGTCTGGCTTTGACGAGGATGATGAGATTGAAGAGGATGCTGGACAGCTGATGACGCGGAGCTAGTAACTAGTTGGACAGAGTATTTAGTACTGTCAAATAGAAGTAAAACTGTGTGTGTCTGTAAGAGTTACGCTACCTCAGTTTTCTTTCTATAACTCACTTATAAACTTCTTATACTGCTAGTTAAGTATACTCGTGTGCAGCCCAGCGAGCCTCATGCGTTTGCCTTGCTTAGTCATGCGTATATCTCCAAAGAAGTGCCACGTCAGCGCAAGCGGGGAATACTTCTAACAACTACAAGCGTCTCATCAATGGCAGCCTCTGATAATTCCCCATACCAATTTGCAAAGCTTTGCAAGCGCTGCGCATGCTTACAGCTGAGAAGCACAACGCTAGATGACATCCAACCCAGAAACCCATCGGTTGGAGAACGGAGCCAGGAACAAGAAGTTGATCTGGATTGGAATGTGACAAACTACCTGTCTATCGCCTTTCATCCAGGGGGAGACAAATGCGATGCCTGCGAGTTTCTTCGTCGCGTTGTGAAAGGGTGGCGAGTATACGATGAGTCAGTGAGGGCACTCGAAATAAAACGTGTTCCCGTGTCGCTGCACTATGTGTTTACCCTCGGCGAAGCCGACCAGTATGGCTTAAAGGCTCTACGGATCAGATTAAGACCCGGTATATACCAAAGACCGATCGACACACGTGCAATGGCTGACAAGAAACGACATAGACGGCAAGGAATTCCATATTGACTGCCCTGTCACGGCAGCTACCGATCTTGATATGGGCACGCCTCTGAGGCTTCAGCCGCATTTGTCTCATATCAATGAAGAGAGCATATTGTGGATGAAGTCTAAGCTGGAGTCGTGTGTATCACACAACCACTTTAACCCCGACAAAACCTTCATTCCCGATCGGCTTCTTGATGTCAGAGAAAACCGGCTGAGCCTAGTCCTTACCAAGGATTTGCAACCTCGAGACGCCGAAAGCCATCGATATGTTGCCCTTACGTACTGTTGGGGTTCAGAGCCTCACGCAAGTAAGCAGCTTAAGACAACCAGAGACAATATCTCCCAGCATCAGCGGCAAATCCCAGAATTCTCTCTGCCACAGGTTATTAAGGACGCTGTATCTGTGACCAGAGCGTTATCGGTCCCATTCCTTTGGGTCGATGCATTGTGTATTCTCCAAGACGACGTATCTGACTGGGAGAATCAATGTGCCGTGATGGAACGAATCTATGGCAACGCCTACGCGGCAGTTGCTGCTACATTCTCCGACAACTGCGAGCAAGGATTTCTCAAAAAGACGGAAAGAATCCTCGTTCCTTTTCGAACTCACTCTGATAGCACTTATGCCTTTGCCATATATTCCCCTCCCTACTTGATCAACGACGCAAACGAAGTGTCCGACAGCCCTTGGGCTCGGAGAGGCTGGACGTTCCAGGAACGCATCTCATCAACTCGCATCCTCATGTTTTCAAAAGGAAACATCTACGTAAAATGCAAATACTTCAACGAATCGACGGGAGGCCACAGAGTCACACATGAAGAGTATTATATCATGCTTGACCGCGTGACAATCGATTCGGGTAGCACAGCAGCCATTTATCAAGAATGGAGCGAAATAATAGCTCAAATCCACCCTAGGCGCCATCAGCTTACGCGGAAAACAGACTTCCTTCCTTCGATCGCTGGTATCGCATCGCTATTCAGTAAAAGGTTGAACGATGACTATGCAGCTGGTCTCTGGAAAAATAATATGCATCAGTCGCTCTGCTGGGCTGCGGGCGAAGTAGACAAGCCTAGTCACCAAGATCTACTGCAGCGACTAAGAGCTCCCTCCCCATATATCGCACCTTCTTGGAGCTGGGCTAGTCGACGTGAAGATTTTTCGTTCCTTCTATACCGTCCAGATCTTTCAGCTGGCTGCCGACCAGAGTTCCATAGCCTAGACACAGCTATCGTGTTGCGTGGAGAGTCAGCCTTTGGCGAAGTAAGGCATGCGGCACTTGATATTACCTCCAGGTTGTACGTGGGATCGCCGAGGCTAGCATTGCAAAAAGTAATTCGACTATTCGGGGAACCAGACACTGTTACATTTGACGGGCGATACTTTGCAGATATTCATCCTGATTGTTTTGTTCAAAGTTTCTTCGGCCGAACGGAGGGCTTTACTCTCCAGGCGCCCATTAGTTTCCTGTTGATAGGTACTACCATTCCACGCGAAACAGATACAGGGGATATCTCATTAAGATATTCTAAAAGCTTCAAGACTGTTGGTGATGAAGTCGTTGCTGAGGTGGTCTCTGAGGTGCCCAACACCTCATCTAGGAGTGCTGAAAGTGATGCTGGTTTGGAGACGGAGACCAGATCAAAAAGGGTGGCTTATGGCCTGTTGATTCACCCAACGGGAAATCCGAACGAATACTATCGAGTGGGAACATTCTTTTCGAAGCCTCATTCAGCTGGGGGTCTGTCGTTCTTCGATAACGTCGAAGTTAAAACAGTGAGGCTGGTATAAGGATTGATTACAACCTGTATCAAGCATCTATTCAAGGTATGTGGATGGCTCAAAAAGCTCGTGAAGCTGGCTTACCAGGCCCAGGCTGTGTTGCGTGTATCTACGATATGTCATTCCTTTTATATTTCAGAATTGGATCTACGTACAAATTCGAATATGTTTTCTTTACGGCACTGTATTCATTGGGAGGATGCAAATACTCGAGACCTTTATCTCTCTGCTACCTTTACACACTTAAACATGCTTCCCAACTGGAAAATCAATACTGATGATGAAAACGACAGCGACCGGCTCCTAAGAGCTATCCATAAGGCCGCGTGCTTGAATCTTGACATCGTTCTGTGCGACGAGCCGCTCTCATCGCACCTTATCGAGAGAACAAAGAACCATGACTCTCAGAGAAAAACCGTATTTTGTCTAACCTTAAAGGGTTCATAGGCGCGTACGTCAACGGCCTCTTAGCGAGGTCGCCAGAATGGATACTAATGTTGCCGACATCGAGAATCCGCTATATGATGGCGTCGGATCGGGATGCCGACACAGCCGGAACATGGCCGGATTTACCGCTCTCTTCAATAAGATGAGCCAGTGAGCTTAACACTGCCGTGCAATATTCTCAAATGTAACCAGAAGAAGAAGACAATAGACATATTTACGCACTTACATAAACCTAAAGTCATTACTATACCATTAGCAAGGTAAAGTATACATTTATCTACCCTTAACTCACTCTATAACTTATATAAAGAAGCTGATACACTGAGTTCATTCCCACTCACTGAATGGCTTTATAGTGGTTCGAAGCTTGGCTAGGGAGTATGCGCCAAGTATCAATGTGGACAAAATACAATCTGGTAGTCATTACTGGTCGGATGATATCCAATGATTTATTTTTCACTTGCATGCGTCTGAAAACCTTCCAGTGTGGCTGTATTAAGCAAGATAAGATCGGCCTGATTTCCAAGGAAGAGAAGCGGGGTTGACAGTGAATTGGTCGGCCTCCTGCAGGCCAGCCCAACGTCAACCATGATTCAAAACGAGAGGCTCACCTCCTCACAGAAGAGCCAGCGCCTAAACTCGTTTTTTCTTTGCAAATCCCAGAAAAGATATTGTCAAGACAGAATAACCAGAACTCAACCTCGTTGCTTCTCCGTAGGTCAGTATTCTTTTAACTCTTTCGAAGACAAGACGCTAAAGGATAAAGGCAAGAAAATGGATTACCATACCCCAGGCTCTAAGCCTGTTTCCACTCAGCACGACCCTCCGAAAACACCTCCCAGCAAAAAGCCATCGGCGTATGTCTTCGACTCGAACGGCGATACTCGGATCATTCTTAGCACATACAGGGCCCAGAGCTTCAAATGGGAGACTGATAAAATCTGGATAGAGAAAGAAAAGCCCACGAAGGAAATGTGCAAAAACAAGAAGCGGAAAAAGAAGAAAGGGAAGAAAGTTGAGTCCCCCCTGTCGACTACGCCACCAGCGCCCCAAGAGTCTCCTGTTACAACCTCAACATCGCCAAGAGGTACTACCAATGCACCTCCATTAGACTGGGGCAGGGCCGATTTCTCAGACTTTAGTAATGTAAGTTATTGTCGTCCAGAATTTTCAGATAGCGACGAAGTGGATCCGGGTTGTACCAACCCTGGAACGAATCCCGACAACACAAGCCTTCAGATACAGGACTGGGACTATGGAGAAACATGCGTACCTCACCTTAAGAAGATGGAGTTTCGAATGCTAGTCTCCGGAAAACACCTAGAGCTAGCTTCACCTATCTTCAAAACAATGGTTACTGGTCCTTTTTCAGAGGGAAAGGCCGATTCATCAGGTTTTCGCCTGATAACAGCGAGCGACTGGGATCCTGAAGCTTTCAAGATCATCCTGAATATTATGCATGGATATAATCGAGATGTCCCAAGATCGCTCAGCCTTGAAATGCTTGTAAAGGTGGCAATGATTGTGAATTATTACGACTGCCTTGAGAGTGTCGAGTTATACACGGACATTTGGCTTGAAGGTTTCAGGTCAGAGGTACCGAGGGTTTATGGGAGAGACAGCATTCTTTGCCTGTTCATATCATGGGCTTTCTCAAGACCAGTTATGTTTCGGAATATGACTGAGCTAGCATTGAGGCACAGTCAGAAGTTAATCGAAGCCGAAGATTTCCCCATTCCAGCCGATATTCTGGGTAAATTCCAATAGAAACTCAGTATGACGGCCTGTGCTGACGCAAACTGCAGATGAGATCAATATAGCACGTCAAAGCGCTCTCGCCGAAATCTTCTCAGGAATTTACGAGCTCCTTGATCGTCTAAAAGAAGAACAAGAGTGTTCTTTTGAATGCTCATCCATGCTCCTGGGTGTCCTAACGAAGGAACTCAGTAAACATGGGATTCTACACCCGCGGAACGCCCCGCCGTTCGATGGTTTCAGTATTGAAGGGCTTAAAGAGGTAATCAACGGTTTGAAAAGGCCTAACTGGTATGGCACCACGAATTACAGCCATTACGGCCATTATAGCCATAACTGTTGTATCCAAGACAAACTATCCAACTCTTTGGCAAAGGTTGAAAGCGATCTGCGTGGCTTTGACCTTCAGGAATTTCAGGCTACGAAGAATCAACCACATGTCTAGAAATGTTGTTACGTTTTGGATTTGGGGGAGGTGGAACAAGGCTTCTCTATGGTCTTTAAAATTGCGATAAAAGGGCACTGGTGAGTAGCTGGCAGCAAACGAGTAGTAACCGATATGTATACTTTGGATAGTATCTTGCATGATCTTGAGGGTGAATTAAGAATATGGCATTTCTATTCATTATCTGACGTCAACCAATATTGATTGGTGACGCTTTTGTGGACGCCGCCTCGGTGTACATAAGGAGTGACTTCCAGGCGTGCGAGACCGAACAGCCGGAAAGTGTTGAAAGAGCATTTTATCTTTCTGTAGTGAGATAGCTAGAGCACTGCTCTATCTAGCAAAGCCTATTCAATATCGACAACACTTAACACTACTGTGATAAACTCTCGTACTAAGGGAATATAAAGGGAATATAAAGGTTTTTAAATATCAAATAAACTATTGTTCACTTATCTACCTCGATTCTATACTAGCAGACCAGAAAGTAAGCCTTAAGAAATATGTATTATATTAATCCATGACTTGTAACTTAGAATATGTTGTCGAAAACTTCGTACATTTTTTGATATACTTTAGAAACTAGATCAAGACTCTATATTAAAGTTATCTCGCTAACGTTGTTTAAGCGTTGATCATCCAGTATAGAGTCACCTTGGCCCTTGTACTGCAACAGCCCATACCGGCAATAAACCCCCTCTCCTTCACTAGGCACCTCATGCACTAATAATCCCATAACAAACAATGGCATACTAACTGATTGGCCTACAGGCATCCATAATACGCTATAGCCTTCTCCCCAATCCGCATCATCGTAGTGTTCAGCTCGAGACATATCACGCATAACTGGACGATTTGAGTCCAAATAATACCAACATTCGAACTTCGCCGTATCACCTGAGCCACTAGTCTTTATGTACCCAACATCATTCCTCCCAATCTCTAGTTGAATGATGGGCGCTCTAATGTAAAGTCTAGCGGTATTGCCCTCCACCATGCTTATAGCCCCAGGATGCGTAGGGAAGCGTGAAGGCCGTTTGGGGTGGTCATCCCGTATGTATACCGGAGTCTGATGGATCCTCATGAATTCAACGGGACAACTCGATGCCCAGCACCATGATGGTAGCTGGGCGTTGTCTGGTCTCCTACATGCCTCATGCGAGCTGGACCAATGATACCATAGAAGGCCCTGTGCGATACTTCTCCGGAAGAGGCCGTTAAAATATTCAGCATTCAAACGTCGAATGAGTATAGACGCAAGGCCATGAATGGCGTACAAACGATCCGTCTCATACGTCAGCTTTGTCTTTGAGAAATCAGTGACAAGCTGATACCACCCCCTTGAGAAAAGTATCTCTTTATTAGGCATCACCATGACTTCTCTCGGTGAAAGGAATTTGTCATGGGACACGTCTATCAGTGGGCCCTTATATTCCCACGGATCCTTTCTACCCTCGAGGAAAAGCGTACTCTGACATTCGAGAAATACTCCTCGGAGGGTCCAGTGAAGTATCCGCTTTGCTAGTGCCGCCTCTTGCAAGCACCATCCGCGTTCCGTCAGCGGTGACTTAAGGAGGGGTCTCTTCCCACCTGGTTTGTTGTGATTCGATTTGAATATGGAGTATCCTGGCTCTTCACGTCTGGCGATCTTGATCGCGATGTCCTCTATAGGAAATCTTGCAAGCGGGCGTTCCGTCAAAAAGCCCTGTTGGCTATCAGTCGCAATCGATGCAGAGATACAACACTCGGCATTCGAGTAGTAATCTCCCATTCTGGTCGACTCTGAATGAAAATCACCACTTGGTCCTTGGATAATACATATTGCATCCACCCATAGGTATCGATACCCCATCATTCTTGTCAGAAGGATGGCATCTCGGATGGTCTTGGGAAGGTCCGGCACAGAAAAACCACGAAGCCGTGCGGCGAGATTATTTTCTGTAGTTTTGGAACTTTCGTTGCCTCTTCCCCAACAGTAGCTGAGGATAAGGTAGGGAGAGTCTTGGATGTAATTGCAGCTCTTGACATCGACGAGTTTGACCAGGGAATCATTCCCCTTGCCAACATCAACTAGTCGTGTTGGTAGACCTGAGGTGTTATCTTTCGGTCCGCAGTCTTCGTGATCTGCGAGCCTTGAGCAACAGCTCTTTATCCAAGGCTGAATCTGATGCTCAACGAGATCAGCTACTTCGTGTTGGATGTTTTCCTCGGCGAAGTCTAGAATGGGCAGATATCAGTATTGTACAACTTTAGTACGCATTTGGCACAACCTTTGATGTAACGTGTCTTGAATTTTCCCGCCACCTCAACCTCACTACACTCAAAAGGTTCAAACCTAATTCCCGTAGCGCCAGAGAGTACTCGACCCTTCTGGAGCACGATCGGGTCTAGTGTCAGGACCCCTTCGATCATGGTAATTCGTAACTCAACTGATCCCTTCGTAAATTCTTCTGACTCCAAAACCTCTTTGGTTACTACACAGTCGTTGACTATCAATAACCAAATAAAGCGACATAACACACAACCTTCATCGGCTGATTTTTGGACGGACGAGAATGTTTCGTTAAAGGTCAGACTTTCAACAAGGAATCTCTTGGTGCTGAGTCCCGATGGCCACGGAAAGGATGCGCAGCTGCTGCAAAGTCGCAGAGAGGGATGTATGATAGCAACGACGCTAGCGTCGTCAGATTGAGGTGAACTGTTGCTATCTACCATTGTAGTGGTGAGAAGCGGCCGATGATGAATGCTGCTTGATTGAAAAATGTAGTCGTCAAGCTTGATATATGGACATCAGCTTTCAGACTCCAGGTAAGTCCAGCTGCGAATGTACGGAGAAGGATAATTTAATACCAGGTAACTTCACGAATTACATTAAGATGAAGTGAATAAATCATTTGGATCATTTTCTGAGTGTATCCGATATGGCAGTGCAAAGTCAACCCCGCAATGGCTCACGGGTCAGGCTTTCTCTTCATATCAACCAATAAGAACATGATTTTCCCGACTCACGGCCACCAGGTAGGCGTTCTAGTCCCGACTCAGCCTCATCTTACGCCACTGCAGTTTAGACCAGGCTAATCTCAAGGCATATTCCTAAGAGCTTCCATTTCCTGACTTTGTGTTTGCACAGGGACTAACGCCTCTGCCTCTTCTGTCCCAGCAAAGGCCTCAACACTAACGTAATGCTTATTGGTCCGCCGCTGGTTTACGTACAAGCCATTCTCTGACAACCAATGTTAGCCTCTGGCCTTTCTCAGTAATTTCCAAAGAGAGCAGGTAAAACTCACTGAAAAGAATAACAATTGCTTCTTCCATAACAGGAACCCAAGTCGCGAGCGCCAAAATCTGTCCAAACCCCCAAGAGCCCTCCGAATCCTGCACTCCCCCGCCATTTACACTCGCAATATCCGCCCTCAGTGTGAAAAGACTCCCAAGGGCAGTCCACATGAAGATGAAAAAGAAGACAGAGCTCAAAATCCAAGGTACACGAAAGAAGAGCCAGCCTAGCACGGGTACTTGTTCCGCTGAGATCTTGGCGTACTTTCCAACAAGGTATGTCAAACCGGCGAGCATAGCAGTGACAGCAGGAAGAAAGTGAAAGGCGAGTATCGTACTAATGGCTTTGAGCGATGCCTTTGAGTCCCAGCAATTTGCCTCAAAAGGCACTCTTCCATGCAATCTAGCTGCAGTTTCAGCAGTAGAACTAAAGCTCGTCATTACTGTAAAGAGCATCCCTATAACAACCCCCATCAAGCAACCAGAAATGGACTTGCGCTCAATGTCGAGATAAATTGGAAGAGTGAGAAAGTCAGACGCTGACAAAACAGCACAGGCGAGTCGTGACATGTTAATGTCGTACACGCTCTCCTTCCGACCGCAGATGACAAGAGTAGCGAGTAGGACTGAAGCTGTCAAAAGGCCTAAGGCAGTGTGGAACGCGCCGAGGCTGTTATAAAACATACTGCGAATGCTATTCCAGAAACCCTGTTCCTTCGATGGTGTTCGGGTTTTGAAGGTAGTGTAATCGCTCTCGACATACATACTGCTCAAGGACGATGCCACGTAAAGAGTGGCGAGAATAGCACCCATCAGGTAAACCAACATCATCTACCAATATCAGAATCAGTCTCACATCTTACGAAACAGCCTTACCCCAATGCCAACAATGTCAGCATTGCCATCCCACTCCCAAACCTCACACATTTCGTCTTTGCATATACTCATAGGCTTATAGATCAACCATTCGTTCATCTCCCTATTAGCGCACTCCTTTGCGCAGAAGAACCAGTTCATCGCTTTCCACTCAGGAACGTCTGTCCCGCCAAAGGACTGGAGGTAGGTCACGAGGCCTGTCATGTTGACGGTTTTGTGGTCGACCCATGGTACCAAGAATACAGCAGCTGCTTTGCAGTTCGTCCAGGGTTGGTAGTTCTTAATACTGATGTCTATGCCTTTGCATGAGAAGGCGCATATGTCAAGCGTGGCCATGGCAATTAGGACAGTGGTAGGAAAAGCTGATAATTGGCGACGGTCTGACTGCGAGGCAATGAGGAGCCTTACTGTGATCCGTTGCACTGGTCAGTCGGGAACTAGTGATAGATATACACGCTGATAAGCTACTATCCCTCATTATTCTAAACCTCCTTTTTAAAACGGAGCTGATCGCTTTTAAAAGCGAGGTGAAGCGCAGCCTCGTGATAGACAGGGTAGAGTTGTAGGAAGTGGCTGGAAACTATTGGCGCCACCATGCACGTTCTATCTATTCTGTCCTTGTGACTTGAACAATCCCTTGCACGGCTGAGAATAAGAATCAGACGGAACAGGACCAGGAACGCTCTAGAATATCAGATTCTAGCATAACAGTATCCTGAGCATCTATGCCATTAATGTTGGTGGGGGACAATGAGGCTTTGTTAGATAACTTTACTGGTGACGTATTGCCGCAGTCTGAATGAGTGTCTGGCCAAGATGCGAAATTTACATAACTTAAGAACAGCTTTAATTGTATAAGATCAATGCTGCAAGAGTCGGAGAGTGCATCACGAAACTTGGCTTTTTCATTTAGGGTAACTCGTTGTCTCATCTTCAGGTACTGCCATCTTCTTAAGAGATGTCTTATCTTAAGATTGGGATTCATTTCAATTGGCCAGATCTAAGGCTCTTATCTTATCGGGTTTATCGCTCTTATCACTTAACTCTCCGCCGAGGCCGCTCTTCAGCCGAAGTAACCGACAGCACCAACAACGGAATACTCGGAACCATTTCCGTTCCGCACCCCGCGTTAGCCCCGGCATCCAGCCCCGCTAAGTCGGCTTGCGGCGGCTCCATCACCAGCTTGTAATACAAGATAAAACTGACATCAACATCTACAACCCTACACAAATCTCCTCATCTCACTATCCTCACTCAAAAATGTCGTGGCTATCTATCCCCGCCGAGTCTCACTTCTCCATCGCCAACATCCCCTTTGGCATCATCTCTACTTCGTCAAATGCTACGCCTCGACCTGCTGTCGCAATTGGCGATCATGTTTTAGACCTTGATGCTTTTGCGAAGGGTGATGGATTCTCGGGAAGTTCTGAGATCCAGAAGCACGTTGATGTGTTCTCTCAATCATCGCTTAATGCCTTTGCTGCTCTTGGCCGTCCATTTCATCGCGTGACGAGGAGTTATCTTCAGGATGTCTTTGCGAAAGACACCAAGAATCCAGTGTTGAAGGATAACCAGAAACTTCAAGACGCAGCTCTTCTGAAGCGCTCTGATGTCAAGAACCATCTCCCCTTGACCATCGGAGACTACACAGACTTCTACGCCGGCAAGAATCACGCTTTCAACGTCGGCTGTCTCTTCCGCGGTCCCGACAACGCTCTTCAACCCAACTACACCCATCTCCCCGTCGCTTACCACGGAAGAGCCAGTAGTGTTGTCGTATCAGGCACTCCAATCCGAAGACCCTGGGGACAAATCCTCCGCCCTGGCAACAAGGTTCCTGACCTCGCGCCGTGTGAGAGGCTCGACATTGAGGTCGAGATGGGCATGTTTATCTGCCGCGAGAACGAGATGGGAAGCCCTGTTCCTATTGATGAGGCCGATGAGCACATCTTTGGTTATGTCCTCATGAATGACTGGAGCGCCCGAGATATCCAGGCTTGGGAATATGTGCCTCTTGGTCCTTTCACGGCTAAGAACTTGGGTACGAGTATTAGTGCTTGGGTCGTGCTGGCTGATGCTCTTGAGGGGGCCAAGGCAGCTGGTATCAAGAACGATAATGAGATTCTACCTTACTTGAAGGAAAAGAAGGAGAACAATGTCTTGGATATTGACCTCGAGGTCGAAATCATCAGTAAGTCTTCCAATTCTATTAAGTGGACATGACTAACCAAGTGCAGCCGCCGCTGGTAACAAGAACCATCTCAGCAAGACAACCTCGCGCAACCTGCTGTGGTCATGGCCTCAGATGATCGCCCATCACACCATCACAGGCTGCAACCTTCGACCTGGTGATCTTCTTGGATCAGGCACCATCTCCGGCACCGAGTCTGGTACCGAGGGTAGTATGCTGGAACAGACCAAGGGTGGCAAGGTTCCCATCCAATTGAAGGATGGAGAGGAGCGCAAGTTCATCCAGAATGGCGATACCCTCATCATTCGTGGTGCTTATGGCAGTGGCGATCAGAAGGTTGGCTTTGGTGAGGTGTCGGGACAGATCCTTGAGCCTCTTCCTCTGTTCAAATGAGGCAAACTCGTGAACGTATCGGTAGTATGAAAAGCTAAACATTATTACTTGCGTTGCTTCGCTTGCATGTTTATAAATATTCTATCCTTAGCTTCACACGCCAGTGGTAGTAATATATTTTAGATAAAATAAAACAAATAAATAACATATTATTTCTATTGGTATTATAATCTGAGCTACGTTAATACGTTACAGGATTAAGGGCTGTATTAATGTACTAAGAGATAACTTATTCCATGTCTGAGCCATTGCCTCGTAGGAGTCCATTCGGCGTTCTGGACCTAGCACGGTGGCGCTGCTGACCTTAGGGCGATTAGTTACCGAAGTGAGCCATTTCTGCTTAGCCCTCAAGGGCAATTGAATGAAAGGCTAACAAGGAGCGCTAGAATCCGGAATTGACGAAATGATGACTGAAATTCTATATTTGCTTAAGTCTGCAAATAGTCTATCAGCAAATGTCAATAGCGTCATCAACGCGGGATCGAGAACTGAGATCCTCGTTCAAGGTTCGCTTGACGAGCATACTGGGGAACCGTATGCGATGCGTGGTGGCGGACGTTGTTTTACGTCGCAACTTGGAGATCTGATATTGACCTGGCGCAGAAGCTCATTAATCATGGAGTGTCGCCGAAGCAAGACGAACACGGATCCTCACCTTTGTATCATGCGGCCATCGAAGACTGCAAAGATCTCGTTCAATTCCTGCTCGATCACGGCGCCGACTCGGCGTGGAAACACTGCGGCACATGCAGCCGCTATCTCGGGCAAGGCCGCCAACCTGTTCATTCCCCCTAGTCACGGAATTGATGTGAACGCAGTCAATGAGGCGGGCCAGAGCCGGTATTTGACAAAACGGGACCCAGAATTGTCTTGGTAGCTGCCTCGGCATTGAAATCAACAGATACCGTTGAGGTATCAGAGAATGCTGCTGTAAGATTCGTAGGTACCGTAGACACATCAACCATTGAACCTGGGTGCAGGCTTTTAAGCTTGTTATTGAGAGTCCAACCCCCTGGATGCTTTTGTGGTGTCCTAAGGAAGAGGACTTCTTACCAAGCCAGGTACAAAGAGAATGAAATACAAATTAAATACATGTAGAGAAAGTATGCATCATGATTCGAGTAGTGCATCGATGTCCAGCTCAGTATGCATCCGCTTCTTCGAAAACACTTTACCGCAATCTCCCGAGGTTAAGCCAATACCAAACGCATCGATGGTATGGACGTAGCTATCCTCCGTCTTCCAATTGTACTTGTAGATCAAGTGGACCAAGAGAAGCTTGGCTTCGTTTGAAGCAAAGAACCTTCCTGGACATGCATGGCGACCATGTCCAAAACCCAAGTGTACTGAAGATGTGCTTACAAGATGAGCTTTGCTCTCCATCTCTGGATCAGACCGCATGCGCAAGAACCTATATCCATCGAAGGTTTCAGGATTAGGGTAAATGTTGGGGTCGTACATCGAACCAAGGTCAGACATGCACCGATCGCCTTTGTCGAGCACTAATTGCCCCGGTAGAGTGACGCGATCTATGGCTTTTCGATTCATGATTGCTTACATGTGTTAGCTGGGAAATGTTTGCCGAAATGGCTTGGCTGCTCACCAGCTGTTATAGGCTTTAATCTCTGGGCTTCTTTGATCACGCTATCGAGCAGTTTCATATTGAACAAAGCTTTCTTCGACCATCCTTCCTTGTTAAGGACCTCGACAATTTCCTCACGAACATCTTGAACTAGCTCTGGCCTTTGGATCAAGCGGAGCATGGTCTCTGTTATAAGGTCAGAGGTAGTATTGATGGCCACAACTGAGAGTGATAGCTGAGCGGCCACAGGATCATATGGCTTCCCATGGCTCTCGTCAGCGAACCACTGGATTGCATCATTGTATGAAGGTGCAGGTTTGCCTTTTGCCATCGCTTCCTGGAGCTCTCGCTCTCGCTTCTCAAGCAGCGGTGCTAGTAAAGTATGCCCTTCAGTCACTTGGGTCCTGAGTAGCTGACATTGTGGGATTAAACGGCACGCAATCGGTCTTGACCACTTTGGGTACTGACGGAGTAAGTCTGCAGCCAAGAATGAGTTCATACTGTACGATTTTGTGATCTCGAGCCATTTGACGTTCCGACAAAGCTCATTACCGAGGAACACACGAGATGACAAGCGAGCGACGAGATCCAGCATTGCCTCTTTGAAGTCAAGTTCTTTCCATTCTGAACAGTTCAGTAAGCAGTCCGTATCAAGCTCAGAGTTTGGTCTTACCAGGGGAAGTTCCAAGAACAAGTTTTGTGGCGAAGTCTGCCTCGGCAGATAGAGGAGCAGTGACATGATCTTGAATATGTTAGTCCCAGAAATATTAAGGAATGCAAAGTCAACTACTGAGAAGTTTGGTTATCCTCTTGTTGATAGTCCTGATGAGAAGGTCATCAGGACGGTCGTTGAAGGCAAATCCATCGAATCCAGGAATACCGGAATGGAAGTTATCAGAGAAGAACGCGAGGAAGTCAAGAGCAGGCTCATTGCGGGTCTCGTCAATGTAATGAGATGGAAGGACAATTAACTCATCGACATCCGTAAACATTCTGTACGGCTTTCCTGGATACAACTCACGGCCTTTGGCTAGTAACTCTCGGGCATTCATTGCAAAATGCCACCTTGCCCTTTTCCCCAGCAGGTCAAACTTGCCAGGGGGATTAAGATAGGGGAGGTTATCATGTCTACCTGGCAGCTTATAGTAAATAAGCAGCACAGAAAACAGTAAGATGGAAGAGAGAAAAGCCAGCTGCTGTAGCTCCAGCGACTGCAATCGCGGGAGTGCTGAGTCAATCATGTTGAAGTGGCAAAGCGAAATGACGGTGGGTATGGTAAATCGGGAAAATTGCAAGGTATTGTCTTGTCAATTCGTTGGTAGTCATGGCTTACGCATGCCCTTTACTTATAATATTATTAAGACTTGCGAATCGTGAAACAATCAATATTAAAGACCCCATTGGTCAGTGTCTGTTACTAAGAGGGCTACCGTGTAAGGAAAGGGTGGTTTCCAAATACGGTAGTTTTCAAGCCCCGCACTAAGCCAATATCAGAAAAATATCGAGTGGCGAAGTGGGAGAGTGGGAGCGGGGGAGGCATACGTAGATCATGGCATCACTCACGGAACCACCGGCGCTGGAGCCGCGCCCTGCCTAGAACGCGGGTTAGTTTGCTGCTGTCTTGGGTAGCCTAGGATGTGGGATGGTGATTATGTGAGGCGGTAAGCTTGAGATCGTACCTTGTCACAATCAAGGCTGTCATAAACCGGAGACCCTAAAAGTTTTGTAGACCCAAATGTCTAGCTAGCTTCACCCTACGTGAAGAAACGACAATAGGACAGATTTTCTCAGACCACAATCACTCAATCTGCAATTCTCTTCATCATGTCGACCGTTTTGAAGCATCATCTGCTGGGTTCCATCACTGGCATTAAGGACCAGATTGTGGCCCAGTATCGTGGGATCAAATATGGCAAATTGGAAAATGCATTCGCAGAGGCTGTCATTTTCACAAACGAGGAGCGCAAGGACATAGATGCTACTGAATTTGGGTATGCCTTCTCGCCTGGATATCTTCCAAAACTGGTGAGAAGGAAATGAATTGACAAAATGATTTTATAGTCCCCCAACGATATCACCACCAGCTTGTGGAGTCGAACAAGCCATGATGCAACAGCCTTTACCTTACAAGGACATAAGTCCATCCCTCACGGACTGCCTGAACCTCAACATCACAGTTCCAGAGATTGGAAAAAACAGCCTTCCCGTCTTTGTCTTCCTTCATGGAGGAGGGTATGCTATAGGTGCCAATTCCTGGCCGCAAACAGATCTGGTGAATTTCGTCAAGTTCTCAGCCTCACAGGACTCGCCTATTATTGGTGTTAGCATCAAGTGCGTACAAATTTCGGCATTGACAGTGCTGGTTTATCGAAGCTGACTGCTGCGTCAAGTTACCGGCTGGGGGCTCCAGGATTTCTTGCCTCTGATGAATTGACTCAAGCCGGTTGCCCAACCAATCGTGGCCTACGCGACCAGCAGCTTGCATTTGGATGGGTAAAGAAGTATATATCAGGTTTCGGGGGCGACCCAGACGACGTGACTGTTATCGGGTCGAGTGCAGGTGGAAGTACGCAAATATCGCCTTCTTTATCGAGTTCATATCTGACATAGTACACAGATGCTGCCTTGCTCCATCTTGAGTCGTCTGAGCCGCTGTTTTCAAGGCTTATCAGCCTTGCTGGCACACCACTTGGACTTCAGCCAGTCCCTCCTGAAGTTGCAGACTCCACATACCAAGCCGTCTTGAAGCACCTGAACATCAACGGTTCTTCAGCTCAAGAGAGGATAAACGCATTACTCCTGGTACCCCCGCAAGATCTCTTTCAGAAGATACCCCCTCACCTTCCACTCTGCCCAGTGGTCGATGGTGATGTCGTGAAGCATTTCAGCACCTTCAAGTTCTGGAGTGTTGAAGCGAAAGACAAACTCCCAGGGGCTAAGTGGTGCCAGAGTATTATGATTGGAGATGCACAGAATGATGTAGGTCTACTTCCTTGCCAGATACACTGGGACTTAAGAGATGCTAATGGATTGTCGAAGGCAAGTGTTCTGCCTTCCATCCTCGGTCAGCGCATGGAAAACCTGGTTCCAAGCTTTGTAGCCAGCGTTGAGGAGTTCTTTAAGGATGAACCACAATTCGTGGAACAATTGTCCAAGGCATATGACATCCGCGATCCTGACCATCAAAAGGCCACAGCTGCTATAATGGATTTTCTGGGCGACTTGTTCTTCTTTGCGCCTCCGGTGGAGATAGCAGATGGCTTCCCAGGCAAAAAGTATGTCTATCGTTTTAACGTCCCCAATCCATGGGACGGTCCCTGCAAATCGACAGCGAACCATGCTTTCGACGTGGCATCTTTTCTCTTAAACTATCGTGCAAAGCTCCCCAAAGAACAACTAGACTCGAGTGTTATAATGGCTACTGACTTCATCAACTTTATTCATGGGAGGGAGCCATATCCTGAATATACCCCTGGAAAAGGAGGGATCAGGGTCTATGGACCCCCGGCTGATATTTACTCGTTTGAACCGTCTCTTGATGGTGATGCAACTGGCCGTCGTGTCCACGTGCTAAAACTGGGATTGAAGATTGGTTTGGACAGATTCACAAGATGGTGGCATAGCTTTTTAGCTTCTGAGTAGATTCATATTATAGAATTCAGTTTCAGTCTCCAGAGTAAGTTGAAAAGCCAGTTTATCGTTACATAATGATATGAATGTACAAGATTCAAAATTCTCCCGTACAAATTAGGATCATTAGTTGAATTAAATCTTTGTTGCTGGAACTGAGTTTGTCGAGTCACCCCAGAAGTCAGCCAGCAATATGGTTTCCATCTCAACAGCTCAGCTTATTATCCGAAAATAAAAACCCAGTCTCAGATCGTTACGTTTCAAACATGGTGGCTAATTGACGCAGAACCCAGCCGATTCGTGGTGCGACTACTCACAACACCTGTCAGCCAACACATACGAGTCTCTCCCATGGATTCATAGTTACCTCCCCAAACCCACGTATCATCAAAAAGGCTTGCCCATATCCGTGCAAGCTCTGCAGAAAGTGAGAAGCCCTGAGAAAAGTCCATATCAATCTCTTTGAAAAGCCGCCTGATATTGTCCAGGACCTGACCTTCTTCGGTGGTCACTGCGTTGCCTGATTTTTGAAGCCGTTCAATCGTGTACACCCATTTTGTAACCAGAAGGCCTAGGGGTTTAAGTTAGAAGTCGGTTGTGAACAAGACCAGTGGAGGCCATACCAGCATCCCAAGCAGCTAGAGCATGTTCCACACTCCATTTGAAAGCGGCTGTCTTTTGCATAAGTAACATTCCTGTCCGGATGGGGATGGCAAATCCCTCAAGTGCTCGAGTAACCGCCATCGTGATGAAATTATCCCTTTCTTGGACCTGGTTGAAATATTGCTCTATAATGGGCAGCATGTCCTGACTCCTCTCGTGAAACAGAATGGAGCGATCTAGAGTTTGGACGCCGAAGAAGGCTCGCCCATAGGCGACACGTAGGACAGCGAAGGCGTTGAAAAGCAATGGGTTATCAGTATCGCTCCAATTGCCCTCATTTTCAGTATGCGCGGCAGTCAAGAAATCCCTGCATCGTGACAGAGCAGCCTCGATTCGCGCAGCTCCAGGCCTGTTACCCTCTTGGGGATTTCCTGTTGATCCATAGCAGGCCTGCTGGCCTTGATTAAGGTACCAAACCGATATGGCAACGCTGTGCATTACAACAGACGCTGCAAAGGGCGACCATGTCCAGCGGCTATCGGCTTTTTGTCGTTGGCTTGTGTTCATAAAGAATGAGGCGGTAGCTTCCTGGAGACCTAGAGGTGAAGAGCACGATCTGCCCTGCGCGAGTGCCTCCCAGGAAGAAGCCGTTGGGGCATCCCATAGTGCGTCGTCCACTGGCATCTCGATATTGCGCTCTTCCTGTGCTGTGAAGCCTGGTGATATCCCGTATGTCATTGAAAGTAGGTTGCCGAGTACTAAGGTGCTGCACGATAAGCTTGGAGACGTATGTTAATTGATGTATTATACCGAGTGAAGTATGTGATTATTATTTACCGCTTCAATGATTCGCGCTCAGCCCATGAACGCCAGTCAATCGAGTTTAATATCAAAGAGTCAGGTCTGACGCGGGACATGCTCAAATGAAAGTCCTTAAAGAAATGAATGTCAGCAAAACGATGATTGTATCCCGTCAAGGCCATTGCATGAGGTGGGATAGCTAACTGCAGATAAATAGCCGCACCCAATGAGAGCTTGCCGAGCGACTGAGGGATTACCGCTGAAAGCGGCATAGAATACAAGTATTAGGCGTGCTTGAGCTAGCGCGAGCGGTGGAATCTCCACCGGCGGAGGTGAGTTGCGAGGCCTCGCCCAATCCTGCAGAAGTGATGAGCAAGTCAGCCGACTATCAGAGTCGGAGTTTGTAAGGGCAAGCTCGGCTGTGAAATATAGAGATGCCGCAAGTCTTCTTTCAAGCCGGTGAAGAGCGCCTATCGTGCAAATAGCCAGAGTCAGCGAGCTTGGAGCAGCTCCTAGGTCAAGAGTAGGCAGATGCAGGAAGGGAAAATGGATGTGAAATGCTTTGATATAGCTGTCGATGCATCTCTGCAGGCATGCTGTGTCTGGTAATTGAAAGCGCCTTAATTGGTCTGGTAAAAGGCGAGACTGCAAATCTACGAGGCAACTGTCCCGCATATCGCTGGTAAATAGAATTTTGGGCTCACTTTGCGTGGGCGAGGGGCTCATGATTTGCGGGATGCATTGCTGGCTGTGCTTTGACATGCTTTGGCTTGTGCGTTGTTTCTCAAGTGCAGTTCCTGCTGTCAGGGCAGACACAGTTGTCGTGCTGCATTGGTCATTGTGAGATGCCTGGAACTCCAATGGCGCGGAGAAAGCGAATTGATCAAACATGTTACCAAGGAATGGGTCGAAGAAGTCTAAAGATATCTCGTCAAAGACATTTGCCTCGGCCTCGGAAAAAATATTAGTCGTCGACAAGTGACTCGGGTCCAGTATGTTTTCGTCTTGAATGCTGGTGCTATTGTGGAAAACAATCGGAGGGACTGGGCTTGGGGTCTCTTCTGTCGTGGAATCATATATCGCTGTCACCTTGGGCAGCATTTCCGATGCGTGAATAGTTCTTTCATGCCGAGCAACAAGATCACTGTTTGTAATATTTCTTAGCATTTTTGATAATTGCTTACTGATGCTGAGTCTGATTCTTACCTGCGAGAGTAGCGGCGTTTGCAGACCCGGCACGCATATGGTTTCTGTTGAAGATCTAAGTCACATGGGTGAGCCAAGCTTGAGCTTCATCGAATATCTACTGGAAGTGACAAACGGCTTTGCTCATGGCGAGTTCGGTGCTCCCTCCGCTTGAACGACTTGGCACACGTTTGGCACTTGAATGAAGCTTTCGCCTCTGTATCGAAAGAGATAACCGACATTCCAGACGCGGCTGAGTTCATCATCACCGTCCTAGTTTGTACGCAAACTGGGTCGGTACAGGGAAGATAGAATGTTGCATATGACGGCAGCAAACAGAAGGCTTTAAGGAAGATAGTGAATTGTTTTAAGAGAACTTTAGAGGACAGCGAGGTTTTGAGAGATCCAGGGGCTAACTCGGCATATTTGTAACAGTATCCACAGCTTTAACGGGTACGAAAAGGCGGGGTAATACTACCTAAGGAGATCGAACTACCTCGAAGAAGTTAGCTCCAAGAACTGAGTGTGAGGCCGACACCCCGAAGTCCCAGGACAATCGAGTTGAATCTAAACAAGAGCTACCGCAGAACGCGCGGCTTACCTCGTTTATAGAAATGTCATCTTTGAGTTGAAGGCTGTATTTTCTTGTTGGCCCTTTCACACTGTGACAGGCTGCAGCTTGCCGCATAAAACACGTGTATTCAACTATCAGGCAACACTATTTATCACCCCGAACCCGAATCAAATTTAATTTAGCTAATCTAATAGTCGAACCGGCATCCTTACCTGTCTCCTTGCTTATCGGATAGAGTGACGTCGCTTGTCCTCCTTATATGGCGCTGGCTGCACAGTCTATTGCAGTATTAGTGAGCCCTCTTATCAAGTAAAACGCCAAGTGACTCACCGCCCTGATCAGCTTCTGCGGATACCCTTTAGAGCCCCACTTGACAGTAACAACTGTGCCTGGGGAGGCATACTTGGTGGAAATAACACCCAGAGACAGCATTTCCTTGAACCAGTAGCTGTAGCACCGAGATGCTGCAAACCCAATTTCCTTATTTCCTGCAAGAACAGTGCTTGCCTTCATAGTTCCCAGCAATTCGCGAGGCATTTCCATGTACTCATAGGGCTCAGGTCGAAACAGAGACTTGAACACATCTGTGACATCTTCCTGGTCCCAGACCAGTGTGACAAGCTTCCTTGGCGGATCTTTCTTGAGCTTGCTAAGAGCCTCGCGCCCAATGAAATCATGGTCTAGATTGACAAGCCACCCCCAGCCCAAGTCAAAGGGCGTACAGTAATACAACGTGGGGTCAGCTCCATAACTACCCGCGGCCGACGACCAGTACAAGTCAAAGTCTAGGCCAATTCCTCGTGCCCATGCCTTGAAATCATTGAGCTCCTTGCTATCACTAGGCGCGTTAACTGCGGGCAAGAAATCGGTCGTTGGGGTTGCGAAAGCTGCCTCCACCTGATGACATGATACCAGACTGCGTCAGCATATGATCTTGATATAGTTCTTGATGAGTACACTGGAGCAAGTGACTTACGTGGTTTACCATCTTGGTGCGGGCTCCCAGTTGACGAATGCTATATTTCTTGCCCGCCTCTAGAATGGAGGTGTAAATCTTTCTCGCATCTTTGGTTGCTCCCCACAACTCGAACCCCTTTTCGCCCGATACTCCCTGTCTGAGGCACAGAAACTTGGTCCCGTCGATAGAGAGTTCCTTATAGTGCATGAACTTGACGTCTCGGACGCCGTTGTCGGTCAATTCGTCAAGGAGCGGAACACTAGAAGGTCCCTGGACCTGGAGTAGAAACCATTCGTCTGTGACCAAGTCCATGGTAGCATTGAACTTTCGTCTTCCAGACTGGAATTGGTATACTGCCCAGACAGTTCCTGGGCCACTGGTGAAGATATAGTCATCCTCAGCAAGCTTCAAAACCAGACCCTCGCCAATAATAGTTCCATTATCTTGGCAGAAGATCGCATGCTTAGCTTGGCCGACTTTAAAGTTAGGCCAGCAATTGGTCGAGATATATTCAAAATATGCCAAAGCCTCGGGGCCTTTAACGCGAATTTTGAGAAGTGGCGACCAGTCTCCGATATAGCAGTCCGTCTTCCAAGAAAGACTCTCGTCAATCCAGCCAGTGTATTCATAAGCTTCAAAGAGTGGGCCAAACCGAGAAAATGTGGTCACAATAGGGTCCACAGGAACTGCTGGCGTCAGGGTGATCTTGTCAGCGTGAAACCAGGCACCCTTCTCTTCGTCGTTAATTTCGGTTGACATTTTGGTCTTGAGGACATGAAATTGCTGGGAGGCGAAATATAGGACTTGGTGACTTCTAAGTTGAAGATTCTGAGGGTAAACATGAATAAATACATCTTTAATTATCCGCCTACTGTCATAAATCTTCTTATCTTGATCAATGCGTTCTGGATTATGCTGCAATAGGCCTAGCATCGTGGGTTAGGTTGATCAAGCTTACCCCGAAATCTGAGGTTAGATATTCCCAATTAGGCAATGTGGGATGCCTTTGAAACGAAAATGCTGGCGCGTATTCATGATGTGGGATATGTGGGATACACTGGGTCAGCACAATTCCTCTAGCCTTTTCAGGTTGCAATGTGACCAATATTGCTTTCTCTTTTGGGCATCTGTTGTAACTGGACGGACAGCATACCTGAGGATTGCTGTAGACTTCACAAGAACAGGACGATGCATCGATATTGTCAATGCGTGGTGCATAAGGCGTATAGAATCATAAAAAAGCCCACCTTGGATAGACCACGATTACCTCAAGATCAGCGACAGCTACATTTGCAGAATTAATTGTCTTGAATCCACAATCAAGGACTACTCACCAAATATGTCCGACACGCAAAAGCCATTCGCTATCATTGTCGGGGCAGGCCCATGTGGCCTTTTGTTGGCATTGCGACTCGCCAAAGCCGGTCTCGAAGTGCGGGTGCTCGAATCTGGCCACAAGCTTGACGACCAGCCTCGGGCAACTCACTATAGTCCTGAAGCGGTAGAAGAGCTTGACAAGGCCGGGGTTCTCCCAGATGTCCAGGCCCAAGGGTTTGTTCCCGATGGCTTGTGCTGGCGGAAGCCTGACGGAACCCCAATCACAATGTTGTTAGCTTCTCTTGTGGCAGCGAAAGTCAAGTATGAAATGCAATGCTTGCCATTGGATAAACTAGGCAAGATATTATACGACCATGTCATGAAGGAGCCCAACGCGAGCATCCTTTGGGGCCACAAAGTTACGGACGTGCAACAGCGCGATGGGGGAGTGACTGTGACAGTTGAGGCTGAGAGCACATCAAAGCTTATAGAAGCTACATACGTTGTTGGATGCGATGGCGCCAACAGCCAGATCAGGCGAACTTTGTTTGGAGATATGGAGTTTCCCGGGTGGACTTGGAACCAACAGATTATCTCGACAACTGTAGGGCAATTCTCTTATCCCCGAGAAGATTTTATTCAAGACTAACATATCATCACTGACTTACTACCCTTTTGAGAAGTATGGATTCATCGACTCCAACATGATCATTGACCCTGAACACTGGTGCGTACAATGCAACATCAGCCTTTGGCTGCAGTTGTAAGGCGAGCAAATTAGCTGAGAATGGACGCGCAGGTACATGGCAGCAAGAATGTCCAAGGACGGACTATGGAAAGTTACGTACGGAGAAATACCAGGCCTCACAAAGGAGCAGTATCTCGAGCGACAGGCTTGGAAGTTTGAGAGAATGCTCCCCGGCAATCCCAAGCCAAAAGACTGGAACTGTACCGCTTTCAGTCCTTACAAGTGTCATCAGCGCCTGGCGAAATCGCTCCGCGTGGGCAACATTCTGCTCGCCGGCGATTCTGCACATTGTGAGCCCTTGTATACTTTCTGACTAGCGATAAATACTAACGGCCCTAATCAGTATGCAATCCCTTTGGTGGTCTAGGACTCACCGGCGGTATCCTTGACGTGGGTGGCCTTTACGACTGCCTTTATGGGATAGCAACAGGCCAAGCAGATGAGAGCATTCTGGATCATTATAGCGACGTTCGGCGTCAGATTTATCGTGACTTCACGGATCCTCTTTCAACGGAAAACATGAAGCGCCTTCTGTCTGACCCTGAGGAAGCGCTGGAAAAGGACCAATTCCTACAGTTGTGTAAGGAGGCTGCCACCAATCCTGAGGTGGCTGATAAGCTAGCTAAAGGTGCTAATTGCCTAGGTCACGACTTTACTCAGTATTATAAATCCTAATTACTGGAATAGTATTTGTCTACATAGGAGAATAGGAAACATTTAGATATAGCATTAAGTGGAATACTTATAAAAAGTTAAGCTTTATATTAATTATATCCAACTGTGAAAAAGCTGTGTTTATCCTCAATTTGTGTTCTTCACACTGCGTTGTCTTGCGACTTGATCCAATCTAACCAACCTGTTATTTAGTTAGATCATAGGGTTCAAGGCAGCAGCTATATGACCTTGAGACTTCAGATTAACCTTATTGTGTTTTTGGCGTAGTGTATAATGCGTTATATTGTGTTATGCTGAAAATAAGCATCTTATCGTATTATCTTATTATCTGAGACTCTAAATGGCTATACCTCACGTATTACTATATAGACAGTTTGACTTTTCAATCTTTTTTAAATATAAATATAAGATTATGTATTAGAGTAATTAATATATTTATTAATCTATAAGTACATTATCTCTTTATAGTTATAATAAGCACTTATTAATTAATTAGCTCTATTTTATTATGCCTTGAGGTTATCAGGCGTATCGGGCTGGTTCCGCCAATGCGCCTTCACAACAGCAGGATGATCTTTCAATCCCTCCAAGATGTTCCCGATCGTGGGAAATAACGCCAAATCAACACCAAATCTCTCAGCATTCCACATCGCAGGCATAAGACAAGCATCCGCGAGCGTCAACTCATCACCAACGCTGCGCTTCCCCGCTGAATTCTTCACAACTTCCTCATAAGCCTTGAGTCCGTCCGTCATGAGTTGCTTGTTCCACTCTTCTGCATTTCCACCGAGTTCTCTGATACGGCGCATGATGCGCAGGTTTGTAACGGGCTGGATGTCTGCGCAAATGATGTTGACGAGGGTTCGTACAGTTGCGCGTGCTTCAGGGTTGGAGGGGAGGAGAGGATGGGAAGGGTGCTTTTCTTCGAGGTATTCTAGGGCTGCGACGGATTGTCCGATGCGGAAGGGTTTGTCGCTTGATGAATCGCAGATAAGAACGGGGACAGATGCTGATGGGTTGAGAGTCTTGTGAGAATCGGAGAGATGCTCATTCTTGAGAAGATTGACGAATGCTAACTCATATGGAATTCCTTTTGCGTTGAGAGCGATGCGAATACGCGCTGAGCATGAGGATCGGAAGTAAGAGTAGAGAGTATACTGAGAGTCAGACATATTGAATGATGCAATTGATCAAGTTACTACTGTAGATGAGAACAGTTCAATTGAAGAGAAGTGAAGAACCTCCTCACCATAACCGAACCCCAAGGTCACGCCCTTCTTATGTCATGAGGGTGATTGTGCAGATATGCTGTCATTGTGTAGAGCATTACCCGTCGCTAGCCTGGTAGTGCCGAACTCCGAAGTATTGGGTGTCGGAAAGATTCCGGTGGAGTGCGGGGTGAGTGTGGCAATCCGGAGTAGTTCGGCAGAACTGTTATGGAAGGGAGAGTAATTCCGCTCGTGATAGCCGGCTGAGTCAGACTCTAATGAAAAGAGACAAGTGAGTGCGGAAGAGTGACTTGTTTCGTGTGAAATGCGCATGAGACAAACAATTCCATAGTTAAAACTTACGTTTCATTAAGATAAGATATGTAGGATAAGTGTCATTTACTAAGCTTCAGTAGGATTAGCAGTTAACTATAAGCTCGTATAGCAATTAGAAATATTATTAGTAGTATATATTAATAATAGTTAAGTATTTCATAATTTGGAGTCTATAATTAAGAGAGAGAAGAAATCGCGATTTATATTCATCAATCCAGTTCTAAAATGCATAACCAAGCCATAACGTTATACCACTTCTAATCCAAAAAGGTATGAAGAAGGGCAAAGTCCATAAAGTCCAACGCGAACAAAAAAGATGATCAAACAACTGCTGAACCAAAGCCAAGATTGCTGTTGAAGATGATTGAATGAAGGTGATGAGAGTGATAGAGAGAGAGAGAGAGAGCATCTCGATTTGACAGCAACGATTTAGCTCTGTACTACACGGACGTACTGCACGGACGAGCCATGACTTGCTTCAGACTACTTCAAATCCGAATAAGGTATCATGAAGAGCGGAGCCAATAAGATCCAACGCCAACAAGAAGACGACAAAACAGTGGCGGGACTAAAGATAAGATTGCGGTTTAAGATGGCAAAAGTAGCTGATGAAGAAGTTGGAAGCAATGAATCATATAAAGTTGCTCATGAAGCTGAGAGTAGTGATTGATCCAAATGTGCTGATAACAAAATGACAGTGACTTGACCGCTAGCAATGACCAAAACTGCTCAAGGCATTATAGCCAGGCATAATAGAGTGGTTCATGCTTCCATAGTGTAACAGTGACTGACCGTGGATTTATTGAAAGAAGATGGTGATGAGAAGTCGAGAGTAATAAATGACGCAAACTTGCCGATAAGATTCAGAATAACAACTGATCAAAGAAGCTGATACAAAACAGAGAGTCGCTTGATCGCTAGCAGTGCCCAAAGCCGCTGATGACATTATAGCCAGGCTGACTTGCGCTTCAATAGACTATGGGGATGACTGCCGCCTATGAGGTTAACCTTTAGGCTGCAAACACAGGTAACGAATTAGAACACGGTTTTCTTTTCCTTCAATATAAGCTTTTACCCAGAAGCTTTCACGATGCTACGATGTAGAGAATTTCCCATGTCATCGTCGCCTTCGGCTTCCAGGTGGTCGAATCTTTGTGCCAACAGGGCGTAACAAAGCTGTGCTGTCAATTGCGAATATCGACCACTCTTAATTGAACAGGCAAGTTTCATAGTTTCCTGAAAATCTGGGTAATATTCATGTTCAACCTAAAAGGACATAAAGTTTAAACTTGGACGACAATAGATCAAAGTTTTTACTTGTGACTCAACGTCCAGCGCTGCATCATCTTGTAGGCAATCAGCCTGGAGTTCGATTGTCAGTGAGTTGATAGACCTCACAGCTGATGGCTCACATCACGCGCCTCACACGCGCCTCGCATAACAACAAGGGATACACAGTGAGTTCACAAGCAAGAACATATAATTGGTTACATGTAAGCCTCAGTCACCTGCACACCAAATATCAAGCGTCATGTGATCGTCACGAACTCCAGGACGAATAACAACTTGCGCAAAGGGAAACCTTGCCTTTTACTTCACTACTGGGTTCGCTGCGATGTTAAATGCATTCAGAAGTGCTGCGTGAAAGGTAAATAGAACATGGGTGCGTCAGTTATGATTGGCCGATAGATAAGCTTCGCAACCGTGAAGTCTGGGACAAGTCACGGTCCAAGCTTAATTTATCCAATCTTCTGAAGTGCTGCCCTATCAGAAAGGAGACACTTCCTCTTTAACCTTCGTAACGATAATCTACGATCCCCCTTCATCCAGGACAGCAAAGCCTTCAATCTCGAAAACTCTCTTGCCCTTCGTGTATAAGTAATGACCTTCCCTCCCTCTGTTTCCACTTCCATTCTTCATCCTTTCATATCAGTTTCTGCCTTGCACGTCTTCAGCTTTCAACCAGTTTGCTTCCAACTCTTTGTCGAAAGTCAGCCTGAATTTACCTGATCTTACCTGATTTTACCTGAGTTTACCTAAGCATTTTCGTCCCTTAGGGTCAACGTCGCAGTCATACACTAGCCTTGTGGACGCTCTTGAGCTACAGAACGATAAATACAATTACATTACTTGGTCGCTACCGACCCACACGCTCTCTCTCGCTCTCGCTCTCTCTCTCTCTCGCTTTCTCTCTCTCGCTCCCTCTCTCTCTCTTCTTCTCGCGCTCTCTCTCGCAACCCTTACACCAGCGACAATGCCTTCTCTTGCAGACTTGGGGGTCATGGACCACATGAGTAGGTCAGATGACATGGATGACAACTCGTCAACATGCTCCTACTACTCTCTCTCCGACGTAGAGGACATGTCATTCAAGAAGATCCCTGCGCATGAGGTCCGAAAGCAAAGTGAGCAGGTCCCTGAGTTTAGTCCTTTCTCGACATACCCTCACACCTTTCACAACAAAGAGGCACTACCGCTCAAGGTAGCCGGCCCGTGGTTGGAGTATCCTCTCTGCCTTAAAGGCAAATACACACCATCCATGGGTATGAACCCAGGACCAGCGCGAGTCATCGTCAATCCGTCAGTCCCTGGTGGACATGACGTTATTTATCATCCCACAAAGTGGGAAGGGAGGTTTCTTCAGGCGAAGTACCGACCCAAGGGGTACAGAGCAAAGATCTCTGGATGTACGGCTATGCCGACAGTCCCCTCACCTCCATCATCACCTCCGCCATCCCCTTCTCTCTCGCCATATCCTTTCCTCTATTTCTCTCCACCTGCCACTCCGGGCTTTTACGGAGCATATCCCAATGGGCTGATTGCGGGTCAGCAAGCGTTTGCCTTGGCAGCGCAACATCAATTTGCGTTGCAGCAACAGAGCCTAATGGCCAGTTGCATGTACCCACAGGTTATGGGCTATAATGGAGTCATACGCGGCCAGTCTTTGTTGGAGTTCTCTTGAAGCGCAGATCATTCTTACATGCCTGTTTACGATATTATTAGCGAGTCTTGTTATTGCTAGCGAGTATGGAATTGGATTTATGAATATAAAGCGCGATTTCTCTCTTTCTCAATCATAGACTTAAACCATGAAACATATAACCATTATCGATATACGATAGTGGTAATATTCCTAGTTTCTATATGAATCTATATATAATTGGTGGTCATACTGAAGCTCATAGATGACACTTATGTCACATACTTCATCACATTAAAATAGACAGTCTTTACTCTCAAACGGTAATCCCATGCACCTGCAAGACACGATAACTGTCACTCATCAATATGCAACTCACCCAGCTTTTGAAGATCTCTTGTATATGAACCAAGGACTACCTTCTACAAAATTAACCTTCTAATCACCCTCGCAAAGCAGCCAGCTCAAAGATGGTAGTCATCCTGTCGCGTGACTCTCTGCCCCCTCCTCTCCCAGACGCCTTCAATGTTCATATCCCTCGATCCACTGCAAACTTGTCAGTATCTCATAACGTAAAACCAAGCAGGAAACTTACTCGTCTCTCCAGATGATCGTAGGTTCAGTCTGGCCCTTTCCAGGATTTCTAAACACAATGTTCTTTTTCTACAAAACTGTTAGCCACCACATTTCTGGGTTACTTGGGTAGTACGAACCAATCCAAGAGATAGGTGAATAGCAGGAGCATCAACCGTGACATTCTGCTCCGGTCGGCCACCGTTCACCATAGCAGCGATGTTCTGCGCTACAACTTGTGCTTGTCCAGCTCCTGGTCTCGCAGCCTTGTGAGCACCGCTGTCGGCGATGTCACCGCATGCATACAGGTTCGAGTACTCGGGGTCAGCAAATTGCAGTGTTGGTGCAACTCGGATGAAGCCGTTAGCAGGGTTGATTATCTCGTATCCAGACGTGGGCTGGAGATCCTTGAGGAACTGGTTATTCGGCGTTTGTCCTGTTGCCGGAATGACGAGATCTGTCTGTATCTTTCTTCCGTCTTTGAGTTCTAGTTCGAAGGTTGATCCGTCTGTTGGGAAACCCTTTGCTGGGATCACAGCTCGTGTGCCAGTAATGACACTGCTCTGTTAGTACTTCTCATCTCACAGCACAAAGGCTTGACTTACTCAACACCAAGCTCCTGCAATCTATCCCTCAAAATAGCATCCATCTTCTCATGATAAAGCTGCATAAGCCTATCCCTCGAATGAACCAAGGTAACTTTCTTCTCTGGATAAACCTCCCCTAGATCCGTCGCCATTTGAATACCGACCGCACCGCCGCCAACAATAACAATAGACTGTGCGTTCTTGATACCCTGCTGATAAGACTTGAAGTACTCAACAGAAGGCTTCTTCTCATCGTGCTGCATGTTGCTAGGCGCCTGGAGTCGTGTTCCTGTCGTCACAACTGCATACTCGAAGGGGATTTCTGTTGAGCCCTGCCATGGTCTGTCGAGTGTGAGTTGGTTCTTTTGCAGAGATACTGCGCGGGCACGGACGATGGTGTGATTGGGGGCGTTGGGGAGGGAGGAGAAGAAACCGGTGTAGGGGATGAAAGCTTTGTGTTCGTGGTCTGGCACGATGGCGAATCGGGGCTGAGAGGGTTAGCTTGAGTGAGAAGAGATTTGTGAGGGACTTACGAAGGCGAAGAGATGGTGGAAATGGCTATGAGGTTCTATTAACAGGACACGGTGTGTAACTGGTAGAAGTGTAGCCAGTTCCTTAACAGCAGCCTAGATCATGTCAGTCAAACTCATCACCGTTCTCTAGGATAGACCTACAAGCCCAACATACGAGCCGCCAATGACAATAACGTTCTTCAAACCTGCAGTCATGTTGATACCGATCACCCAAACAATTAAAACATATGAGAAAACAACCTTCAAAAGTGAAAGAGAGCTCGGCGCTTTTTATCTACGCCATCTTATCAATCTACGGAGTCCCCGCCTCCGGATGTACGCTTTGCCGGTTATCCGAATTTAATTCCGAAATCGGCTTTTTCCATCGGCATTTTAGGGGTTCTCTCACCAAAATGCGAGAACGCGAGTCAGCGCTAATAAAAGCCATGTTTTTTAGTACGCGGCTTGGAAAGACGGCTTTTGGACCTGCATGTGAAGGTGACGAGTTTCCTGAATTGGATGGGGATCGCCATGCTTTCTTGGCAAGGATGGGGATCTTTGATGTAACGGTAAAAGTCATACGGATATATTATTCGGCCGAGTGTCTTGCGACGCCTGCAGAGGGATCGTCATGTAAAGATCGGTGAGATGCTGTCTTGTGGGATGCCGATGGCAGAACTTGTAACGCGCGGCTCGGCTCGGCTCGGCGCTTAATAAGCTGGAGCGGGATGAGATGACGAAGCCGATGATTAGGGAAGCGTAATGATGTTCAGGTCTAGGCCTTGCATATTCGTAGTACCGTGACATTAGAGCATACGCTACTTTTCTAGTTTTGAGTGACTCACGTAGCATGATGATCGCTCTCCGAGGCGTCGTCGCAAAGTGAGTGAGGGCTTCACTTTTAAACAGCCAGATTGGAGGGTTCTGTTCTCGACACGATGAATGATGCGGTCGCGAATCTAGGTTTTCTATGAAGGATTATTTGTTTCTGTATTGTCATGTATAATATTTCCACCATCGGCCTTCTAGACAAGCTCTCATTTGTTCGGCCATGGCCACCATAGAACTATATATTTGCAATTAGCTAACATGGTTAAGACGATGCAGAAGTGAAATTGAAGCCTCTCTTCGCCAGTCTCATGAACATAGCATTGTGCTCCAGACAGTATGATAATGCTGTATGCACTTCGCGAGAGAGCCTCGATCCAGGCTGTTGGGATAAAACAGCTAAAATCGAATCTCCCAAGGCAAAATACGCTTCATCTTGCTCATCCATGCATCCTGGTCCAGAGTCTTAATTAAGTCTTCTTTAGCGAGGTCAATTGTTCCAAGAAACGCGGACTGGCCCTGGGTGACGATGTAACTTCAACCATCAGACATAAAAGTTGTTTGCCATCTGTTGTTTTTGCGCTATAAATCAGAACCTTTTTGTCTGCAGGAACCTATTCGCCGTTCAAATCTCAATACTCATCTAACGTACAAACCACCCATCAGTTGCTCACCAACTTTCCGCGAATTAATTCCCGATCATGGAGTTCATCTTCCTCAAATATTGTCTTCCCCCCTCAACGATCCTTCTGTTCAGAATAACAAACTCGTCCTTCTCACTTCCCTCAACAGCCAAATAGGTGAAGAAGGCACCCAACTCTTCATTCTTGATAACATAATCATCGCCCAAGAGCAATTGAGCTAAATATCCTGGCACTCTCATCCTCTGGGTAATGACACCGCCGGGCCTCAGCATCCAGGCCTTCCAAACAGCCGCATGCTCTTTCGCGACGTCTAGCGAGCGAATCTCATACAGTCCCTGTACCTGTCAGTAGATAGTGGTGAGATGAAATGGGAGGGGACGTACTTTGAGTTTACGCGGGTAGTCGTTCACCCATAATTTGGCATCTTGCTCTTGAACAACCCACTTCCCACTGAGATGAATAAACCGAAACGGCTCTCGCTTGGGCTGTTTCTCAAGAAGAGCCGCAAAAGCAACTTGGAAAGCGAGGGGATACTCCATATCCACATTCACATTTCCTCTATACGACCCCATGGCACTAAAATCATCAGCCCCGAATCCCCTTTAGTAACGAGATAGCTTACCAAATCATAGCAGCAGCATCAATATGTGGGAGAAGAATATCATCAGACCATTTTAAAAAATCGCTTATTATGACGGTCTGAAGTTTGGGATGATCTGAGGGTAGGGCGCGACGCACGAAGGCGACTACGGATGTGATCTTAGGATGGGAGAGACATTGGCGGAGAGCTTCGCTGCCGATGGAGCCTGATGCGCCGAGGAAGAGGACTTTCATGTTAACTGCGTATATTGTGCTGAAGTTTAGTTTGTGTGAGAGTGATGAGGCTCAAGGAACGTTTATATAAAGCCAGTGGGCACGGGGTAGGTGTTTCTGGAAATGCTGGTTGCGGACTTTCAAGGATGACGATCCCAAAGTCCGCTGGCCTTGATCAGCCATCTGTCTTGGCGTGTTTATCTAATTGCAAGCGAGGCTACCAGCGATAAGAAACATGTTTAGATTATAAGCGTCCGAATTTTGGAGCTTGGCTTATGGCCTGGCTTATTTTGTTCATTGATACGCTATACGAAAATGGAGGGAGTGATAATTAATTCTCCGCACTGGTGGTGTCGTGGCTCACATCAGCCAGAGGATCCCTTCTGCGGGTCATCCAGTGCAAGACACACCATTAATGAATATTGATATTGTATGAGCTAGTAAACAGTGGTATTTTGTTTGACACGAAGTAATCTCATCCAATATGACGCATCAGCAGTCGTGGTCTTGACAGGCGGTCAATCGCTCTGCGCGTCATCAAGGTCTGCCAGTCGATGCCGGGTAGGTTACTCCTCATTAACACTTGACTCATTGAACCGGCCCGGTCTTCAATGAAGACGAGCCATTGACTTGAGAATGAATGTCAGGTGAGTCAATGTTATCTTTGCATCATATTCTCCATCAATTGTATATCTTGACACCCATTCATCGTGACCGCGACAACATGGCCAAGACATTGCCTGACCCTCCATTCACCTCGCCAAACCTCACACTCACCCGCGCCAAAGCGAGTGATATACCCTCAATTCAATCAATGGTCAACACAGCATATGAGAAATACATCCCCCGAACCGGCAAACCACCAGCCCCAATGACGGCTGACTACCCATCTCTACTCACAACCCACGACATCTTCATCCTGCGCACTGCTCAATCCCCCGTCGGCGCGCTCGTTCTCCAGCACGAACCGGGCTCCGACGCTATAAAGATCGAGAACTTGGTTGTTGACCCAAGCGCACAAGGTCGAGGCTACGGGAAAGTATTGATGCGCTATGCAGAAGACTTTGCGCCGTCGCGAGGTTGTAATGCGTTGGAGCTGTACACGAATGTCAAGATGTTTGAGAATCTGGGGCTGTATCTCAAGATGGGCTTCGTTAAGACTGGGAGGAGGGAAGAGGATGGCTTTGAACGTGTTTATTTCCGAAAAGAGTTAGAATAATATATGAAGGATAACTTTTATTTATTTCGATGCTTAATTGAACGTCATGTACAGATGGCGACGCGCCGAAGAAACCCGCTCCATCGCGTTCGCCAATTGATCGCCACTCTAACGCGATCAACCCCATCATCACAATTGCGCAGACCAGTTTGTATGTATATGCCGGGTATCTCCATCACGCCAACGATCCCTTCAACCTCTCAAAACTAAAGTTCCATACCTCTGCCCTTCGCGGCCCATCACTCGACTCAACCAGCCCAACGTGCTGCAAGACACTCGGATCAAGCGCCCACTTGCTCAGCCCATGATCTCTCGCGTAATCCTCCATGATCATATCCCCCGGGAACTGAAACGGCGGCTCGCGCAGAAAATCTTGCAAGTTCTGTAGATGATGGTTCGGGAACACCAGGCCTTGCGCACAGCATCCGTATCGTGGCATTTCGCGTACAGTTGGGGAGCGTGTGAATAATCGGTGGAGGGTGATGCGCCCCGTTACGAAGGCGAGCGCTAAACAGGCCGGGATCCAGAGACCCAGGAGGAGAGCGACGGTCTGGGCAAAGTCTTTGGTTGCGAAAGACCCGGCGTGGCGGCGCTGTCTGCATCGGAGGGCGAGCAGAAGACAGGCTATTAAAGCGCTGTACCCTAGGATGACGACTTTGAGATAGTCAAAGATCTCTTCGTTGTTCCAGCCCATAAAGATCTCGGAGTAGAAGAGGCGCAGGTACATCCAGTCTTTATGCGCATCGGTCGCCTTTTGCTCAACTTCGATGACACCCTTCTTGAGCCGCGTGAACCAATCGGGCGTGGCTATTATATCGTCTTCGATGAGGGCGAAGTACGTCGGATCGCGTCGTCGACACGCTTCGAAGAGGACCGAGTGGTCGAGTCGTATGTTCTCCACGCGATCGTCGCTTCGTCCCATACCGCGAACATCGTGAGGAAGAACTTTGTAATTGAGTTTCGAATCGGTCTTGGAATCGTTGGAATACACTAGCACATCGTCCGCCAGCCCGAACAACCAATCCTTCCCGTAAGCAAAGTGCTTCGTCGGATCTTTATCCGCCAGCAGCACAACAATGTGAATCTGATTGCGTTCATTCGGCGTCAACGTATCAACAAGACTGCCCACAGTATGCGCCAAAAACCCCGACGTCGTGCGATTGATACTGGGTATGCCGATGCACAGGAACTCATTGTCGACTTGTACTTCGGTGCGCTGCTTGTGCGCGACGGGAAAGATCTCGCGCTCGAGGTACTCGTCGACCTGTTTCTCGCGGACGGCAGAGTAGCGACGGTTAAAGGCGATGCGGGACTTGTAGAAGAAGGAGGACGGGTCGTCGTAGGAGTTGTGGTAGGACCAGATCAGGGCGGTGAACCACACCAGCCAGAAGCCGATGTTTGCGTGGGAAGGGCGCATGGCGTCATGTCGCGTGCGGTTTGGAGAGGATGTTGGAGAGAGAGAATTGATGGAAGCGAATTGGGTTGGGGAGGTTTGGGGAGCGGCCGCTGGGGTTACAGTGCTTACCCCGCTGTACCGGAATTAGAAAGGGAAGTGATTGGTTGGTTTGCGGTGCCCCTTTTTTGGGAACGCTAAGCCTTACGCTTTGATTGGTGATATCATTACACGTGCTGAATCCTTCAAGAGGCATCCGAGGCGCAGTTTTTGCCGAGAAATTCAGGAACAGGTCAGTTAGTGCAAGAGATTGAGAGAGCCAAAGTCTGATTTCATTTGACATATTCAGTGACAGTGGTAGTGCTTGGAGCTGCTGCTTGTCAGAGAACCTGGTGGTGAACCCTGTCGCGTGTCGCCAAGTGCAAGGCTAGTGTATCAACCGTGAATATCCCAACCCTGAGTATGAGTTCAATGCAATGCTCTCTGTGACAATGAATATTGCTAGAAAAAGACCAATTGACTAGATCTCTGATCAAAATTGCAAATTTCTGCTAAATGTAACCGATACTAGAGTGATGAGGAAAACGACAGCGAGCTTTATCATGACACGAAAACCTACTGTTTGGCTATCTCTGTTGAAGCTATCTCGATAGAAGGAGATTCAATGTCATCTAGCACAATCTTTAGACTAGCGATGCAGTCAGAAAATCGGAATCTGCCAGTTCACTAGCAGCTGCCATTCGTGAATCTTCTCTTCTGCTCGTCATATCTGTGCCGAGACCTCTGAACAATGACGCGAGACTCGAAGTGAATGTTGGAGATCAAGGACACACTGATTAAAGCCTTTCTGGAGGCAGTTGTTGCGCGTTCAGCACCCGTTGCACGGCGAAGCAAGTCAAAATCGGCCGTGATGAGTCTCAGCAACGTGAGAATGATTCATATGCTTGTCATGTCTATTATCGATATAAACTCACTGTTCTCCCAACTTCAGCTGGAACATCACACAGCAGCAAACACGCAACACAAACACTACCTTACTCCATATTCACGACAAAATTCAAGATCGAAGCAATCTCTCACAATGTCTTCCAGCAATGTCACCCCGGACCCTTCTCCCTCCCCTCCCGTCCGGGTAAAGAATCCACACACTGGACGCATTAATCACGATGCCAACAAAGAAGGAGCCATGTATCTCTGCGCCTGCAAGATCCTGCCGCAATGCATGAACCTTGTAGCCACTAGGGGCTCCCGGTGTCAACCTTGTGTTGAGCTTTGCCCTGATATTGAGCCAGAAGCGCCCGTACCGTCAGCAGGAACACCATGAGGAGAGGGAAAATTGGCCAGCTAGTTATTAGAGCCACTGGAATTGGCTTTCGATGATGCTCGCTGCGGATTCTTATACACAATATTCTGTACCTCCCTGTGATGGACTTACTCGTTGATAATAAAGAGGATCATCCTCGAATCTGGATCACTTTGTTCCTGTACTCCGAATGAGCGAAGCATTTGTCATTGAGGTTATATGGGCAAACATCAGTAATCATCCAGCAAGGACCATCGTGTGACTAAGTAGCCGCGTGTCACAAGCCCCGCTGCCATCGCGAAGTGAAATGGATAGATAGTGATGTTTCTACATCAACAGCTATATAAACTCTCTTCGCAAGGCGCATGACCTCAAAGTCACAGTTCAACTCAACAAGACACAGAAGCCCCTGCTACTCAAACTGAAGAATACGAACTGTAGATCCACAGAGCCGACAACAACGTCATGAAGTTTCCGAACATCCAGATTCTCCCCTCTGAGGCTATTGATCCAGCCATTTCAGATTGTCAAGTCAGGCAAATGGCCAACCAAATATGCGCATGAACTATTTGCAATACCTGCACGAATGTTGTTCACCAGACTGAGAAGAAGCTATGTGACATATGCCTTGGGGGAACTCATAATGCTCAGTAACGGGACTTGGGCAATATAGCTAAGACAGCAAAGTGTGAAAGAGGGGTTTTTGACAATGTCATATTAGAGACTCGTTTTCCATACTAAGAAAGTTTCAAGTCTGTAAATGTTCCTTTGGGATACTCAGTTCTTTTGTTCAAAGCCTTGTAATGATTGTTTCGAACAGTGTTGTTCACAAGGGGACTTGATGCTCGCAAATTGTGAACAATTGCCAGTGGTATCAAAATGGATAGCTCAAGCCTGTTCAAGTGTCAGTCAGAATACACGAGAAGCACACTTACAGCACATAGTAGATGTTTCGCTGCTCTCACTGGCAGTGACCTAGGATACCCGACTTCCCATCTAATTGTGCCACTGGCATCTCGCAGACTCTACAACAGGGTATATATGGTTGCTACACGCGCCATCCAAATCTGTAAACTCACAGGACACATTCAGATTCATGAATACAGCATCTTACGCACTTCAACCCGTCATTACTTTCTGATCACCATGTCTCAGAACAGCTCAGCCTCCAGCACGCCTCCCAGCACTGCTACGCCTGGAGAACACACGGCAGTCATTGAAACTTCGAACGATATCAACGGTCCCGAGCAGCTTGCCAACAAGGTCTGTCGCTGCCCCTGCGTTTGCCAGGAGGTTTGCCGCTCCGACGACTATTACTGCGATCCATGCATTGAAGCAAGACACAACTACCTCCCTCCCGGTCTTGATAAGTCAGGCTAAGCCTCAGGGAGCACCAAAGCTTACACACGAGAAGAGCATGCTAAAATAAAGAGCGCCCTAAGCTTTATCTAGAGTTGCCTGGCTACTCTCATCACTCAGGCTAGAGATCTCGAGTTTTCTTACCTCACTAGCTAGTAAAACAAAGCCAAAGGAAACTCTACGCATAGCCTCTAGGTATCAAACAGAAATACCCATTATAATCATGCTTGCTCCTTGTGACATCACTTTCTAGCCTGCCAGTTCGGTGACAAGATCTACTGTCCAGCACGCCATTTCCTTTCCATCAACGGGAATAGCTCAGTATGCGCCAAGGTGGCCTCGGCCCGCAAGGCACCGTCAATCCCCTAAAACGTCCAGACCTAATCCCAATCCACTGTAGAATAACTGACGCTTCCATCTTAGCGCCACAGTTGGCATGTTGCCAAGAAAGGCAAGACACGAAGAAATGCCAGGGCCAAACTCAAACTCAAGCCATTTTATTGCCGAAGACCCGTTTGACGCGGTTATAAACAGCTCTTATGCCCATTTTCCTTCTCGTAAAGTGCTGTTGGTATGTTGTCGCGATGAAGAACCCAGATGCAAAGGATATTCTTGTAAGGTCTGCGCTTATACAGGACGGACTTGTGCTAATGGTTATAGGTGTCTCAAATACTCGTGATCATAGCGACGATTCTCGTGATCGCGCGCCTAAATCTTCGACTGCGGATACAAAAGCGAAAATTGCTACTCAGCGATATCTTTATGGTGGCAGCGTGGATCTCGGGCGTCATTACAGCTGCTTTCTCACCTGCGTTTGCGGTCCTCCACGCATTTGATCCGAGTGTTCATACGACATTGGAGGGCTATCATGGAGGATCTGCCAATTTGGTGTTGATATTGAAGGTGAGTAGAGGAATCAAACCAGGTAGCGTATGTGGCTGACATTAGTAGTTGCTCTTTGCATCGAGTTTTCCGTTTTATACGACGCTATACTTGTGCAAAGCTGCTCTTCTGGCAGTTTATCTACAAGTGTTTCCCGAGTTTATGGTCAAGAGGCGTAGATTCCTTTGGGCCACGATTTGGTTTATCGGAGCCAGTTACATCATTACCGTCGTGATATTATTCTGCATTTGTCTCCCCATAAGCCGAAGCTGGTAGGTTATTTCAGTGTATTTTTAAGGCACGGCGCTGATAAATTTACAGGGATATCAGGCCTTCGAGGACATGTCCGAAGTGGACTTATGCAGTCACTTTTCACGTTGGCTGGGGACTGTCATTTCTGGGAGATTTGCTAGGTAAGCTGATCTTGAAATCTATACAGTAACATCTAACAAGATCAGTGTTCATTATACCATGGTTGATTGTACCAGCTCTTCACGTCAGAAGAACCTTGAGATTCGGTATATACTTCACCTTCCTTCTCGGCACCGTCAACATGGCTGTTAGTCTAGTCCGCTTCGTCATGATCTGGAAAGCTGGAGCCGACTCGAGTATATCACTCAGTACGATCGGTACGACTTCTCCCAACGCTGAACGCGCAATCGCTGACCTCACTGTAGTCCTTTGGAGCGCTTTAGATGTCAACATAGGTCTCGTCGTTGCTTGCCTGCCGTCGCTGCGCCCATACTTCGGATCACGAACAAAGTCCCAAGAACAAAGTCGAGAGAGCAATAGCTGGGATTCTTCGAGGAAACACTCTGGGTTTGGCAACAGAACGATATGCTTTCACTCCAAGCAGCGAGGTAGTGGAGCGTGGCCATCATCGCCAGGCAGCCACGCTAGATACTCCTCGATAGACCAGACGGTCGTCGGGTCTATGGATGATACAAAAGGGTTCAAGGATGCGAATGATGTTGAGCTGAGAGCTCTACCGGGAGCCAGAACGAGGGACGTAAGTTATGGTAAATAAAGGCATGAAGAATGGTTATAGAACATGATTAATGATCCCACCGAGCTTGGAGGTAGTTCACGATATGTAATATTGATCAGATCAAAGTTATGTACTAGAGAATGACAAGACATGACTCCAAAAGAGAAATGTCCCGCGCTGAAAAGTAAAGCCCCCATCAATTGACACCATGTCAAGCCCTCTTCAAAATTTTCACATCCGCCATCTTCGCAGCATCACCCCCGAACCATACCAAAGAGAGATCCAACTCCCGTCTCTCAGGGCCAGGAACCTCCCACAAGCAGTTCGGTCGAAGTCTTACTTAGTCTGGACATAGATAGATGAAGATCCACTGCTCTGGTATCCCTCGGTAGCCAGGATCTGGTAGTAGTGGTTTCCAAGTCTCATACCAGCAGAGGACCAAGCATTGAAGATAGTCTGCATGTTGACAGCGCCGCTGCTGCGCTTGTTGCGACGGATGGCCCAGTACTGGTTGAATGTCTGTGTGCCGTCGATGGAGGGCTGGTTGTAGCGGGTGGTCTGGTAGAGATCGTAAGTATCACCGTCGTTGTAGACGGTGCCCTTGTGTTGGCCAGCAGAGCCAGGGTTGTAAGTGCCGTAGTTCTCGATGACCTAGATATTGTTAGCGAGAAGTGCGGGGTTGGGAAGGGGGTGCGTACGTAGTACTCAACGAGAGGGCTGCGAGTCCAGCCGTAGACGCAGAGGTAGCCGTTGCCCTGAGGGCTGAAAGAACCGCCGTAGTTGATGGTTCTAGCCTGTAATCAGCAAATCATTCTTCTCAAAGTCGACAATATCTTCAACTCACCGGCCAGTACCAGGGTTCCAACCCTTTCCACCAACAAAGTTACCAGTGTTGCGCCAATCAACCTGGTAGTGGCTTCCCTCGCCCATTCGGTAGTTGGCATAGCCACCGCCATCAGACCACCAAGAGTAGAAGTATCCGTTATGGTAACCCTCGGAGTTGCCGGTGACTTGACGGGCCTCGAGGACGGAGGTGGAGTTGCCGTCGTCTTGCTCGTCGAGAAAGTCAAAGGGGCGAGCGAGAGCTCCGGTGAGTGCCGAGGCGGCGAGGAGGAGAGACTTGAAGGAGACCATGATGTTGTCTTGAGGTTGTCTGGATAGTTGGAGTGTAGATCGAAGAACCCTGATGAGCTGGAGAATCAATTCAGTTAGCGAGCGGTATGGTCTTTATATACACTCGTAGACAGTTTCATTTCACCTGTCACAAGTCAATGCCAAGCTTTTTAGTTCTTAATACCAATATCATCAGGCTGTTTGACTCTCTAGCTTGGTGCCCTACCTCGGAACCTGACTCTCCGTAACTCGCATAAGCAACTCTTTGCATTCATCTTGGAAATCTCAGCCTCTTCTTCTCCACTCGCATGAAGGCCAAGACGGTAAACATTGGAGCCAAGACGGTAAGGACTCAAGTGACCAATAACAGCCGAGGAACCCCTTACGGCCAAGAAAGAGTCCGTGATGCGATTGGTAGGACGCGTACGTAAGAACTGGTGTGATGTTTCCTCCGCACTCTTCGATCGGTGGCATCCATCATTGTATTCCGGCTAAAGTCAGATACTCCAATTCCTCTTGTCCGTGGCTTGAGATCGTGACTCGGGATGCCAGCGGCTTATTGCGGGGAGGCGGGGATCATGGGGTATGGGGAGTGCACGTGGCAGATATATCATATTAGGCTGCTATGCCGAAGGATAAACATGCGTGCCAAGATTCCTATGAGGAACGAGTAAGAAAAGCGGGATGCCTTGGTGTTGCAATGGGGCCACTTCTAACAGCATGTCTTCCTTGATGCTAATCCAGGATGTCAGGACTAGAGCCGAATCTATTGCCGGGATGCCCAGAACATGGTTTGATGGAGTGATTGTGCTTGGCATGGTCTGCTTCCTCCTTGACGGGTAAAAGAGGCTTTGAGGCCATTTATGAGTCTTGGAATCACATCAATTGGCCTTGTAATGCTACTGAACTGAAGCATCGCGTTTGTTCTACGGCCTTTCTTGAGCAGTACGCTAATATTCTCTATGAGCTATAGCTCGGTAATCAAGCTGATCTCCAGATCGAAGTAGTATTATCTAATGAAACGCGGCGTCGACAAACGTCAACAAAGGTTAAATTTTAAACTCACGACGCTTCATCCCGTCGGGTCAATCCGGCTCAGCATGCTTGGCCCGGGCTCTTCGGATTATATGCACGATCCATGCATGTCGCATTCTGGCTAAAGTCCACGATACATAAGATTTCTTTTTAACCTCGGGTCGTCTCCATGATCGGTAAAAGATCGCCGTGCGTCTTATTCCCTGAGGACTATATTCCCTATTAAGGTTGCTCATCTTCGTCTGCGAGTGTTCAGGCTAATAACGGTTAAATTAGCGGGAGGATATAAGTGCCGTGGTATAGGGATAACGTGTTTCATGTGTAGTGCTTAGATTAGCGAGGGCGATAATCCACTCTCTGGAAGGCGGTCTATTGCCATGAAGGGATATTCTTGATGTCACGCGTTTAAACGGAATTATATTGCTGATGGATCAATGCACGAGGACGGATAAGGTTGAATAGACGATGGAGTCGAATGACAAGACCATCTTGTCAAATGACATATCTGAGACGTGAGAAGGAATTTGTAATTCAGAACTCCATTCCTCTGATCTAAGTCAGCAATTGTTGGTGTTATGCTGAAGTATACGTAGATATGGCATCTTCAATCTAGTTGCTGTACAAGGTCTGGATGTTTAATTATGATTGGACCATCAGTCTGTCAGAGTTGGGTAAATATGGATAATGTCGAATAGACTATGTACTACACTAAGACGTCAGCTATCATACCACTTCCGTGGCTAAAGTTTACAACTCCTTGAACGGCTAAACGCTTGGAGATGCAATTTGGGCCTGTGTGAGATAGAGTAATCGTAGCTAGCAGTGCTGATTAGTCTTGCTAAATCTGCACTTGCGATTAGTGTCATTACCCCGGCTGATCATCATTAAAGCATCATGGCCACGGGGAGCTCACTCCGTTCCGCGCGCGGTACAAAAGATACATTCAACATGTCATGTTTGAGAATAACCGGGTATATACATGTAATTGATGCGAGATGCCCTTCCTCACCCACGTTATGAGCTCTACGCCCGTTCCTCAATAGGTTACAGACAATCCAGGCCGATCCCAGACCTTGGCAACATGACATTTAAGAAAGGGTAGCCTACGCTGACCCTGTAGACTTCGGAGTGGCCATGCATCTTTGTGTATGACGTGCTGTAATATTTGAGTTATGCAACGCTCTCAGCTCGGTGCATGTAGCACATATTTCTTAGTGTATTAGGTCACGGTATTCACTACTTGATATCTGAGACTTGTTACTGACAGTCCTGCTGACATGACAAGAGCGTGAGCCTCTAACTATTGTCATTGAAAATAGTTGTCCTCACGCGACTCCTCTTTAATTTACTGTTCCTTCTCCAGAATATTGTTGGAGAAACTCTTTTGCCAGTTCCTCCTCCTGTTTGAAGTATGCATCGGCATCCTGGCTTGGCTTGAACACCTCGGACCGGACAATCTTGTTTACATGTCAGTTAAAAATTAAGTCTGACTCACAGGATCCTTACCTCTTCAGTGGGGTATTCATGAATATCGAGCCTGATCACTGGGTTCTCCTGGTAAAAGTTAAGAATCTGATTGCCGGCAATAGTCTTCATGACTTCATCATATCGTTCCAGGTCATCGGCGTGGATCGCATCTCGAGCAGTAAGAAGCGCCATTGCTGCCAAAGACAAGATGGCAATGTTGACGATAATGGAGTAAAGCAGCATGCTACTAAAAGTTGGACTTAATCTGGAGAAGAGATGGAAAAAATGAGGCCATTCTCTTCTATTTTAAAGCGTCGCACTTGTCTGGCCAGAAACCTCGGCTTCCGGAATGTAATTACTCCGACTAACGTATTAAATCACGCAAACTTGAGACATGTGTTCAGCTCCCTATCTCCTCCTTCAGGCGGCCATACAGGTACTCCATAGTCAGTAGCTGGTCACGGAATGAACCGAGGTGACATCAGATAAAGTCACAAGCAGGAAGATTCTGATGTTCAGATAAGAGCTGAGTCATAGCAGTCGTATGACTTCTCGTATGAAGCCGTTGTTGGTTGTCGAGAGACGCTTCTTGAAGTTTACGAAGGGAGATATCCGATTGGCTAGAACAAGTCATTTTGTTGGTTGGCTCATATTTTCAGAGGCCTTTCGGCGACAGCGAGACACGCGTAACGCGAATTGAAACTCACGTTCTCTGGTTAGCTAAAGAAAGTTTCGTTTTCTCTCATCCAAAAAAGGGGTGTCGCTGATGCTCAATGTTTGAAAATGAGCAGGGAGTGCGTGGGCCCATATGTTGGTTTGATAAATCTTGTGGAGACACCATAAACTTTGACTATCAATCAATCAATCAATCAATCAAAGAGAAATATGATATAGTTAAGAGAAAGGAGGATCCGTATGCTTATATATTGTATAGAGACAAGCACCTTCTAGCGACAATGGGCTTACTTGCTTCTGCAACGCACGAAACGCTGGATTTATCGCGATGTGTACAGGTTATGCTGTGAGATAAGATAAGATAAGGCCGATGACGTCGTTGTGCGGATAAAGCGGCATACCGTGAACTCAACATTTCCTGTTCGGTCGGGAAGACGCGTCTCCCCAATTTCCCTCTCCAAATGCACTGCTTCCACCAGTAGCGACATGTCTTCAACAAGTATAGACCATGCGGGGAGCTCACTCGAAGAACAACCGCTTCTGCGACGGGGCAAAACAAGACTTCCGTCCTTGAACATCCAGCATTGGCATTCTCATCCCTTCAGAGATGATACATGGAACGTGAGGAGTACGAAGCAAAAGACTGCGCAGTTTCTTTCATCGAAAGCTGGGCATTATTCCGTTCTGACGCTGGTGTCGCTTGATGTTCTTAGCATGATCGCTGGTGAGTAGATAAGGTCTGTTGATGAGCAAGAAACTCATAGCGGCAGACTTCATTCTTAATCTGTTCAAATGTGAGCAAGGCAAGAAGGGCTCAGACTGGGACTTGGCGCTGGAGATTCTCGGGTCTGTAAGCCTGGTGTTCTCATGCCTATTCGTCGTCGAACTCATTGCTTCTGTTTGGGCATTCGGCCGGAAGTCAGTGTTGTTCCCATCCCACATAAACCTCATAGCTGACGTCCTCAGATACTTCAACTCTTGGTTTCATTGCTTCGACGCCTTCATCGTCATTGCAGGGTTTATTACAGATGTCGCACTTCGCGGTATCATCGAGGAGGTCGCTTCTCTGATTGTCGTCATGCGGCTTTGGCGAGTTGTCAAGATTATAGAAGAACTTGGTGTTGGAGCTCAAGAGCAAACGGAAGAGCTGAATGTGAAGCTGGAGAAATTTGAGAGTGAAAATGAAGATCTGAGAAGTGAGATCTCACGGCTGAAAGGAGCGATGAAGAAGGCGGGTCTGGACCAGCAGGATATTGGAGGTATTGTGAACTGAGAATGAGTTCTTTAACGCGAGAGGTCACGGCCTTGACACCGAGTAGAAACATATGAGGGACGATGCGATGGGTATGGTGTCAGTCTGCTGCTGAGAAGCCCTCCGAGTGAGTAAGCAGATTTAGCACGTATGCCTATATCACAAAATCATCTAGGAAAATGAGACAATCGGAGATTCGCTGTGGTGTCCGGAACTCTTTCCTTCTTTTCTCCGATCCGGAAACAGTACATCGCGAAGGGTGGAGCTCCCCCGCAAAAGTGATCAGCATGCCCATTTCAGGCAATTTTCCCCGCCCAGGGAAGAGGTTCGACCTGCTGAAAGATGCAATATCGAATTAGTTCTTGTGTCGCGACTCAACTCATCGACCCTGAATTGCTCGGAAGGAATGCCCTGCCTGAAGTCCGGGGTGATGATGTAGTCAGGCGGGTCGGGTCGTGTCCGCTGGTTTCATGCATACCCGTCTTAGATACGAAGGCCTCACATTATTCGAGACAGAACACTAGGCTACATTCGGCCAGTGTAACGTTTAAAAGGTTTTGTGTTTTCGCAAAAACTAAGAAACGACTGTATTATCTAGGTATCCGTGATACGGGAATTCCCGCACCATAACAGCTCGTCTATCGTTGACTGGCTAACTGGCTACTCGGGAATCTTGGCATTCTCCGGATATGCAGTGAGAACAATGAGCTTATGTGAGAACGCTGGAAGCGTTCAAGTGTGATAAAAGGAACGATCTCATAGGGCCAGTGACTACGCTAACCCGTCTACACTCACCGGTTTTGATCCTACAGTAAGCACCAGCGTTGCACAACGATAGTACTCCATAATTATGATCGTATTAGCCTAAGTCTGTAAGATTCCTTCCTACAGAATAGTATGGCTTACAAGTATCCGATACGTGATATCGTACGTGATATATACCTGGATTCGCTCTCGGTTGCTATACTTGTTCTTCTCACATTCTGGCAATTCGATAAGTCTGCCGAGTTTCTCAGCTTACTTATAAATTTTAAACCAAAATCCTCGTCATATTCTTGCAACACCGGGATATTCGAGTTACTAGTCATCAGAATGACTCCCGAAGAAATCCAGAGCTACCTCCGAGGTCTCGCTGCGCCTCTGCGTAATGACATACCCACGCCTCTACTTCATCGACCCAGCGAGGTCGGGCTTGAGTACCAGGATGTCTTCTTTCCAAGCGAAGATGGCATTACCCTTGAGGCCTGGTATATCCCAAAGCCTGGCTCAAACAAGCTTATTATTGTTAATCACCCCCTTCGCTGCAACCGGTCCGGATTCCCCGCTCATCTCGAGCCCTGGAAGGCCTTCCTAGGCGGCTCCATGACTGGCAATGATTTCGAACTTAATTTCATTCCCGACTTGAAGATATTGCACGAAGCTGGTTACAATGTACTCGCTTATGACATGCGTAATTTCGGTAATAGCGGACAGGCCAACGGTGGCATTTCCGGCACTGGGCACTTCGAGTCCAGGGATGTAGTTGGCTCGTTGAACTATGTCCGCAGCCGAGAGGATACCAAAGACATGACCGTTGGCCTCTTCAGTCGCTGTCTTGGCGGTATAGCAACCTTTTTCGCCATGCACCGTCGGCCAGAAATATTCAACGATGTCCGCTGTTTACTGGTACCCGAACCACTCTCGTATCGACCTTTTGTCGAAAGGGCCCTCGAGATGGCTAGTCTTGACGACCACTTCGACGAGGTGAACAGATTGGTCAAGATTCAATCAAGTTTCGACATTGACGAGCTCTCTCCTATACCGATCATGGAGAGTGTCCGTATCCCAACTTTCATTTACTCTGTACGCAACGATATTCTGACAAAGGAGAGCGATGTACAAACCATGTATGACAGAATCCCTGTTGAAGATAAGCGATTGCATTGGGTTGATGGAACAGTTCGGATGAAGGGTTACACGCATTTCCAAGAGAACCCTCAGATATTTATTGAGTGGTTGGATCAACACATGACATGATTCTTTTAGATCATGTGAGGAGGTTTGCGAAGGAGGACACGGGTAACTATCCGGAACGGATTCTATGTTATATCCATACACCAAGATCCCATGGAACAGAGGGTACAAGTCGCCTAGTCCAAGAAGTTGTTGCGTTTTTATCCGTTCAGTTTCTCATCTATTTGGACAATAATGGCCGATAATGAATCTTGACTTGATAAATACCTAACTGGCCGGAGCTATGACGATGTTGTTGAAGGTCTATAGGTGCAAAGTAACAAAAGGTTTCATATTTTCCTTCCTGCGTCGAGGAATTGCTCATCTACAATTGCTCCAGCCTCGCCAATGCATCTTGTTTCCGGCTTACATGAATAGACGTTGAAGTTTACGCATGGACTATAGACATGTTTGGCCAGAACTTTGCCGACCCACTAAAATTATACACATGTCCATTTAAGGCAACTTCCCCCGGCGGGGCAAAGATACTCTTTTGGGAATCTTCGACTTGACGGGCAGAAGGCCGATTTAAAACGCAGTTACGCAATTATCGCAAGTCTCGTTCTTTGTTTTCTCATTTTACTTTTTATTCCTGTCTCAAGACGTTACCTGCCTCCAGACGTCAAAATGGTTGTCATCAAGCGATTCCGAACAGTCTGGGGCGTCGAGTCTGGAAAGGACTTTGAGAACTGGATCCCATGGTTTCCTGATCTCAAGAAGCAAGGCTACGGTGAGTTTCACGTGCAGAACATGGTGCATGCAGATACTAACGTGATGTAGCTGGTGTTGAAGTCGATATCACAGATCGTGATGCCGACAACCTTCAGCAGTTGCGAAAGATCTTAGATGACGTTGGCCTAGAAGCCACTGTGCTGTAAGTTGCTCATGAGAAGTCTACGACGATGGCTTACTTTCGTAAGACTGCATACTGCATGGGCGGGATACGTTGGCGGCCGACCGAAAGATCTCACGCCAGATGTCCACCTCGATATTTACCGGGATAACCTCGAGCGTGCAAAGATCTTGAAGCCTGTCAAGATCAACGCCCAATCCGGAGGGTGAGTCTAATATTCCTGAGGGTTCCATTCAAGGCTTACGAGAGTAGAGATTACTGGAGTCTCGACGAATCAGTCTACTTCTACAAGAAGACCCTTGCCATCGACAAGGAACTGAGACTTACGGGCCTCGTTAGTCACGAAACGCATCGCAATAGGTCATTGTTCACGCCATATGCTGCCAAGTATATCTTGCCCAAGGTTCCAGAGTAAGTTCATACAATGATGGTTTTCGCGGTCGTAGGCTGACCTGGCGCAAGGCTTCGAGTAACGGCAGATGTCTCTCACTGGGTTGTCGTCTGCGAAAGACTTCTGGACCTTGGTGAGGAAGATAAGGAGATTCTTGATCTTCTCATCCCAAGAGTACGAAACGTTCTGCTCAATAGACTTATGCCATCACTCACTTCGTATCTAGGTTACCCATATCCATGCCCGTATTGGAACGACTCAGTCCTCTCAGTGCCCCGAACCTGATGATCATGTGTTCAAGGAGGAGCGAGAGTTCTTCGAGAGGCTCTGGCTGCGCATTGTCAAGGCGCGAAGCAAAGATAGTGATCTTATCACGTTTGTGCCGGAATATGGGTAAGTAGAACCTTTCGTGGCACGATGTCAATATTGCATGTAGCTGACAAGTTTAGCCCCTATCCTTATCATCCTCATGGAAGTACCAGGACGCATGGACAGGTTGCTGATAGCGAAGGCGCGAGGTTACAGAAGCTCTTTGAAGATAGTCTGAACGAATAGGAGACTGGGAAGGACACAGAATCACGAGAAGGGTGTTTCGTAAACCGTGATCATTAGACTGAGAGCTCATCGAATTAGATCGAATTCATATCTATTCGTCTCTACCACCCGCTAGCTCTAACCCATACGTCAACAATCTTAGTCGCATCTCCCTCTGATGAGTCGACGACAAGGTACCAGCCATATAATGCCCCGGCAACGCAAGCATGGTTCGGGAAAATGACGACATCCTGTCCAACCTCCAACGGAACCGTGGGTAAAGAGGACGCATCCTCGCCGTCAGCGTGTTCCCATGCCGCGATGGAATGTTCCTGGCTGATTCTATCAATGATTAAACGTCTACCATTATCAGATGCCTTCTTATAAGACGATTGACTGATGACTCCCCAACCTGGGTATGCGGCACACGGTTCGCGGCCAAGTCCAAGACATCCAACAGCAACTAATGCTTCTGGCTGCGATCTCTCATTGTCGTTGTAGACACTGCAAACTTCAGCGATGATGGAAATAGCAATCTCCTCTTCAAAGGACCCAAGCTCTCTCCTCGAGTTGGTCGAGACTTGTTGCATATCGAGGACGGAGTATACACCAGCGTGAAGCTCGAGCATGGTCTGAAGTCCACCAGGATTCCCCGTCGTAACAGCTTGAATTGACTTACGTAGAGACTGAGCTGCTGGTGGCAAGTCCCCTTGTGACGTAACCAGGTTTTCAACTGCTGTTACCTGGGGAGATGCCCCAACGCTGATGATGAGCTCTTTGTCCTTGGAGAAGAGCTGAGCATGGGCGTTGACTGCATCAAGGCAGCCCTGAATCTCTCCTTCAAGGTTCGCCATGGCTTGCTCGGCAGTTGTGTCCTTGTAGCTTAAACTACTATGGGAGTACAGTCCGAGCAACTCAGCCTCACCATTGGCCTCAAGCTGTGCAAGTGCCTCGATGAGACCGTTCTTGTTCATAGCTGTTGGTGGTAATCCTGCACGATGATATCCCGTGTCGACCTTGAGGAACACTCTGGCGGGAAACTTGGCATGTTGCGAGAATAGCTTCACAGATTCAAGCTGTGATGGGTGATCAATAAGAACAGAGATACTTCCTTGCCCCAACTCCGAGCCAAGTGCTGCTAGTCGTGAGATTTGCGAGCGGGGTAAAGGAAGGCCGTAGAGGATATCAAGACGCCGACCTGCATTTCTATACTCCTTGAGAAGAGGTAGGAGATGCTCGATCTCTGCAAGGGTTGATACAATGAGCTTGACATCACCGCTTCCATGGCCGATTTGTAGTCGTGTTGCCTCTATTGTCTGAAACTTGTTAGCGTGGGGACTTATGCGAACGTGGTGTATCTGACCTTATGAGTCTTGACATGCGCTCGAAAGCCAAGACCGAGAGTTTCAATAGTGTTGAGCATGGACTGGCAATGACGATTGACTCTAGCTCTGTCTAGTATTACGGCGGGCTTGGGAACATCGTGGATGTTTTTGCCGACGTAGAATTGGCGCAACTCTTCAATTGGAGGGGTATGTCTCTGAGGGACCGCCATTTTGAAAGATCAGACAAAGTGATAGGTACGATGCGAAGTTAATATGTACCTGGAGGAGAATGTCAAAGAAATACTCACCAAACCGAATCTCACGGGGTTGTTTTATGTCAGCAAAGTTGTCAGAGGGCGCGGCGGACTTGAAAATGTCCGTTGGTGGAGAAGTGACGCTATTCCCGGAATGTTAAGAAGCTTCCAGACTGAGCCAATAAGCGATTTTGAAGAATGGAAGGATTCAATGTGAGTCACCGAGCAAATAAAACGATGATAATTAAAAATAGAGTGTTTTGTCCGTTGCCCATGTGGTAGAGACAGGGTATCTTGCCATTAAACCTTAGATCTAATCTCTGGTGGGTTGCCGACATGACTTGGATACAACTATTCTTCCTTGGACAAGTACAACATTGTCTCCAGGTATGACTTGTATGACATTTTATTGCCACGATAGCATTGGAATTATGGTTATGACCAGAAACTAGCTGCTTGACCTCAATCACTAAGTGGGAAGACAGTATTATCAGGTCGAAATTGAACTGCAAACGGAAGGTAATTGGTCCGATGGAATAGAATAAGGTATGAAATGGGTAGCAAAGCAATCTAGATAGTGAATGATAGGCTCGCCCGATATTTAATTAAACTCATCCAGATTAATGGTTGTCTCTCGCAATTGCTGCAGCGACATTCCGGCAGCTGTCGACCAGTCAAGCGAAAATTGAGCTGTTAGCATAGCAATGGTTCGTCGCGAATGTACTGCCTTTTAGGCTCTGTAACTCCAAGACAATGCCTCGCGATAACTGTAGTCTATGTCATTTGTCTATCCTCTATGATGTTGAGGCTGTGCTGGGTTGAAAGCCTGCTAGCTGACTATTTTGCCAGGCTTACTCATGCGCCACATTACGCAAACAGGCCAATTCCTATGCATGTGAGATGGCAATGTAAACCACTCTATGACAAACCACTCTATGACATTTTCCATACGATATCCTGTTTTAAAGGTACAGATAAAAAGTCTTTGTCGAAACGAGAAGATCAGCGATCTCAGCAATGCTAAGCCTAGCTAGGTAAGAGGCTGCTGGCCAACCAATCAGTGCATGCTGCATCTCGTCGCACCTAGATGCTCATGCCCTCTCTAGTAGCATCCTAACCAGATATATTGACCGAAAATCACCGTCAAGCTACTCTGCCTTGCTTCGACTGTTGTATATTGGATCGCCGTGTCATTTAGTGGGGGCTGGAGGCAGGATGGGAATCATGCAGTAAGTGCGAAATCAAGTCTGCCTCGTCTGACACAGCCGCACTCCTTTGCATTAAATTCCCCTCATTTCCCAGACCAGCAAACGTCGCAACCTCGAATAAGCACAGTCACCCATCTCGAGTTTGTCGCTATGGACCAGCAAGAACAAAGTTGCAAAAGGCATGACTTTATGTTGCTACCGGCCAGCGACGCGTTCATGAGGACCTGTCTCTCTTGCGGATTAGTCGAGGACGTTGAATTATCACAACAAAAGCAACAGGTCGATCCTTGGGCAGGCTGGCTCAGAGCTGAAATTCAGCCATTGTCATGGCCCCATTGTGTTCAATACTCCGAGACTAGCGAAGCGACCCTTGTGAAGGCAGCGACAGGAGATAAGGAATTCTACAGCTACCGTCCAAATGTGCAGACTTCGTTTCAAAGCTCAGCTCAAAGAGAGGTAGGACATTACTTGCCCTCATAAACGATCAATATGAATATGCTAATCCATTTGGATAGAGAAACCCTTACGTCTACTCTGATCTACCCAAGGGCTCCTGGATTCGACTACTGGAACTATCCCCCGGCAGCAGGCTCGATACACTCAGCGGGCGGATTTTCCAAGTATCGTGGGAGCAAGAAACGTGTCCTCTATACTTAGCCCTGTCCTATACCTGGGCAGATGATCGGGGTGATGCCTCACCTTCAAATCTGATATTCCTTGATAAAGAGCAGAAGGTTATGCGCATTACACGGAACTGTGATCGGGCCTTACGGAGCCTGCGCCAGGAATACCACTCAGTTCTACTATGGGTCGATTCCATATGCATCAACCAGTTATCTCCGTCAGAGAGGTCACACCAGGTCGGCTTGATGAAGACCATATACTCCAAAGCTACTGCTGTTCATGCATACGTAGGAGAGATGGAGTGTGGAGACGACTCGACAGGGACGGAAGCCATGGATTTGTTACATGATATTCAAGTGAATGGCATTTGTGACGTATTGTCTCGTCGGAAAACCAGCACCATCTCCAGTCTCAACAAATTCTTCGGAAGACCCTACTTCGCTCGGTTATGGGTTGTCCAAGAGCTTCTCCTCGCTCAATCCATTACTATACATTGCGGAGAGGTCTCACTCCATGTTACAAACGAGTCCATGTCGCAGCTGCACTAACGAGGTGTTAATGTTCCTTCGTGGGTTCGATTTGTTGGGAAGACCAGGTCCAACACAGAGCAAGCCCCCTTGGACCTGAGAGGTCTTCTTGCTGCAACCAGTATCTGTCGTGTCACAGACCTACGTGACAAGATATTTGGGTTGCTAGGTCTTATTAGCAACGATCAGGCTTCAGAGCTCAGTCCTGACTACGAATTGACGGTCCGTGAGGTTTACACTGGAGTCGCTGCATATCTGATGCAAAAGAGCCATTGTTGCGATATCATTCAGCACGCCAACCCCTACTGGGCTAGGAACTGGTTTGTTAAAGACCACCAATATTGCAACAGTGACTATGGCATTCCGTCTTGGGTCCCTTTTTGGGATACAGATGTACCGGTTCATGCTTCTGAAGACATCTACAGACAAGTCGAACAGATTGAATTAGACAGCAAATGTCTTCTTAAGCGGCAAGCACTTTTTGACCGTTGTACAATACGGATCATAGATGGCTGGCCTCATGACGGGAACTCAGTGTGCGACCGAGGAGCAAAATCTTGTAAGATGGTAGACGCTAAATCAGGCTTTCTTGCAACCAGGATAGAGACAGTTTTACGGCTCGATTATTCACTTGAGTCTGTTCTTACTGTTCGCTGGGAGCTTGATCAATGGGCAGACGGCGAGTATTTCACAGGGTTCTGGAATCTGAAGGATGGTGTCAAACTTGCCATTAGGAGTCTTGCATGGGCATTGAAGTGTACAGTCTCCAACGCAGATGTTTATTTGATCCGGGTCGAGGGGTGCACTGCTTTGTTCTTGGCGCAGCCGACTTCTGATATCCGGAAATATCGCCTGATCGGCTCTTGTGTCGCAGCTATAGTATGTCCAACACCTGAGCCCAGCCCCACGGGGATCCTCAAGTCGGATGACCTGCATCGCTACCTAGAGTTCGAACCTCTTACAGTGGAAATGATTCATTTCATATCGAAGTGGAGGAATCAAGTATTCGAACTCACAAGGTCAGACCCAGAAGACGCAGGCCACGTTGCATCAATCCAGGGCCAAAGTTGCAGCTATGCCCGTGAAGACAAACCCGAGACGATGCACCCAAGTTGGAGAAGCTGGATTCCTTTCTTAGCCTTGGGAGCTAGGAATATGTTGGAAGGTGACTCAGAGCTACAGAAGCAACTTCCAAATCTCGTGAACTTCTGGGATAAGGCTTATGCCTTACATACTACAGTTCAAGAATGGACAAAGAGTGCCTTGCAGGTGTCAGACCACGTTCGCATTCAGTGGTATAAATTTTCTCAGGATGTGAAGAATGGTCTAGAAGATCTTATGGAGAAGTCGCGTGAGTTGGGAGGAGTGTTTGGGACGATTACAGGGAGCAGGCCTATTCTTCAGAGCCTGCACCATCTTCAGGCCCTACTCGATCAACTAGCAAACGGCGAGGTGAGATGGGCTGAAGATGACCTTTCAATCTATCCAGGTGAATTGGAGAGATTCTTTAAGGATTATGACCGTCTTCTTATAGCGTTGAAAGAAGATCAATTGATCTTAGATAAGGCTTTTCCACTGGACCTCAAAGATGTACACCCTAAGTTTAGCAGTATTAAGGAAACTATAAAATGGAAACCTATGTTAGAAGGGCTGGTAAGAGAGAATGCAGAACATAAGGAGATACATTTTATTTAGATAGATATTGAAAGTATATAGTATAATATAGAATCTACTTTCACATAATATTATAGGTATTCTCATAGTAAGAACCATATAACACTGTGTGTACTTTCTGCATACTTGGGAATTGTATCTAATAGACCAGTATTTTCAACGTGCTTCTGACACCTTGGCTGATTTTGGATAAAGACGCGTGCGCGAGAACACGCCAGCCCTGGTTATCCTGTTAATAAGATGAAACCAACATCTTGATATAGACTTTGTTTTGCATTGCAATCATATTCTTGGCCCCATGGCATCACATCCAGACGAAATTGACATTTCAAAGGATAGAGGTTTGAAGGATATCTCAAGGGTTTTCTAGTACATATCAATGGTTCAACAATCGGGCTACAGTGATGAGAATTCGAAATCCCGGCTCTCGGTGACAGTGCGCGGTTCAGCCCTACCCGGCTGATCTCAGCATCCCCTCTGTAAGATCAGCACTAGCTTATCAGGTGGGGAGTAATTCTCGCAACTTCGGATAACGTATGCTGACATATTACACACAAAATTCCAACACCACCTACTGGCGTCTGCGACTACTTGCTGTCAAACCGATGCTTCCCTTAGCATGAGGAGTGAAGCGAATGCATTTCGGCGACACGAGTAAAGAGTGCATCAAACCAAGTCACTTTGTAGATCTGGATCTGAGAAGAGTGCACGAGGCTTCAGGGGGCTAGTGAGCGCTAGCTCTTAGCGAGTTCACCGGTGTCTGGGAACCAGCGAACGGTCTTACCTGGATCCACCTCACGATGCTGACCGTCGTGCAAAAGGCCCAAAATCCAGAGGGGCGGTGACTTGAGCGGCATATCGGCAAGGGTCAATGTAATCGGAACCGGCGAGGCAGCCTGTCCTTCATTGCAATTCTCGCGGCCCCGAATAGTAAGCCCGTCACAGCCCTCTACTATTACCTGGCACGTATAAATGGCTGGATATGCACAAATAACATATTAACCAGTCAACCATCGTGCATCACAAGAAAGCTTTACCCAAAGAAAGCCCATAAGGGAGACATTTCCAAGGCCTATGCGGCAACCATTGAGATGCTTTCCAGAGACTATTGGCCGATTAATAGCTAGCCTTCAACATTCGGGGTCCGTTTTCACACTTGGCTTCGCAAACTACGTCATAAACGGGCTAATTTTTACTCCGCAGCCCTGAATCAGTTATCGACAGCGCTGCAATGGCCCTTTTTGGCACATTAGCTTGGCATCAACACCATCCCATGTGACGAAGCTTACGACGATCTTTACCTTTTTGAACCGTGGTTCGGGCTGTCGGTGGATGATTGTCAGCGAGTTCCAGTGTGAATGGAGTTTTTTCGTGAGACTTTGGTTCCGAGACCCGGGGAGCAGGGTTGAAGATCCTTTGGTCTTACATGCATCCGACGGGGAAACGAGAACTTGGAAAATGTTGAGTTGGCGCGTATAAGAGAGGTCTGTTGGCCATGTGAAAGAGGAGTTGCTTGATGTTTGTTGAACAAGCTCGCTTTCTTACCTATCAGACCAACGAACATGGCTACTACCAATGGAACCAACGGCAATATGCCGGTGAAGACTCGTGAGGAGAGCAACCATCACATGGAGTCATCTATCTGGAACGACGTCAAGTTCAGACCCGATGATATCATCATCACGACTTATGCCAAGTCAGGCACAACTGTAAGCGACTCACCCATTTCTCTCAGCATGGAGCTAACAGGGCCATTAGTGGGTTCAACAGATCGTCTCACAACTGCTTCACCAAGGTGACCCAACCGTCCCCGCAGGCGCCCTCTCGCCATGGGTCGACCTGCGCATCGTCCCCAAGGAAGCAATGCTAGGACTAATTGAATCCCAAACGCACCGTCGCTTCCTTAAGACACATCTTCCTCTTGACGCCCTCGTCTGGAATCCCCAAGCCAAGTATATCTTCATTGCGCGCGATGGCCGTGATATGGTTTGGAGCATCCATAATCATATGTATCGCGCTACAGACACTTTCTACAGCTTTTTCGAGAACACGGGTTATGAGGGCCAACTTCCTAAACGACCGAGTGAGAACCCCAAGGACATTTTCGATCAGCTTGTAAAAGATGATATGCCAAGTTCCATTGGTTGGCCTTTCTGGAGTCATATTCGTGGATGGTGGGAGCATCGGGACCAACCGAATCTCCTTCTTGTTCACTTCAACGATCTCAAGTATGATCTCGAAGGAGGGATTAAGCGGATCGCGAAGTTTCTCGAGATTCCGGATCTGCCGGAGGATAAGTCCAAAAATGTCGTTGAACATTCTACGTTTGATTGGATGAAAGAGCATGCGCATCTCGCGGCGCCGCCTCAGGCTGAGGTTGCTTGGGAGAACGGCGCGAAGGACTTTGTGTACAAGGGAACTAACTCGAGGTGGAAGGATGTACTGTCTCAGGAGGATTGTAAGGCCTATGAGGAGAGGGCGAAGAAAGAGCTTGGTGAGGAGTGTGCAAACTGGCTGCAGCACGGAGGTTGGCTGAAGTGAATCATGATTGCTGGGGGTCTTGATACGGGGAGGTCCTCATTTGGTCATTTCTTGTTTAAGATACGCCGGGCTGCTTTCTAGGCTCTTAATAAGTAAGTATGTGAAGTTTCATTCTCTGTATCCTTTATTCGGAAAGAGACGTGCTTGTCTACTTAATACCGTAGCTGCCGTTGATAGCTGATCAAAGGAAGTCGTCTTCCAGGGAGCAAATGAAAGCAATCTTAGCAGGGGATCCGCCAACTAGTACATTAACGACTTAGATCATTATTTGTTCCATAAATGCGTAAAAGCTTGTGCTCTCACAACTTGGGTAGCTCCCTTGACTCTGTGAATATATTAATAGTCGATGGAGCAAACTTGCAGAGCATTTAAAAGCTCGAGCCGACGGCAATAGCTATGGGATATGCTTTGCTACTTTCAGCTTTATCTTGAAGCTCCACATTTAGTGGTGAACCTTAGACAGCAACCATTGATTTTGTTAAGCCACGCATTGTTTACTATTAAACACGGGGTAAGTTGCACAGCCACTATTGCATTCACAGAAGCCCCGGCTCTCGATAGAGACACGATTAAAAACCACCACGCAGTACACTCGACACGCTATTACATGAAAACAGTTTTTCTTAGTCCTTACACTATATTTAGGCTCTAGAACGGAGTCCTTTCTAGTTGAGTACACCTGTTCCTTAAACCCATGACAGCGAGAAAACGCTGCCTTGAGCGCGCCAAAATCCAGGACCAGCCCTATGTTCCAGTAGATATCAATCATGGTTGTAAAACGATCGCGATAAGCGAAAAATGAGGCATATTAACGTTGTCTAAGATATTACAGTCAGCGGGGAGTCGCGTTGAAGTAGAGCTAATTCAGAAAAGCGTGTTCCTCATGTAATCAAATGAAGTGACGGCTTTCTAGCGGCACTTTAAATATCGGGCTTAGATTTGCCATTAAGTACAAGATTATATCATTAATGACGATAGCGCTCTTAACGATGGTCAGTGTTTAGCATATGAACGTACTTAGGACTGGCTTTATGATTTTGAAGGAACTCGGCTGTTTCGTATTCCTCACTGCTGATAGCAGCTTGCAATGCGTTATCAAAATGCCCCCCTGGAGCATTTACATCGGCACCTTTCTGCACTAGATATCTGACGATATTTAAGTTGCCCCTCAGGGAGGCGACACAAAGAGCAGTGCCAAAGAGACCTCCTTGGACATTTATACTAGCACCCTTCTCTACTAGATGCTTAACAATGTTTAAATTGCCAAAGCTACAGGCATAGTGAAGGGTACTGCTGCCATAGCTTCCTTGGGCATTGATATCAGCACCCTTCTCCAAAAGGTGCTCAACAATATCCAAGTGGCCATACCTGTAAGCAAGTTGAAGGCCAGTAACGTCTTCTCTTCCTCGGACATTAATTTCAGCACCTTTTTCGAGTAAGAATATGACGATATTCAATCGGCCATTGCTGCAGGCACTTCCAAGGCCGGTGTTGACATCAGCACCTTTGTCCACTATAAGCTTGACAATATTCAAATCGTCACCCAAACAGGCATGGCTAAGGGCATTAGACTGAGGTTTGACATCAGCACCTTGCTTGATCAAAAGTTCTATGATATCCAAGCGGCCAAATCTACAGGCGAGTTCAAGAGCATTGTCAACCCATGATTGTCGGGCGTCGAGATCGGCGCCTTCCTTAGCCAGAAATGCGACAACATCCAGGTGGCCAGCTATGACAGCAGTACAAAGGACATTGTTGTCTTTTCCCTCGGCGTTCACATCAGCGCCTTTCCGAATTAGAAGCGCAACAGTCTCCAAATGGCCAAACTCGGCGGCAATATGCATGGCAGGGTTGAGCTTCCACCTTGTGGTATTCCCTATGAGGCTTGGATCTAGTAGCTTGTTGACACAGCTTTCGTCCCCAGACCAGCTTGCGTAAAATAGCTGATCCTGCCGTTGTAAACGATGAATGTGCCAAGGACGTGTTTCATATAACCTATCCTCAACAAGTGTACGCCAACGATTGAAAAGTAAGCTGTTCGAAAAGAGCTCCATTGATAAATGTGTGAACCTGTTGAGACTTGACTTGCGACGGGAGGCCTCGTGCAACCAACGGTCCACAGCTACTGGCATGAAGTGGTACGTCCTCTTCAACTCTTCATTGGGTAAGATATAGTCCATTTCCAAAAAATATACCAGGCAAATTTCACTGATCGTCGAACTTGGGGTGGGCTCAGTCAACAACCCGCCGAACTCGGTCCTGGGACAGGAAGATATGAACTCTTTCACAGATGAATGGGCTAATTGTAGTACTGATGCCGCATCGTACCTTCTACCGAGAACTGGACCACTGTTCCAAGAAACCGCGACAAATAGCGTAGAACAAAGTGAAGATATTTCAGCTGGTAATGGCATACGTTCCTTCATGACGAATCGTGATCCGGGTGATGCTGTAAGATTTATGGCAAGAACATCGACAGCCGCTTCAAGCTCGAGTGGGATGTCCGAATATGCTAGAAACTGAAGGATTCGAATGACATACTTCCTTCTAGTATCTGTGAGATCGTTTATTATTTGGTAGTATGTCTCTTGAAGCGAAGCTGGAAGAGTCTCAAGGATCATGTTGACTTCCTCTTTGTTGATGCAGTCTTTTAAGCGCTCTAATTGTAGGGCCACCCAACGGAAACTTGTACATAATCATTAGCCTTTCGATATGTGGGATGGTGATCATTGGGTACTGTACACTCCACCTGCCTTCGCTGTCAGGGCGTGAACGATGTGATCCTGGGTTGATGTATGCCCGTGCCAGCGGCGAAAGCTCGTCGAGTTGGCCACGACATCACGAACATACTCAGAGATATCTCTACCCACACTGTCTGTTTTGAGAGACATGATAGTTTCAGGAATCGCCCATGTTTCGATAGAAGTCTTAATATCATGTTCAGAACGGCTTGTAACGAGGAGATGGGTGTTGGTTGGTCCGTTACGAATACTTTCTATCCAGATTAATAGCTCATCACGCTGGATGCTCCGGTTCTTGTATTCGTCTAACGCATCAATCAAAACGAAGACTTCTGCCGTAGTCAACAGCATATCGCGAAAGGTGGATTTCAGCTGTTCTATACTCGGTTGGCTACTCCCTCTGCCACATTCCGAATATATTGTAGTGATCGGATGCCGGGATTCTGACCGGCTGCGGTAAAGCTGATGGATCAGAGATCGAAGAATAGCTTCAATAGACTGTTTTTGGGTGTCGGTGAACGTAATGTAGAAGTAAAGTACTGCGCAGTTGCGAAGTCCGCAATGAGAGCTGTTTCTTATATCTTCAATGACTGTCGAGCTCAGAATGGTCTTCCCTGTACCGGAGTTCCCAGATAGCCAGAGGAAAGAATTGGCTCTAGACTTCCAAGTGAGATATTGGGGGCTTTTTAACAACCACTCCCCAGTGCCTGAGTGACATGTTTGACGAGCCTTGTTGTGATCGACCGAGGGATCAGATGGATTCAGCCATCTCGATATAGCATCATCTCGAATGCTGGACGAGAGAGATATAATGTTACGGTTGCTGTCAGTGGCTATCTGGTGAATGTTCTCAACCTTGTCGTTCACTGTTACTTACTATCAGCTTCAAGACGTCATATCTCAGCTATTACAAAACCGCTCAAGTACTCACGTTGTCCCAGAAGAGTTTCAATCCGTTTCTCCTTGAGCATACTGCTTGGAGCAACCTGAAGGAGCAAGTCCTTTGTGTATGCTGCTGCCACCATCGCCGCATACTCCTGCCATTGATCATTCTTATGCGAATCAGCATAGTCACAGATTCCTCTGATGACCACGCACGGGAAGTGATTCATCAACCCTGCAGCTTCCATCTCAAAGCACAAGATACCATGTTTCGCTGCGAGCTTATCGCGTAGAAGCGCATCTTTCATCAAAGAATTTCCAGATGCTATCAGGCCGCAATGAATAGCAGGATTGTCTTCGTCGTCGCCTCGTTCGTCTCTGCGCACAAGCTTGTCATCACTGCAAAACTCGTTGCAGTCAATACCCTCGCCCCCTTCATGGAAACAATTTGCTTCGTACAATCGATCGGTAGAAGCAGCGGGCCGCTTGTATTTCTTCTCCAGCCGCTTGTACTTTCGAAGGATCTTATCGATATTGCTCTCAATGTTGTGACCTTCCATTTCATACGTAGCGTGCAGAGCACTCATAGCTGTTAGGAATGCCACAGGCGGCTGGTTCAAGTGACCAGCAATGGCGAATTCCTCGCCTTGGACTGCCTTCCCATAGTCGTACTGGATGACACCGCTGTTGTTTCGACCTACAGATCCAACAACGATGTCACCCAGGCGGATATCCTTAGTGCCGGGGACGCCGCCACCAATTCCGACCATGAGGACAGCTCGCAGGTTGGAAAAAGTCCTGGTCATATCTTTCAGGGCAGCCGCGGCATTGACAAGACCGTATTGCCCGTACGGCAAGACTGCAATGACCACATTGTGTTTTCCGATGCTACCCAGCGTGTAATTGTTGTCATCGTTGATGGCTGCGTTGTCAACAGGATCGTGAAGAACATCGAGGAAGGCTTTGGCTGCAATGAGCTCTTTGGTCAAAGCGCAGATCCAACCAATTGTATATTCCTCAACCTCGGGCATAGTGTGCTACTTTGCTATCACTGGAGTGACAACGGTGTGTATGCTGCTGAATGGCGCTCTGTGATCTTTTGACAAGACACGATACAATCTGTGAGCAATATATGTTATATGATCAAAGAATGGCGGTAAGGAATGTATCGCAGCCTGATTCTTGTTTACCGCCGGCACGTAAGCACAGCCCTGGATTTTGTCCGAGCCTGCATAATATGGCGTTACTGGGCGCTTAACTCAGTAGCATGACTGGCGATCACTCCAGCTGAAACTCTGACCGCATTATTGCCGGCATTGTGAAATTGCCCCTCAACCAATTACTTTGGGCGGACTTGCTGCGAGCTTCGTTGTCTGCTGCCGCTACTGCAGCAAATGCCTTTTCGTTTTCAAAGAACTAGCCACTAAGAAGACGTCGCAGAGCATTCCCTAAAGAGTCAGTAAGGCAGAGCGGCTGATAGAGCGTACCAGAGGGGAAGTCAGCGAGTCAAGCCTGTTACATCAGGAGGACTTGAAACAGTAGCTAAATTTAGGTGGGAAAAGACATACTTTGCATACTATATGCTGCATCTTGGCACTTTCATTTCAATTAAACTCTGTCACTACTATAAGCCCCCTTGGCAAATTTGATCAACAGCTAATTAACATCGGAGCAAATTCAGCGAATATGCAACGAGGCCTTGACATCAATTATAACCTGGAGGTCAAACGCTTTTGGTGGTGTCGAAATGTGTTGGAGAAGCTTCATATCCATTCCCCTTGATTATTCTTTATTATCACGGACTGATGAGTCAAACAGTACTATTCCTGACTGCCAGTCCAGCTTGGGGCCCAAGAACCTAGCCTTGCTGCCAAAGCACAGTCTTGTCTCCAACAATGCTGACCTTATCAATCTCAACAATTTCACTATCCGTAAGCCTCCATCCAAGCGCCTCTATAGCACATTTCGCCTGCTCAACGTTTCTGATTCCAACGACTGGCAGGACTCCCTTGCTGATATTATAGTTCAACGCGACAGCGGCGATGCTCTTGCGCCGTCTCTCAGCAACCCTCTCCAAAGTCTCAAGTACAGGTTCAAGATCCTCCATTTTATAGCTGCTGAATCGGTGTGATTTGGGTGGCGGGTTGTCCTTAGTGTACTTGCCAGTCAGTCGGCCCTGGGCAAGCGATGAATATGACTGGAATATCATGCCGCTAGATTTGCACTTCTCGATATTGCCGGTGAGCTCAGGGTAGCGACGGAGAATGTTGTACTCGCATTGGTTTGTCGCGAGAGGGATGTTGAACTTGGCAAGCTCATCGTTGATCTTTTGAACGTCTTCAACGTCATAGTTGGCTACTCCAATCGAGTGCGCAAGGCCTTGTTCAACGCATTGAGCCATTCCCTCAGCTATAGTTGCGATGCTCTGCGGATGGATCGGTCCATGAACCAGATAGATATCTACGTATTCGAGGTTCATGCGATGAAGACTGGCCTTGAGACTCTTAACGGGCGCATCGACAGGATGAATGAAGTTAGCAGCCTTGAGAGGAGTGCTGAAATATTTCGTCTGTATGACAATGGTCTCGCGAGGGATATCCTTAACTAGTTCTCCGATTATCCTCTCACTCTCTCCATTACCATAAGCTTCAGCAGTGTCAATGAAGTTGATGCCAGCCTCATAAAGCGTCTTCCAAGCCAACATGACCTGGGGTAGTTCTTTTTCATCCCATTGCCAAGTCGACTTATCGCCCCACGACCAAGCCCCAATACAGATATGCGAAGCCTTCACGGGCTTTTGAGCACTCGGAAACTCCACGCGAGTGCTGGGTTGGGGGCAATATGATGTAGAAAGGACGTTGGCGCCGGCAGTTTCGGGGTCTGCCCAATTGGGCTTCTTGGAGTGGAAGCCTGACACAGCGGACATGCCTGCTGAAAGGCCGGTTTGCAGTGCTTTGTCCATGTATACAGCCTCCGAGGAAAGTACTTGGCCTTGCGGAAAAGATAAGTATAAAGAAGCTTGGCGGAAATACCAAGACAGAGATCAGGTTACCTATTTATCATTTTTTGTTATTATAGAACATACCTACTGCTGTCCCATTGATGGCTTTATGATGCAATTGTTAATGCTGCGTATAATTGTGCCGTGGTGTTTACGATGAGACAGGGATGTTTGGAGTCATGATGACGCGACTCAAAGTCTGCTATGACTCTGCATCATGGTCATGCAGTAGCAGCAAACCTGGAACATCGCCTGACAAACAAGTACAGGGCAATTATCAATAGGAAGATTATAAGAGCCCGGTTACAAGACTAGACAATTTGCTTGCACATACGGTGTCGCGTTGCAGAAAGGAGTGCGATTGTGATGACTTGGCTTGGATGGATGACGTCAAATGTTTATATCCACATCATCACATGTTAAACGTATGATTGCATTCCAGTAGCGACATTTAATATAAAGCAGGCTCACACATATTGCTTTCCAGTTCATTAAACATACCTTTGACACGATATTCGTTTTTGAATTCGCAAAAGTGGACTTCAACGACCCCAAGGACACAAAGTCTTACTCCGATGCGCTAAAGGTCGATCCCAATTCTATTATCACGACTTCAATTGATACAGTTCCCGTGACTGTTGAAAGAAAGCCGTATCAGCCGGGAGTTGACAAGCCTCGACTGGCCCATGCAGGTAATCATCCTCAGCTCGAGATGGTCGAAGCTTGGTGGCTCACGCTATCTAGGAGTTGCGAGAGCCAATCTTGCTGCTACTCACGAGCGTCCTGAGGGAACGACAGAGAATGACTGGGCTCAACGGCACCAGGATCAAACTGTAAGGATTATACATACTCTGGCGACCTCAGTGCTCATGTTTCCCAGGTTCTGCAGCAGCATTGCAATTTCTTTGATAAGATACCATCCCTCTCTCTCAGGACTTCCAACGGTATACTAATTATTTCAAGGATCACGATGGAGTGATCTGGCCAATTGACACCCTCAGAGGCTTCTATCAACTAGGCTACGGAATCATTTTATCCGTAGTCTCCGTCTTGGTTATCCATGGGAACTTCTCGTATCCAACACAATCCTCGCTCCTCCCCGATCCTTTCTTCCGAATCCACATCGACAACATTCACAAGGATAAGCATGGCAGTGACACTGGAACCTACGATACTGAAGGACGCTTCATTCCACAGAAGTTCGAAGACATGTTCTCCAAGTATACAGAGGGTCGAGACTACCTGACGATATGGGACGTGAGCAATTTAATGAAGGGTCAGCGGCTGATCGCTGATCCCATTGGATGGGGCGGCGCCTTCTTCGAATGTGAGTAGAGGAGCACCCATATCTCTTTCAAGGTTCACGAGTCCTAACTACTGTTATAGGGATGGCGACTTACATCTTGCTTTGGCCGGATGATGGGCGTATGATGAAGGAGGATATCAGAGGGATCTATGATGGGAGCCTGTTTTATAATGTCGCCGCTCGACGAGTCTCAAAGTAGTGACTGACGCTGTGCTGCGAGTACTAAGTTATCCTCAAAACGTGTATATAGCCTCGATGTGACAGGACCCGTTTGTGTAAAGTACTGCGCTATCCTAACTAAGTTAGACGAGAGCCTTAGAGGTAAAGTCATTTTAACAATCGTTCACTAATTGATCAGGTTTCCTGTATTTACATATTCAAGGCAGGAATTACTAATAATAGAAACCCCCTGCAGAGGCGGAATACAAGGCTGACACGTCAGGGCGCAGTGCGGCTGAGCAGCTGCAACCAACACATTCCATTGCTGATACCCCACTTGAGCCATTTTGCTATGTGCACCATTTGTCCTGCTACAAAAACAACACTTATCATGGCCTGTCCATTCTGCCCTCTTTAGGCCATTATGAGTACCTCAGTATGCCTATGGGAAATAGCCCGTGAGAATGTTCCAAAAGATGTGAAAGTTTGGCTAGTCTCTCTCGAACAAGGCATACAGCCCAACGCGACCGGGACTGAACAGATCGATGCGCTCATTGAACAGACATCTAAAAAGCAGAAAGAACTTGAAAAGTTCAATCACAAGTTCAGGAGGTATTTTGATAAAATCATTCACTGGTTGGATAAGTTCAAAGGAATTGGTGATGTCGTCTCTTCATTTGATCCCGTTCATGCAGCCCTTCCATGGGCCGCTTTCCGATTCATATTGCAGGTATCATATCTTCTCGTCTTGATCGCGTTACCACAAAATCTAACTTCACATAGGCTATATTGGCTGAACGAGAACAGGCAGATAGCGTTCTTGACCTTCTCGCCTTAACCCCGCACTTCATTTTCTCTGGCCGTGTTCTGGAAATGGTGTACACAAAAGAGTCCATGCACATCGGGACAACTCAAGATGAGACCAAACTCAGCCAACAGTGTCTTGATAACTTGCATAAGGAATTGATAAAGCTTTACTCGGAGCTACTATGTGCCCTTCAGTATTGCTATGTGATCTCGAACCAACACAAGGCCAAACGCAAAGCAACAGCCCTGTTCAATTCATCCGAGGTGACGAACATCCATAAGGATCTGGAAGTACAGCACAAAAAGGTCCTGAAATGCGGAGAAGATTGCCACAAATTCCTGAGTCACACTTTATCGCGCAAATCTCTCGACTTGTTGCAGAAGATCCAGCCAACGCTCACCGAACTAGGTCATCGAGTACAAGAACTCCTAGTTCGCATCGATGAGTCCGAACGACGCAAGACCCTTGAAGATATCTCTGCTATCCTGTTTCAAGCTCATCATGAGGAAGTCAGTGGCAAGAGGACGGCGGGTACTTGCGAATGGATATTGAAAAAAGAGAAATTCATTCAATGGGAGGAAAGCCTTTCATCAGTGACCATTCTTTATGGAAATCGTAAGTTCTCGACTTGTCCACTTCATTCTTATTCCAAGCTGACGCGTTCTAGCTGGCGCTGGCAAGACGTTTCTCATCTCAAGAGTAGTCGACTATTCCATCGGGAAGGCTGAGCCAAGCGAGGCACTGGCTTTTTGTTATTGCAAAAGGGACGAGGAGAATCGACGGAATCCTCGGGATATTCTCCGCAGCATTCTTCGTCAGCTAGCCACGCCAATCAGGGAAACCGGTGGCGGAATGATCCACATGGCTCTCAAAGATCTACCTAACACACTTGCACTCAACGGTACGAGCCTCGATGTGTCAACCTGCGAGTCCTGGATACAGAAGCTCATCGAAGATTATTCCAAAACTACAATTATTGTTGATGCGCTTGATGAGTGTGACAGAATCACTCGAGAGGAGCTTATAAGGGTTCTCAGTAACCTGACGAATGGGAGCGCAAAGCTTCGCGTTTTTATCTCCAGCAGGCCTGATGAGGACATTCTGCGTCACTTCAAAGAAACACCCGTCATGGAAATGCAGGCAACAGATAATGAAGAAGACATCTCATCTTTTGTAGAGGAAACGTTGTTCCGAGACACTCGTTGGGGTGGCATGAGTCCCGAGTTCCAGCAAAAAGTCAAATCGGTGTTTCATGAGAAAAGCCAAGGAATGTTCCAATGGGCAGCACTACAGGTTGATCAGGTCCGTCGACTGAAACTCTGGAGCGAAAGGAGTATCAGGGAACAACTCAAGACCTCACCCATCGGACTCAAGGGCGCGTATGATGTGGTCTGGAATCAGATCCAAGAGATGTCCCCGTATGAAGAGCAACTTGCCAGGCGTGCGTTGCAATGGGCTCTGTGTGCATTCAGACCATTAGAGACTTCCGAACTCTTGCTAATGATGCAGATCGACCCCGACTCTGGAACGATAGAGGCTGATACGGCTTTTACGCCGGATACTATCCAGAGCATCTGTGGAAACCTGCTTGTCTACGATTTGCAGTCGAATGTCTGGCGATTCTCGCACTTATCGGCGAGAGAATACGTCGAGAGGTATCATTACAGCATGCTTGATTCGCATCACCACGTTGCCATCTGTTCAATCAAGTTCCTCGAAAGAGACTTAAAAAGAGACTTTGGTCGCGAGCCGCTATTTTCGTGGCACGACGAGGAACCTCCTCTGTGGGTCATTGCGCCAAGCAGATCTCATCCAGATGGTTCTTGTGTTAAATTCACTGTTCAGTGCCACTATATAATTAAGTACGTATTCAGGCATGTCCATGAACTGGATTTACCTAAGTACAGATACTCTGAACTCTCCAACCTTTTAAGGAACCTCTTCGAACCTGTTTCCCAAGGTAGCTCGGCATTCAAGGCTTGGAAGCGTCTCTTACTTGCAACCGAGAGATTCGGATATCGCGCAGCAGAAAGAACCGCAGGGCGCAGATTTCCTTTGCAAACATCATCATCACCTCTTCAGGTGATGTCCATCTACGGAATCTTTCATATTCTGAGAGACCAGTGGGAGACGGCTGGGGGAGAACTCGAAGTTTGCCGTATGTTGACAGCGTCTCCTCTTACACTAGCCATTATGCATGAGCATGAATCTATCTGGAAATTTCTATTGTTCGCAAATGTAGAGGTTAATAGGGGAGCCCCGGGACCTCTCATAGCAGCAATAGAACGCGACAACATGGAAGCTTTTGAGGCTTTACTCGAAGCTGGGGCAGATGTGAACGATGTGCACCGCCTTTTTGGGGATATCACGGGTCAAGAAAATCCTAATACAGTAAAGGCACATAGCCCATTGATAGCTGCGTTGTGGCATTCAAGAAAACAGCGTCGAAGATACTTCATACAGAGACTTCTTGATGAAGGTGCAGACGTCAATCTTTGGACACCACTCAAGCCTACTTTGCAGCTCGCTATCGAGTATGCCGATGAAGAAACTGTTAGAGTTCTTCTCGGTGCAAACACAGAGATGGATGATCCAGACCACCTCCTTCGTCTGGCGGTTCGGAACAAGAAATTCAACCTGGTTCCATTATTCGTTGAGCTTGGCGCTAACATAGAAGAGCCTTATGAAGGAGCTTTGCCATTAGTATGGGCATTGAGAGACGGGAATCTACCGGTTGTTCGATCTTTGTTGGAGATGTCAGACACATCGATTGACCTATCTTGTCCGGATCATATGGAAGCAATTTTCTCAGCCATGTGGAAGGAGTTCGGCGGAGTAAGGAAGTCCCATTATTTCTTTGAATCTAACCCTCATATTCCTTGGATGGCCTGTCGGAAATATACCCTACGAAGGGCCTTAAGCTCGTGTCTCAAGTATGATTATGAACTCCATGGTCTGGGCTTCAGTGGATCTGATTTCGCGTTTCAGTGTATCGAAGGAACAGCACACCGTCAGCTATGCTTGATCGATACTTTACTCAACGCTGGTCCAGACCCATCCGTCAGTGTTACTTTCGGCTCTGGAAGCACATTAGCTGCAGCTGCGTTTCATGGTAGATTGCACCACGCTCGTGCTCTTCTGGATCAGGAGACGCTTGAGGTCGAACAAGAACAAAGAGCTCTCTTTCGAATTGCTTTGTTCGCTATGATGAGCGGACACCTAGGTATCGTATCTCAAAAATCTCCCGATACGCAGAGAAAGCCTTTTGGTAGCGAATGCCTTTGTCCAAAATATCTCAAGGTTCTTCTATGCCTGTTTGAGGGGGATTTGAGCGCTTACATGCCAATCTATGACTTCTTAGATCCGTTGATCCCTCTCGTATATATCAATGGAGAGGGATATGAGATCAGCAATTGTTGTCGCTTATACGCGGAAGGCTACTTCGGATGCTTGACTCGGCTTTGGTTTTCTATCATGTGGGATCTACAAAACAGCACATCGCCACAACTCCCTCTTCGCTCGCAACTTCGACGATGGCGATTTCCTGGAACATTGCCGCCTACGGTTACTATCGTCGCAAGACTGACGGCACTTTCCAGCGCTCGGCCAAATTACTTGATCAAGTTTTCCCTTCACGGCCATTATTCTCAGCTCATTATTGCTCGAGTACCCATGAAGGTCCGCAGGTCATTGAACCATATATCAGACGACAAGAGATGGAAAAGATACAAGCCTGAGAGTTTTGGGGTCATAGGATACCCAGATCATGATTTAGGAGTTGAAGCATCGAATACTGAAGTTGCGATTGCACCTCGCAAGTTTGAGGTCTATCAGGACTCACTTCACGGCAACAGTATTGTTTGGATTTTCCTTGCGTTGATTATTGGATTGTTTTCTTATTTTTTTGCTCTACCTCTGTCAATACGGGAGACTTAGTCGGTATTTCAAAGGTCTTCAAATAGAAATTGAGTGCCTAAGAGAAGAGTGCCGTTGCCGGAAGCGAGAATTATTTCATGTAGCAGAAGATATCGGTAGGTACCTCAAGCACCTAAGTCGAGTCACCTGGCCCCGGTCCGTTTAGTCATGGCAAACAGTCAGTGGGCTCTTGATTCCCATACACTAAAGTATTATTCATTGCCCACCAGTGTTACCAAAACTTAGGCTTCATGTCTGCTTGTCCTCACTATCTCCGAACGTGCGCCTCTGCAGCCTTACTACAGACTTCACTGGCATAAATACAGAAAAGCTCGTCTGCCATCTTTTGTGAAAGTTAATGAGACCTAAGTTTTCAGAGATAACGGTCCCGGCCTATAAATATTCAAGTTCTGTCGATCTCTAGTCGCTGACCCTATGAGCAACATCAGGAGCTACTGGATCCCTAAAAGAGGCATCCTTGACTCGCGAACTTATTATACAAAGAGTCACATAAAGTAAAAAAAAGTCTATTATAGGTCAAGTATGATGCTTGGAAATGTATTATTATCAAGAATCAAGCTGTCTTCGAATGGACATCAGTCTCGAAACGTACCATGAAGGTCAGTATTCGAAAAGTGAAGGGCCGAGGCCACGCGTTCTCGAGTTTTCGCTCCACAGCCGTTTGTAAGACCAGGTTATCCTACCACTGAGGGCCAATTAGTAAGGGACAGTAAATTGCCGCTCTTTTTGAGCTTGCCGTCATGCATTGGGCTTTGCGGTACGGGGAAAACAATGACCGTCCTGATCCTTTTCGGTCTTTTCATCTCGGCTTATTCGAAGTTATGAATAAGCATCATTATTCCCGCACTACACCCGTTAGACCGGGCAAATGTGGGTACCGTCGCAGAAATTGCCCGAGAATGCAACGGGCAGAGTGAATCAGTTTGTAAGCCATGATATACGAAAATACCGAGATCCAGAGATGATTGAGCATCTCGGTTACACCTTTGAAATGAGATTGCAACTTATAAAAGAGACCAAGTCTCCCGCAATGGAATCTCATCAAGCACGACTATCACCTCCGACACCTGCAATCACAATTACTCTTCGCTCTTATCATACTTTCACTTTTGACAACGACCAAAATGGCCATTTACGCTAAGGACCAGCCAGCAGACTTCACTAACTCCATCGAGAGAGTCGCAATCGTCGGCGTAAGTATATGCAGCCTTTGTTCCACCGAACGGCACTAACAAACAGGCCAGGCCGGCGGTACAGTCGGCTCTCACATCGCCAGCGCGCTTCTCCAGACTGGGAAACATAAAATCACCGCTTTGACCCGCCAGGGAAGCACTAACAACCTTCTCGATGGAATTGTCCCCGCTACGATCGACTATAATGACGAATCAACACTCATCGCTGCCCTGAAGAACCAACAGTTACTCATCATAACCTTGGCTCCCAATGCTCCCAAAGATACTGACGGCAAACTTGTCCAGGCAGCCGCCAAGGCTGGAGTTCCGTACATCATGCCGAACGGCTACGCTGGCGACATTGAACAGGTCAAGCTTGGGGAAGACACTCTGCTTGGACCGATCGCCAAACAGAACAGAGATGAGATTCAGAGACTTGGTATGAAGTGGATTACCGTTTGTTGCGGATTCTGGTTCGACTACAGTCTTGCCGGTGGTGAGAGTCGTTTCGGATTTGACTTTGACAAAAAGACACTTACGCTACATGATGATGGGAATGTGAAGAACTCAACTTCTACGCTTGCGCAGGTTGGAAGGGCTGTTGCCAAGGTTCTTAGCTTGAAGGAACTCCCCGATGATGAGCACGACAATAGTCTCACGGTTTCAAGTTTCTTGAATCGAGCTGTTTACCTGAACAGCTTCGTCGTCAGCCAAAAAGATCTTTTTGAGAGTGTCAAGCGTGTCACTGGTACTTCGGACGCCGACTGGACTGTTACTCATGAGTCTAGTAAGAAGCGGTACGACGAGGGTATGGCGCAGGTCAAGCGAGGGGACATGTCTGGGTTCAGTAAGCTGCTCTACGCGAGAGCGTTCTTCCCTGAGGATCCGAGTGATCTGTCTGCGAAAGCGCAGAATGAACTGCTTGGCTTGCCGAAAGAGGATTTGGATGAGGCTACGAAGGATGGAATCGCTTTGGTTGAGGTTCTGAAAGGTCGCGGTGAGCGCATGAAGCATTAGTTCAGGCAAAGGCTATGCAAATGTGCATTTTCAGTATATTTAGTCACTCCACTCAGTCCCCAGTCTTACCAGTCCTTCAATAAAGCCTCGATGTACCTCAAAATTTTATCGCTCGGATTGTCGAAGCGAACGGAAGGCCTTTTACACCCAACCAGGTCAGCCGATGGAGAAACTGCATCCCTTGAGCAACTGTTTCGGGCAGCTGGCAGGTCAATTGAGTACGAGTCCCTCTCCCACAATATGAGCCTCCACTCAACAGGCTTCTGCGATGGATCCAGCACAGCCTGCAGGCAGCCAAGGGAGGCCTCATTTATCACCCAATGCAGATAGACTCGATTGGCTTTGGCCCTAGACCAGCGCCAGAAACTGTTTGACCTGTCTGTTATTTTCTACTTCCAACTGCGTTTCTTTCCTATCTGAATTTTGAGTTTCGCTTTCGATAGTAGCTTCCCTTCATTGCAACGTCTAACATTCAACGACTGTAAGTTCCAGTGGCACTGGCCCTACTGCAGTTGAATCAGGGCCCCACTGCTGGAACTACGGCGCAGACTGCCCCTCAAGACGGTCAAACTAAACTGGAGGCCCCGCAGTTGCTTGTCTTACCTCTTCCCTTCAACATCACACCAAGATTCAACGGGACGTCTGTTGTAGCCTTTATTCTTTCATTAACCTTATCGTTTACTTTTTTGTTGACGTTATAGCCTCATTTACTATCTCAACCTCGTCGGCTCCATCATGGAGAACCCCATCGCGCCTTTGAGCACATTAATGTTGGACCAGCCATCTTATCTGGACTCTCTTTTCGGACTCGTCCATTCAACAGAATCTCTATCGTCAAAAGGCTTTGTGACAACCAGCCTGTCAGAGGCCGACCTCGAGAAAAAGCGACGTTGTGCGAGATGCAACATTTGTAAGAATCCATTGATCTGATCCCAGAGATATGATCTGACATGTCCAGTACTTATCAAGGAAGAAAGAAGAAGAAGTCGACAAAAGGCATTTCTCGCAAAACAGTCCGTGCCTTCGACTAATCCAAATTCCCTGCAGAGCAAGGTCACGGACGAGGTTGATGCAATTCGGATGGATCAATTGCAGCTGAAAGAGCCGAGCAAACCAGCTGCGCTCTGCAAGTTTCATGACGGGAAGCTTGTCAACAAGGTAGTAGCTCTGAAGTCCCCAGTAATAAACAGGGCTCACTAACAGCCATGACAGAAGTGGACTTGTTGTGACCAGCATGTGATGGGCCCTCCTTGCAAGGAAGAGGATGAACACAAACCTGAACAACGTACCCTCAAAGAGATTTCCAGTCGTTGGCAGTACTCCGCAACGCCATCTACCACGACAAAGGAGACACGCAAAGCTGTCGTGATTGACTGCGAAATGGGAACTGCCGCATCTGGTGACAATGAGTTGATCCGCCTGACTCTTATCGACTATTTTTCCAGCGATGTTCTGATCGACAAATTCGTCTGGCCTGATGTTCCAATGCAGCACTTGAACACCAAGTGGTCAGGCGTAACATGGAAGATGATGAACGAAGCGCGGAACAAGCGAAAGTGCGTGTTTGGCTGGAAGAACGCCCGGTCTTTGGTCTGGAAGTTCGTGAGTTCAGAGACCATCGTTATTGGTCATGGTGTCCAATCAGATCTTACTTCATTGCGATGGATTCATCCTCGACTTATCGACACCCTTATCGTCGAGCGCGACAATGATGACAAGAAGACTGGGCTTTCGCTGAAGAAGTTGGCGGAGGAGCGATTGGGCCGGGCCATACAGCAGGGGAGAGGTCACGATAGCCTTGAGGATGCGATTGCGACACGAGACTTGCTCCACTGGAATATTTTGAAGTTGACTGGGGGGCTTACAGAGGCTTGAGTGGGATATAGCTGTCGCTTTGATGTAGCGGTTGAAACTTGTGACGGTTGTATCTGGCAATGATTTCTTGCGGCAGATGAGCGTTCGTTGAGGATAGCGTTTCCATTATGAACTTGGGTGTTCTAAGTCGAGTAGGTCAGGTCTGGACCTACGCGGAAGAAACGCGTTTCATATGTCAGAGTCATAGGTTGTATTCTTTGTAGGCATGAGTCAGGTGTATTTAAACATACTCTGCTTTTTGTTCGTCGTCACAAGTGAATGGGGTGACTATATCGATCTCCCTGTCGATGGCCTGGCTTCCATCGCTACGACAACTATATTTTAAGGATAGTCTAACCAATATTGCCATCATTTTGCCTTATTAGGGACCTCGCTGCTCTTCAGTTGTACCTCTAATGTTGATCAAGGCGATCTGACAGTCTGCTTTAGGCAACACCAAGCTGCCTAACCTGTACCACTTCCACGGCGACCAATGATACACAATGCCACAAGTTCAGTATCACTGAGCACTTTACTGGTAACGCATTGATACTGGTACTCATATTTTCGAAAATAGCAGTGGTTTCTTGATAGAGTGGCTGAATGAGCCAAATATTCAGAAGCAATTTCCTATCGAATCAAGAGTAATACAATGGCGTTTTAAGTATCAACATCTTTCCAAGGGATTTAATAAAAAACAAGGCTATTGCTTTATCTCGGATGTTGTTTTGTTGCCCGGAAGTGAGATACTGAACTGGATGATCACCACATACCAGGTGTTGGTCACGTCACCGCAGCTAGCGAATCACCAAGTTACCCCGACGTTACAATCGCGGATGCATGTCTCCTGCTCTTGGTCTCATCAACGCAGATCTGAGTAATTTCGGAAATAATCTCGTGAAACAGATGCTGACGCAATTGATGTGCAGAATGAGCCGTGGATTGTTCGTTCAGTGATTGGGCGGATTATAGAATACTGCTCATGCATCCCGCTCGCCACACAGGATGCTACATCGGTTAGAAGGCGACATGATTACCAAAAGCAGTAAATAACGATCTCGTGGGGGATATAGGCTGACTGGGAATTAACGTCGTATCGTCATCTGTGAAAATAAGCTTAAAAGAAGGTTTTCTTTCGGACCAGCCACCATCTTCAACCCTACCCCATTCCCGAATACGCAATCAACATGGCAGACAGTAGCAAAGAAGTCTCGACCGAGAAGGTCAAAGGCACACCGGAACTTAGTCCAGGCTCGGACTCAGATATACCGGTCGTAGCTGTCCTGCAAGAAACGCCCAAGAGGAGTTGGAAGTCGTACATATGGGATACGTTCGACAAATCGCCCGAAGAGCGCAAGTTCTTGTTCAAGCTTGATGCTGCTCTTATGACTTTGGCGTCGCTGGGATACTTCATCAAGTACTTGGATCAGGTAAGTGAGTCTTGTCGATGGGCATGGGCTGTGACTGACAAAGCAGGTGAACATCAACAATGCCTTTGTTTCTGGTATGAAAGAAGACATGAACTTGTTCGGTAATGAGTTAAATTATATGCAAACATGTTGGACTGTTGGCTATGTCATTGGCGAGATCCCAAGGTAAGCCTGTTCTTCCCTCTACCAGCCATCGACATACTGACAGGGCAGTAACATGTTGTTAACACGCATCCGACCGAGTATCTGGATCCCCGCCTGCGAAGTAACGTGGTCGGTCCTAACAATCCTCCTCACAAAATGCACAAACGCCACGCAACTCTATGTCCTTCGTTTCTTCATTGGTCTCGCTGAGAGTACCTTCTACCCTGGAATGCAATACATCGTCGGTTCATGGTATCGCAAAGACGAACTTGCCAAACGATCATGTCTCTTCCACGCCATGGGTAACGTTGGATCCATGGTCTCAGGCTATCTCATGGCTGGCTCGCATAATCTCGATGGCGTACATGGGTATCACGGTTGGCAGTGGTTGTTCATCACCAATACAGTTGTTTCTCTCCCCATCGCCATATCAGGTTTCTTCTTCCTACCGGACTTACCCGAGATTACGAGAGCTTGGTACTTTACACCAGAGGACATCGCCCTAGCAAAAAAACGTATGGAACTTGAAGGTCGAGCCCAAAGATCACCCTACACGAAGGCCAAGTTCAAGAAGATCTTCACAAGCTGGCATATCTACACCTTGGTCCTCTTGTACATCCTCTTCAACAACGGCAACGGCGGAAACTCACAGCCCGCCTTCCCCCTATGGCTCAAATCAGAAGGCTACTCTATCAGCGACGTAAACCTCTACCCCACCATCGTCGAAGTAATCAGCGTCATAACAACGCTCATCTACGCCTGGACATCAGACAGTCTCTTCCGCGGCGCACGCTGGCCCGCAATCGTATTCTCCGGCTTGGTCAAGATCATAGCCTACGTGGGACTCACAGTCTGGAAGGTCCCTACGCCGTTTACGTGGGTATGCTTTATGCTGTGCGGTTTTGGCGGCGGGATCAGTGGCCTTACGTTTGCGTGGGCGCATGAGATCTGTAGTGATGATAATGAGGAGAGGGCGCTGGTTACGGGGGCGATGAATCAGATGGCGTATGTGTTTCAGGCGTGGTTGCCGTTGATTATATGGCAGCAGGTTGAGGCGCCGAGTTATCCGAGGGGGTATCCTACTATGGTTGGGATGGCGGTGGGGTTGATTGGGATTGCGTTTACGATTAGGGCCTTGCATAAGAGGCAGATCAGAGGGCATAGGCATGCGTTGACTGGTGAGGCATAACATGGCAAATGAGGATGTATGTATGAGTCGAGCATAGTATGTAGTGAAACCCTCTATATTTACCACAGTTGTACAATCTTGCCAGTCTTATCTTGTCCGTGGTATCATATCCCGAATCAATCCTCAATTGGTCATCATGTGGACGAATACCCTCCATCAACAAAGATAGTCTGCCCCGTCACAGCAGCACTAGCATCACTTGCCAACCAAACGGCAACACCCGCAAAGTCCTTCGGTAGCCCATTCCTTCCAATCATCGTCCTCGCAGCATGGGCATCCGCCTTGCCTGGATCAAGAAACGTAGCCCTGGCCAAAGGCGTATCAACAAGACCTGGTGCAATAGCGTTGCACAAAACGCCATGCTTTGACCATGCTTCAGCTTGCGAGCGTGTCAGACCCAAAAGACCTGCTTTGGAAGCTCCATAGGCACCGCTGTTTCCGAATGCTCGGAAAGACTGCTGGCTGATAATGTTGATAATACGTCCCCATCCTTTCTCAGCCATCTTGGGTCCAAATGCCTGACCGAGTGTGAACGGTGTAGTAAGATTCACAGCAATAGTCTCATCCCAAGCTCCCTGTGAGAGGTCATTCATATGAGGTCTATAATTAACCCCCGCCGCATTCACGAGAATATCCGGTGTCCCAGCATTCGTTTTAATCGCATGAATCGCATCGCGAACAGACGCTTGGTCCGAGAGGTCAGCGACGATCGCTTCAGCTGTGACGTGAAGATCCGCAAGGTGATCAATAGTATCTTGAAGAGGTTTAGGTCGTCGCGCGACAAGAACAATCCGACAGCCCGCGCGACCAAGGGCAATGGCCATTTCGCGGCCTATGCCTGATGAGCCGCCAGTTACGACGGCGACTTTGCCGGCGAGGCTGAAGAGGCTGGATAAGTAGCCTGAGATGGCCTGGGGGCTTGGAGCCATGGCGGTGAGATGACGCTAAATCCGGTGATAGTTTGAAGTAGTAAGGAATGAGGGTATGTAATGAGAGTGGTTATATGAACGGCGAAGATAGTCGCGTGTTTGTTTGGCTGGGATATGAGTCTTGTGAGCGAAATCGGCTGACGAGAATTGGTGCACGAGGTGTACCGATAATTGCACGTATGCGGGGTAGATGAATTGTGACTCAACGTTATTGACTAAAGCGGCATTTCACGATAAAACATCATGATCACAACAAAATAACAAATGCTTCTATAAAAAAGATGAAGAATAATAATGATCAAAAATGTCTTCATTTTAGCGCCGGGTAAAATCGCTCAAGCAGTTGCTTCTATCCTCACCAGAACCAACCACCAAGTCTCAGCCCCGATATCGACGACCCCAGGCCCATTGACCTCCAGATGAGCAATATGATCACTCAGCGCACTCAAAGGTCCCAGTGGTCCAGCGCTCTTGTCGCCTTCTGCTGAAGCTTCCAATAGCGCCTTTACAGAAACACCGACGACTTCTGACAATTGTTCGGTATTGACCAAGCTCGCGTGCAGGCCTCGCTTGTTCAACCAATCGTGATTCGCAACAACGACATATGCGACCGCGCGTTCAGCGGCTGTTTTTGGCTTTCGCGTAGCAGCTGCGATTGTTCGAGCTGGAAGACTAACAACTGTTCCTACAGCACCGAAAACAGCGCCTAGGGGGATTGATATAGCACCCCCTACGACACCAACTGCTGCACCAAGGATGTTTCCGCGCTTGGTGTTAGCAGCGATGTTCTTGCCAACGCTCTTAGCATGATTTTGAACGTTTTTGACGTAATTGACAGGTTGTTGGCCAATGTTCTTTGCGACATCTCCAGCGTGATTAATAGCGCGCTCTCCGACCTTGGCTGTCATGAAGGCGGAGATGGTGTCGAGGAATGAACCCCATGCTTCTTTTGTGATGCCGTGGCCGAGAAGAGCGGGCGCGTAAGCTTTGAGGAAGGGAGATGTTTGGGTGGGGCTCTCTTGGGGGATGGCGATCGGGGGTTCTTTGGCGGATGAAGCCTCGGAGTAAGAGGGCAGAGGAGATGCAGAGGGGAAGTTGAAGGGATTTTCGGCGGTTGGGATCTTATCGGAGGATGGTTCGCTTGCAGATGAGGGGCCTGCTTCTGCTTGATAGGCTGGTGAGGGATCTGGGGGCTGGGAGGAGTTGGCGAGATGCTCTGCTTCTTTGCTTGAAGACATGATGAGAAGAAGCTTAGATGAGAAGTGAAGTTCGGTAGAGATCGACAAACAATATGAGAGTGAGATGAGAGGAATTGAATACGATAAATAAATCAGCGACCGTAAGATCTTTAAGTAGCTGGTAAACACGGCTTAAATGCCACTTCGTCATCGGTTATAACGGCATCGTGCTCAGCCCTAAGATCTGAATTAACCCAGATACTGAACCAATAGGAGACCCCGACACTCGCGCGGCTGGATTATCTCGAATGGCTTGACGGATCGAGACTAGTGCGACTGCCTCAGGGTAAGCGAGAGCGAGAGACTCCAGTTGTGACGCTACGTAATGAGGCTGTGCTGACCTCGTATGGGTTGCTATGTTGAAGATGAAGAATCAGAGAGATCGGGACAGATCACATATAGATTTATGTTCAAAATATCATTGTGGACTGACGAGACTTTTAGGCTTCTTCTATATTCATTCCCACTGGTGAAATATCCAAACCTCACTCAGCCACTCAAGTTCTCCTCATCTCGCCGCCACTTATTCGCTTTGTAATAGTGAATCCCCCCCTGCTGGATAAACATACATCGGACACTATTTCTTCCACTTGCCCGCCAGACCCGCTGCGACTCCGCACATTGGGAGAAATGCGAAACAGCTTCGTCTTCAGAGTATGATCGATCGCGAGCCCGAAAACACGGATTGGACGAGATATTTGCGTTCGACACGGATATGAGCGATGCGTCGTTTTGACTCCAGATCTTCCTGTGACAGCCTATACAACTTACTCCCGTCTTGACCTTTCCCCTGCGAAGATCGAGGCAGGGGAAAATGATGCTTGCTGCGAGACGGTAGTGTAACCAGCTGGGGTTTAGAAGGGCTTGGCCAGGTTCTTCCAGGGTGCTGTCGACTTTAATATAAGCGGCTAGTAAATCCTTTGCTAGAACGCCACGAGTTTTGGACATCTTCTGAACGTCATCCCAGTTGTGTGTCTTGAAAGAACGCACACCCATCAACTCTACGGTGTTGGTGATGGCATCAGCGTGGTCGGTGTACAAGCCCTTCCACGGTTGTCTCCTACTTATTCGTGCTGCATTAACGAGAGCTGTCTCTGGTGAAGTACGGAGACATTGAAAGCAGCAGCGTTTAGCAGTAGGAAGAAACAAAAAGTCACCGAACTGCGCACAAAAAGCACACTTTGTTGTGGTTAGTGCGGTGTAGACATCCGAGTATGAGACATAACCGCTAAGATCTGTTCGTCTCAAAGCATTGAGGGCATCAGGGGCGTGGCGCAGAACTCGTTGGTAGAAGATGAGGGCTGTTGCGAGGTATCGCGCCCTCCGACTAACTTGTCTAAACCGGCGGAATGAGTCGATGTCAAGCTGCAAGAGGATACCTTCAAGGGTATCTTGAGGTAGACGTGCTAAAATACCCAGGTTTGGGACTTCAGTTTTGTAGCAGTAGGAGAATAATCTGTAGATTCCTTGAGAGAATTGTTTTGCTTGGGGGTCGTGATGGGGAAAGTAGTATTTGGTACGTTTGTAAAAGCAAGTGCTGAGAATTTGACTTTTAGTGGCTATTATGTCTTCTGGGATGCTGGAGGGACCTGGCACCGAGTTGGTGTTTGCTGCAGATATAGAAGCCATTTCGTTGATGTGTTGAGGTGGAATGTAATCGATGGAAGAGTTTCCGAGAAATGAGAGATGAGAGAGGAAGAGAAAAACGTGCGGACACTTTGTTTATCTACTTTAAGTACATAAGTTCTAAACTCTCACTTCTGTGATTCATGGTCTCTGGTAGAGTTAGGAAAGGACACTTTGGCGCTGGACGTGGAGTACGATAGAAGGTACAGTGTTTTACCGGTGCCATCTGGGTAAATTTCAGTCATGTGCATCGCAGGGTAAGTTATGCTTTCCATGCCCTTTAACCTATGACAGGATCGAAGATAAACTCCAATGAGAAATCTGAGTTCCTCTCAGCGACTGACCAGTGACAGGGTTGAGATACTGAACTTACATCGAACTCACTTTGGATAAAAGTACGTGGCAGTCGCTGCCAGGTTCTTTGAAGACTCACATGACTAATTAAGAAAGCTTGCTTTTATGGCTTATGGACCTGGCATCGATGACCCAAACTAGCTCCTAGATAAGTTCAAGTTGTCCTTTTGGGCGATTAGCGAGTATACAAGCCTCGATTATAGATAATTCACAATACTGGGCGGACTAAGCACGATGCCGTTGCACTTACTGGGGCCATGATGGGTTGCAGAGCTGTTTTTTCAAGACGAAGGTTCGATTTACGCGTGTTCTTAGATGTAAGACTGATTTGACATGTCAAGAACGGTTAACCGAGCCTCACAATTATCTTTGCAGGAATGAAACTAGACATCGCGTTTATCGGAGGTTTGCAGGGTCTCGGAACAATAATCGGCAGTTAATGCTCTGAGCAATAGTAATACGGGTGGGAGCGAATGTACTTAGTGTCGGGATGTTTGCTAACAGATGCATGCCGAGGCACGTCTTTGTTATCTCCATCTTCAACGACGAGATGTATCACGATTTCGCGGAAACAGGGACTTTACAAGATTCTTACATGCTTGCTATCTAGTAGCTTTTCTGCTCTTCCACAATCATATACCCATAGTCTCAAATGCCTCATCGCAGTCGAATATCTCATCCAGACGCCAAAAACCATAGACAAACCGAACAAAGCCATGCTACATTTTCCCCCTAGCTTCCTGATCAGACTCCCCCAGAACTAGCCGCTGGGATATACCACTTGGCAAAGAAAATCAAGAGACAAGCGTGGAGCAAGACTTGAACAGCAACGCCAACCGCGACCCAGAACCCCTCGTTATTCACCTCCGGCAACTGATCCGCGAACCGCTGGCAATATTCGGCTCGTTGACTGAGCCACCAGTGAACACCTCCATTCGCAGCAAACCAGGCCTCCCGACCAGGCAACTCGCTGTTTTCCCAGACTTGCTGTGCATGCTGGCAAGTCTCAAAATGCTCCTGAAACCCCTCGTGTGAATAACAAGTGTCGCGGTCCGCGACGGCGCCGTAGGTAGTCCCGGCGGCAATTGCCAGCAGGCTTCGTTCTTGGAATACCTCTTGGCAGCCTCTGCAGCTGAGACCTTTCTCCAGTACACCTGTGGAGGTGTTGAGATACGGGAAGTTAATGCAGGCGGCGGTGCGGAAATGGAGCCACTCCTTGTCGAAGAGGTATCGCATCGGGTCTGAGGTCTGTATGCCCAACTCTTCTTGATACCAGAAGAGGTCATCTACTAACACGCATCGAACATTCTTAACCATCTTTCTGGGGCGTAGATGGTCGCGGACGCGCATAACCGCCATGGACGACTTGAGGAGTGACTTGAGGAGATGCGAACGATTTCCGTGGCCTTTGTACATGCCGAATCGAGCATAGAATGGGAGGATCTCTTCCGTCCCGATCATTGACATCCGAGGCGAGGTTCTAAGACACTCGTGGCACGTTCTAGTGCATGTCGGCAGGAACAAAATTGGCCCATACGCCTCGCAAAAGCCGCACTTGGAGGACGTGAGAGCGAGATGGATCTCACCGATGGTTACATGACGGCTTAAACCGGTACGGATGATGCTGGTGATTGCGGCCTGCCCATACTCCAAGACCTCCCTGCAGTCCAGAACTGTTTCGGTGATGCTGTGAGCTTTGGCATTGGCGTTGCGGAAGCAACGAAAAGACTTGACATCAAGTTGAACAAGTATGTTGTTCATGACGTCGGATGGAAGCTTGTTGAAGTGACCGAGCCCTGCGGTGGGTGTCCCAAGAGGATTTGCAAGACCCTTAGGGACGGAGCCAAGGTTTTCTAGCATGGGGAAATACCACTTCTTTCGGATATAGGAGCATTTGCGGCGGATGGCAGCCGCCTCCTCTGGTGGGGTAGCCAACTGGTCGACACTATCTGTCGGAGCATATCTATCTGAAAGATAGACATCCAGATCAGACATTCCAGTAGGGACTAGGTCGGACGACATGATGGATTTGGAGAAGTTGAAGGGTCGATGTCGCTACTATGGTAGAGAATTAGTTGAAAGATCAAGGTGAGACAATGCAACAGATAATGCCAACCTTGTTATGGGTGAGTGGATATTGGGGTCAAGAAGATAAAGGGAGTATCGACAACCAGCGACGAGAAGACGACACCTTATGGATAGGATGGAGACAATGTGTGGTGAGATGATAGATAGGTTGTCAGATGGGGTTGGGTAATGGTAAGTGAGAGATGGAAGAGTGTTGGGAGAGGAAGAAGCTATTCCAAGACGGAGAGATGATGGAGTAGAAGGTATATCAGGCATTATGGATACTTGTTTGACACTGGCAGACCAAATTCTGTAAGAGATGACGCAAACTTCTGTTCTCCTTTGCTTCCTGGTACTGGCAGAGGTATGACAGCTAGCACTACACGTATCATGGCTCCGAGCATTCCTACGCGACAGACATCTGGGCACAGAACAGTTGAGCTTTCTGAGCCGTTTGAACTGATGCTCACCAATACTGAAGTGTACACATTCCATTGGTCAACAATAGTAACGTAAATAATGAGCAGCTCAGGTTTCTCATGTTCGCCTCCCAAGTGTCCTGCTCTATCTATCATGGGTTCCATCAAGGTTCAGATTCATTCTAAAAGGAAACTGAAAGTCAATTTGAAGATAAAAGGCGACTGAAGTAATTTATTCGGCGAATGACAGGATATTTGATACGAATGTCCTATGTAAGTGCTATCTCAAACTCCAATAAACAACCTAACGCATACTCCGAACAGTACGCCAAATAAGACAAAACTAACTCCAAATCGCGAAGGTCCATCCCTCTGCCTAGCTAAATCCCTTCAAGCAATCTTCTGTGTCATACCAGATCCCTTTACCCTCGGTACAAGAACCCTTCCATTCCGATACTCATACTCCAACTCCGTCCTCGAACCACGATCCTGTTGAAACGACACTTGGATGATGCGCATTATAACCTTGAGAAGGTCTGCATACTCTGGATACTCCTGCTTGACTTCAATTTTCACGAGCTTGAGCGTTTCGTTATCCTTCTGAGCGTCGCGAGCGAATCGACTGATGATGTTCATGTCACGTTGTGTCGAGAGCCCGGCCCCCATGTTGATCCAAAGAACGTTTTTCGCTTTGTGGAGACTTTCATATTCACTCAGAGACTCAGAGCCATCATCGAGAACGACGTAAACAAATCGTGACGAGATATCTTCCAGACGTGTTGGCGTGATTGTAGACGCTGTCCCGTTCTCTGCCAGTGCGGAAGCCAGTTGATCCGCAAAGCTGAACAGATTGTCCTTTGAGCCCGGAAGAATGTTAACCATTAGGCGCTGAGTGGAAGCCACCGCTGTTGAGATGACACAGTAGCATGATTGGCCAATGTAGTCGAATGTCTTCGTTGCTGGTTCGAGACCGCTGAACTGACTACCCTGCAGCAGCTTGTTCCAGTCGTCGTTCGAAGGGTATGGCAATTGTTCACAACGTTCGTCTAAATCACGTGTCAGTAACTCTTGATGGTCAATGTGAGTAGTAGAACATGTACCTGACCAAATATTCTCATTCATACTCAAGATCAGGCTGTAAGCGGGTGATATGTCTGAGAGTCCGACCAGAGCAAGAACACCGCCCGGAACGAGGAGTTTGCGTAAGTTGGCTAGTGTTTCTGGAAGAGAGTTGGCTGTATGAAGGATGTTGTTGACGAGAATAATGTCGTAGGTATTTTGATTGAAGCCTTGCTCAATAGGATCGCGGTTAATGTCAAGACTCTTAAGCTTGAGGAAGTTTTTGATGATGCCCAACTTGGTCTGCTCCAACACTGACAGCGACGAGTCGGTAAGAGTATATGATACACTCTTCTGTTCTCTTAGCGCGTCAAAGATCGTCTGCGTGTTGTTGCTCGTGCTGGCGCTGACCTCAAGCACGTTCAACACAGGCTTCTTGGTCGCATATGATGAGAGATATTGTCCAAGATGCGCCCTCATCTTCTGCATCAACTCCATACCATCTTGCATCCGATTGAACCTATTGCCTTCCAAAAGCAGCGACATCGGATCAGTTGTTCCTTGTAAGATAGCTCCCAAGTTCGGTCCAATCTTAGCCAAAATCTCTCCTTCAACGCCCATGCGCGTAAGCGACGATAAGATCTCAATCGTAACCGTCATCGTCACATCACCAAGCACAAGCTTACTCGCTTGAGACGAGTTGTAAGCGTGCATCCATTGATATAATTGTTTTCGGAAGCCGTTCAATTTGGAGGGATCAAAGTCCGGGATATCCAGAGGGATGTTGTTTAGAGATGCGCGAATAATCAGCGCTGCGGCGCGGGCTAGTGTGATTTGGTGATCGGCTGTCGCTTTGCATAGTGGTGTCCTTGGACGAAGTTCGGAGCCGGTGAAGAAGTTGGCATCGGGTTCCCATTCGACGTGGTACACTGAGTCCCAGTCGTCATCGTCGTGGATGACGAGTTGATCTCGGATGATAGGCTGTACTATAGACATGACTGGAATGTGACGTTCGTGTTGATAAGATAACGATAAGTGAACAAGTTTGGTGAGTTTCTCTCTGCATGAAGCTATAAAGTAGAAGGCAAAAGGTGTAGGCACCAAGCAAGTCCTTATATCCCTCCAAAACCCCAAAATCTTACCACTTCCGGAATGGGGAGGGGGCGATGACATTCGTATCTCCGGGGCGTACCCCAATATTTCTCGGAGCCGCAAAGCATGTGAGACCCTTTAACCCCACGGGGAAATGAACGGCCGAGCTTCCGATACGTGCCCGCGTTTGGGGTAAGTGGTGCCATGACATGTTACCGTGACTTTTTATCTCCTGATCAACGTGGAGTGATGAGATTGAATTGGGAAGTTGGGGAAAACCCCGCGTTTGAGGTTTAGTGAGCGAGGTATTGTTTTGGGGGTTGATTGACGAGGCTGGGGAATAAAGAGTGAGGTGTTTCGAGGAGGAGGGAGCCGTTGATCCCGTTGCGACAGCTGCCATTCACCGTTTCTTCAGCCAATACTGCTTGGTATTTGTCAGACGAATTCCACTGTTCCCGCTGAGGTTACGTTGAGGCTCTGTAGAGGAGCAGCTGATCAGTGAACTAATGCATGTGATTGCGGGAAACTCCACAAATCGCATCCGCAATACCACTCGAGATCGGAGCCGTCGCATTCGTCTTCTGACAGGTAAAATAACCTGATCTGACGTAAAGAGGGGATTTCACAAGCTAAGGGAGATATTTCGGGTCGCCGGTGTTGGATCCGGATGTTCCGGATTTGTTCGGGATGACACAGCGACTGAGGGATATAAACACCTGTGTCACGGCATTATTACTCAGTGCTGCACTGATGTCTTGCCACGTGCTGTACAGTCTGTGAAAAGTAATAGAGTCCAGTTGAGTAATCGTGCCATTTCCTTCTGTGCCGTAAGCATAAGTGAGGCGGCAGTATGTTAGGAAGCAGATGCGGCATTAAGTTTCCAATTGCAGCAGCTCAATTGAAGACGCGGAATTAAGCATTCTAGATTATACTCCTGTAAGTAATTGCAAAGACTGAGATATTAGCTGGGCCTGCTCTAGTAGGTACGTAGGTTCAGTTCACGGCGACGAGCCGCATTGGCGCAACGAGCCTCCCAGTCTTGTCAGTACATGCGGCAATCTCTGAGAGTCAATTCCATCCTCCACCACTGATCTGATGTAGGCCAGATAATTGCGTCGAGCATAGGGTTCGCTTCCGAAGTTACGGTGAAGAAATGGAGGCACCTGGGCTGTGGGGCGTTTGCTGATAAACCCTGATGTGCATTTCATCTATATTAACTGAAGGGGAACGGCCCTCGCTGTAGATGTCATATACAATATTCGCTTTTGAAGTATTGATATAGCTCTAGGCCATTAAGAATGAAATCGATATATCAGTTACGAGGACCTTGATCATGACAGATGCTAGAAGATTTCCATGATCCGGTTGGCTCCAAACAGCCAGAACTTCGACTTCTCCACGTGAGGAAGTACCATCAGATTTCAGCTAGCCAAGTAAGCAGCTGTCTTCTAATGATATGTGACTCATTTCTATCATATGTTCAATTCCCATTTGGCGTACGCTACGAATTTATACCAGTGCCATTGAAGAACGACGATGCATCGTCAACGAAAGGATGTTTGTGCAGAAGGTATCTGGCATGATCCTTCAGATTTTCAACCAGCCCTTGGAGCGGGTATGATATCATGTAGATCTATGAATCGACTATGTCTATCACATGCGTCGTTGTCCGTAGATAGAGCCAACTAACCTTCCATCTCCGATGGGCCAAACTTGGGTTTTGGAGACCCCTTCCACCAAGGCTCCAAGCGCCTCTTATAGAAGAGGCCTATCCCGCTTAAGCACCTTCAGTACACCCGTAGCATGGACTGCAGTGTTTGATGTCTTGAATGCTGACAGAGCCAATGCTGCCGACGCCGGTGACCCATCAGTATCGATACTAATCTCAGTGGCCGACTTATCTAAGGATACCAGAGGGTAGTCTTGAATCAACTCCTCTTTAGACTCTTCGTTTTTCGATCAAAAATTAACCGTCACGATTGAGGAATTGACGGGACTCGTGGCACTTGTGGTCTTGCTGGTGCAGGCAATACTGCTTTCGACGTCCGTCGAGAGCTGACATTGTAGACTGAAGTCAGTTGAGCTCTATACACTCACAACTTGCCTGGGAGGTCGATGGCCAACAGTATAGAGAAACTATTCGCAGAGCACTATTTAACAATGGCCATGCAGATTTAGGACAGAACGAGGGTTAGATCCTTCAGACTCCATGTTATATACAAGTTATAAACATGCTTCGCAGGTATGTGAAAAGAATGGGACCTTGAAATGATTGTAAGTCTCGTGGTGAGCCTATTATTGTACGATCTGCGCTGAGTATTTAATAACTTGGCTGTTCATCATTGTCGCGCGTGGTCTAGCCTAGGATCGATAGCTCAATACAAGTGCAACTCTACAATTGACAAAGAGTCCGTGTTCATTGAAACAGTCGAATATATCTCTTGTTTCAATTTTCTCTCGTGACCCTCAGCCCTTGATATCATGCATTCTCGGTCCACGCCGATTGCAAGCCATGTGCTCCCCAGAGCTGCCCCCCCTCACTGTCAATCTCCAAGTATGGAAACTCACTTGAAAGCACCAACTTTCTTTCACGGCGAGTGAAGTTCTTCATCAAAGGCGTCCAGTATACCTGTCCGTCGGTGTTCCAAAGCCGCAAGATGCCGTCACAGCAGAATTCTAACAGCCGAGGGGACCGACCTTTCGGTGCCTCCTCGCTTGACCAAAAGACCTCATCATGCTTGTTAAGGACTTCGAATCTACCGTTGTTTCGGAAGAAAAACTTCACGCCATTCTCGAACTGTAGAAAGGCTGTCTCGGAGGGACTGACTTTCAGGGTGCCGCGCTGGAAGGTACAAGAGTAGTCTGGTAGACGGGTCAGTGATTGTACAGAGTTATGACCACTATTTGACTTACCAGATGCGTGGATACCTTTGGCCGGAGCGACATGGGTTGGGTTGACCTCCATGCTTTCCTTCTCCGAGACGCCATCTGTGGCCTCTTTGACTACCTCGGCTCTGGTGGCAAGTTGTTGTTGATCCACCAACATGCTCCCTGCGGTACCCATGGAAACGGCGCTCTGAATTCCCTTGAGTCTCGAGTACGCATAGAAAACAGCACCTTCCAGGCCATCATGCGTAATCTCCAGTGTTTCAGTTGACTGCGCGTCATAATCAAGTGAAAAGATACGTATAGGCATATCAGTGTACTTGTAGACGAACCACAGCTTGGTCGTGGTCCCTGGTGGTAAGCCCCTACGGCCATCGTTTTCCTCAAGCGTTTTGATGTCTTCCAAGGGGATAACCAGCCTATCTCCGTTTTCTCCGGGACTCACCCAATCCTGAAGCTTAGCAGCCACGTCGTACGGTCCACATATAGCGGCAAGAATCTGGAGCTCTTTGTAGTTGACGGTGGGTGCTGGAGTGTTGAGTGCTGGAGCGGTCTTGGCTGGCTGGCCGACGAGACTGGTCGGAGGATCATTCTTTACAGGGAGTAAGTCCGCCCAGACTTCAGGCGGAACCAGCATTCGCGTTTCCAGATCAGTGGAGCGCTCTGTTTCATCTCGGAATACAAGAGATCTGCCACTGATACTGCAAGAGTCAATATCAGAAGTACGAGGTGTATGAAGCTCGTCGACGCCCCTGCTCGACTCGCTCGAGGCGTAGTCCGCAACAGGAGACAGGAAAGGATTTTCTTGCACCATGGACCCTTCTTGTGGTATAGGTCGGGAAGATTCCGAAAGGGCTTCGTTGACGATGTCTTGCACAAGGCTGTCCTTTAGATTCGCGTCCAGAAGGTTGATGCTGGGCAGAAGCTCTGGGTGTCGTGTCAAGGTGTTCACCTAGTTCGTAAGGTGTTAGACAACTTAGTGGAGGCATCAAATCGAACTTACCACTTCTACAATCTTGTTTATCTCTTTATCCAGTGCACTGTGTGCAGCAAGGAGAGTGTTTAGTTCAACTGGAATAGCCCTAGGTTTGTCGACCTGACCTAGAAACCATGGGTCAGTTCGCTTAGGTATCATACCAGAATAGCTCAAGACATACAATACTTATCTCGTTGAGAGATGATATCCTGAACCTTTCTTGACAAGTGGTGGTACTGGATATAGTTATCAAAGAGTTTAGAGGTATATGACGCAACACTGTCATAATCGAGCGGCTTCAGGATCTGATGACTTGACCATTCGTTGAAGCTGCGATTTGCCTTGTACTTGGTAAGTATGGCCCTATTATTCATTAGTCTGGATCCAGTGCCATAATGCTTGATATTACCAAGTTTTCTGAGGATCTTGGGCGACAAGAGCAGGAAATTCGCCAGCTATTCTCAGTATAGACGCGACGTCTGTAACGCCTGTTACCTCTACGCCGTGGTTGACAGATGTGATCGCAACTTCTTTACAGACATTCCTCAAGTCCATGGCAGAGCCGATCAAGCCTTTTTTGACACTATGGAGGTTAGCTTGATGCACGATGATTTGTTAGATTCTTACGCTTCAATCATCTCATTCTTGTGTTCCAGGTCAGAGGCGATGAAGGAGATGATGTTCATGAACAATCCGCCTGTTATAAAGCCTACCGTAGTAAGTATGGAGCAGGAAAGTGAGTCTAGTTAACACATACCAGAGATATAGGAGTCTCCGAACGTCTCGTTGAATCTGGGTGAGCCAGCCTCTATGCCATCGATTGGAAGGAATCTTGCAGAGCCTTTTAGACTGGTGATTTCGCTCATCACCCGTACTGATACCATCAGACTAATATCAGCGTCGTCGATCTTAGTGTCGTTGAGTACATTCATGTGTCCGTGGACTTCCATCCTCCCAGTCGTCATGGTGGCAGCGGGTGAAATATCCATCATGTCGACGACCTCGGATAACCGTTCAAAGCGCTTGGACGAGGACGTGATTTTCGGTTGGAGTGTCTTCGTAGTTATCATGGTCTCATCCGTAGCCTCGACGGCGCCGTCGATACACATTGTCTGGGTGTACGAGTTGAACCCCATGCCCTGCGGATAGATGTCAACAAATGATCTCAAACATGGCTACGTATGACAAAATAGATGAGCCGTCCTCGTGGTAAGTGTCAAGAGCGGTCAATTCTAATAAGCCGTGAAAAAAACATACCAGACGCATGCTGTCATTGTAGGGTGCAAGCAGGAGCGGCATGGCGACCTCGGGAAGTGGGATCTGCGGTAGAGATATCGCAAATACTGGAAATGTTAGAAAATGCAGTAACAGGATCGCGGTCCTTTTTTTGAGTCATGGCAGGGCTGACACACGCTCTGCCCTATTGCCGGCATGCTTTGTGGACGAAACTCAATAAACCAGAATGAAAGTTAGATTTTGGCGTTTCACAAAGAAAGGTTTAGTCTTTTGTTAAATGGCTGTTCGGTATTTAAAGTTAAGAGATCTCATGGTGAATGACAGTTTAAATGTCGGATGACTTTTCACTTATGGATCTCCTGTCCTACTTTTCTCCTATCCTCCTATCCTACATTCTTCCAAAGTCACGTGACCTCATTTTTTAATCCTCAGACAGTATTAATGAAACGTCAGACAATGCACTGAAAAGTCATTGGCGGGAAAGGAAAACAAGTGACACCTGCTCTTGCTGACAGCAAAGCAGAAAAGTCTTTACGTTGTGGTCAAGATTCTTGATCACATGATGCGTGGCGAGTCATGTTTTGCAATCCCTGTGTGAATCCCTGGATGTCCAATCTCCTGGCCCCACAAGCTTAAATCGACCTCGCTGGGAAATTGGGGCTTGGCTACCCTATACCGGTCGCACAACAGAATGACAAATTTCGCAATTCATCACAGTCATGCGTTGACACCATACAGCAATGCCCGTCATCAGAGCAGATATTTGAGAGTCTGTATTAAACTAGCTCTCTTGGGATAGCATTGTTGCAAGGTGCAATATGCTTACCCTATAGCTTCCTCTCACAAGACCTGAACTCGAAAAGAGAGAAACCTCAATGCCGACTACCCAACTTACGAGGTCTCGTGATACATCGGCATGGAGTCCAGGAATGCCATATGCGAGCCCTGCTGTTGAAATGTTCATTTGCTGAAATTTTCTTTTTTTAACTTCCTTACCCTACAGAGGTACTGACATGCTTTCACGAGGAGGATCAGATGTTAAAGACAGGAAAAAGCCTTCATTGAGCTCCAACTTGGGCAACAACTCATGCTACAAACTGCATTTAATCGTGCGATGTCTTGGAAGACCTTATCAAGTTGAGTATAGGCTCGGCGTGGTAAGTATAGGCTGACACAGCCTTTCACCCAGCAATAATGCAAGCCCATGTTCACTCTCCAGCGCATCTAATGTGCATTTGGACAGCTCACGACTTGTCATTCTCTCCTGAAAACCTTATATGATATAGCTTTGCCTTAGTGACCATTCGATACTTGCCTACCCTGAGCATTGCTAGCCAACGGAGCGGGCGCGTAGTCAATTTGTCCAAGTATTTGCTAATGATCTCGACGGGCGCACCATTAAGAACTTGGATATCTGACGTGTTTGTAAGCCTTGCTTGGGATTGCGTATCGATGGGCTGTCTTCAGACTCATCAAGAATATTTAGCCCAATTACGTCTATTGAATGAAGCCCCAACGATTCTTGATCCGATCAAAAATGCCAAGTCATCCTCACAGTATCTGTCTCGTTCATCTCTTTCCCTACTCATCTGCTGGCTCAACAAACACTGGCCCAAATTTCTGAACGCAAACCTTGCGCTCGACGTTTGGCCACATTTCCAGGTACACACCAACACACTTCAACACCCCATCGGGCACCTCTCTCACCATTGAGGCCTCAATCTGCAATCGGAGCACTTGGTAGAAATTCGAATCATCGACCTTCACTCCGCTGAAGTCCATCATCATCCTTCGATTATCTCCCAACATGAACTTTGGCCGTTAGCTATGTTACTCGGGAAGCTGTAGAGAGAACTCACAGATACAATATCAACGCCACCGTCGACAGTTGTTGCCGAAACGCTGGATGATGCGTCTGTGACCTTTTCGTGTGATTTGACCTTCAAAATCGCTTTGGTTCCCTCGGTATACCCACCGCGTTTGACCTGGTTGTCCCTGTATGTAAACTCCAGACCGCAGAGTCGCTTGTTCTTCGGATTGAAGAACGCGGCGATCTGAGACACGCTCGTCCAGCCTCCCTTGCCATCCTCTATCTCCCAGAAGAGCTTGTCACTATTTGTACATACTTCCTCACGTACATGCGATGCGCTCGAAAGGCAGTTCTTGGCCAACGGTGTAGGTTTCGCTTTAACGTCGATAGCGTCGCGATCATGGGAAGTAAACCAAACAAACATGTCCTGAAACAGAGTTAGCCTTTATTCCTTTAAATTTGGGTGACTTACCAATCTCTCGAAGCGATTCTCTGCATAACATGTTTCGTGCATATTGCGTTGTGGCCCAGGATGCACCTCGACAGCATCCGGTTCAGCACCAGACTTTTCGATCCTGATTCCGCTGTACCTTGAATTTCTACCATGATGGCACGCGCAATTCTGCACTTCGTTCCAGAAGGTTAAGCCCGTGATTCTTTCACCTCGATAAACGTCAAGATGACCAATTTCTTTAAACCACTGACCAGCATACACAGGTGGCCTTTCGTCCCAGAACTCGAAGTAGAGGCCTGATACATGATCTAGACGTCGGGTGCGTCCCTTTCTTCCGCATGAGATCCCCACGCGCTTGACGCCGTCAAGACGAACAAACCTTGTGCCTCCTAGGAGGCCTTTGTAGTAATTGGGCGCAGCTCGCGGCGACTTGAGCGGGACAACGTCTAGATGGTCAAGATGTACAAGTCCCATGGATTCTAGTGTCGCAGACAATGGAGCCATCTTGCGGGGTGCCAGTCAGTATCTCAAAGATCTAGATAACAAGAATACGTGACAGAACTTACACGCATATGCCCCAGGAATCCTGTTATAGTCTCTCCATGGGGCGAAACCAGCATATTACTTCTTTGTGAGCTTTCGGCATCTTTCATAGCCCCATCAGTCTCCCACCGCCCAAAATTCGTATATATCTGTATTTCACACCGTTTATCAGCTGGAATCGTCTTTTGGAATGATTGGTGCGACGTACCGTGATGGAGTGGAGGAAGAAAGTAATGCCAACAATCCTCTCCCCAGCCGGTCCACCGATAGCAACAGACGCTTCAAGGGCCGTATCTCGACATCGATAATCAGTTACGAATTCACGGAAGCCGAACTCTCTTTCTGTTCCGTCATTGTAGTAGAAGCCCAAGCCTCTAACATTGTGATTTATGTCATCGTGGAATATGGCGATTCTAGTGAGGAGTGGGAGCAGTGAACCGCTTGGGCCGCCGAAGTCCATGTTCATAATGAAAGTAGGTTGCGATGCTGCTACATCGATGGTGCGAGGCAATATAGTAACCACGTCAGGTTGAGGCGGTGCAGGGTGCCATACATGCTGTCCTGAACTGTCGATAGCAGTAGCGTCGCCTATCTTCTCTACCAGCTGGACAGAAACGACTTTGCAAGCCTACACTCGTTAGTTACTCCCTGTAAAGTGTGGATCAAGACGTACATCGAGGCCAAGCAGCAGACCGCTTATGTATCGGCCATTTTGCGGCTTTAGGATTTTGATGCCAACATAATCGTCAAGTATGCTGACTTTGCCCACGACCTTCCAATCTACTCCACCGAGCTCATCCTTGATCCGAAAAGCAAGCCCAACTATACCACCAAAGGTGGTCGCGACCTTCAAAGCGATGACCTGATCAGTTTCATCGACGAAAAAGGTCGTTTCTTTGTTACTATTAATCAGGCCAATGCGGAACTTCTCCTTTCCGTCTCGCCTCTGTACCCGAAAGCCTAATATATACTGCCTCCCATCGATATACCCTCTGGTAACCGAGATCCATGCACCGCCTCGCAGGTTCAGGTATCGCGAACCTGTAACCTGAATGCCCCCGGAAGGATTTGTGCCCGGAACGCCTTCAAACCCTTGTATCTTATGGGTCAATTCATATCCTGATGAAGCTATATCTTCTCTCAATTGAGCTGTATCCTCCAGGCATGGACGCTGTCGAAGCATGGCGATTATGTAGGGCGTGATCTTCTCAAGACCATTCCAGATCCGAAGCCGATTTCGCATGTGTCCCGTTGCAGAGCTGTCTTTAAGGGAATACTTGAGGTTGAAGTACAGATCTCGCCATGTTTCAGTGCTGTCGTGTTCTAGTGGAAAGAAGTTCATTTCGTGATCACGGGTAAAGCGACTTGCCCAGAAGGCTTGAGGAATATCGCCCGGCTTGCTGAGGTTCGCAATAGTCGTTGATGCCAGTCGGAGGTTGCAAAAAGACACGGTATTTAGCAAATTGATGACACAATAGTTCAGCTCGGTAGAAAGGCTGGAGAAGACGTCCGACGATGCTTGCGTACCGTAAGTGCCTCCATCAACAAAGCGATGCCAATTTGGATGGGTGACGGCTATACTTGGATCGGCTTTCAAGAAATCCCAGTAGCCAGGGTAGCCTGCAAACGTGGCAAGAAACACCGCCGGTTCATTCTGAGGGCGAAGATACGATATCCAACCATCGCTGTTTCTAGGCATACTCTGTATGAAGTCAAACAACGCCTGCAGGATCTGCTCAGTGTCATAGCGTCGCTCTGAGTTCAAGAACATCTGGTCGCGGTAGATGGGCCAACATGCTTGGTGGATGAAGAATCCTTCACTCGGCGGGATGATTGGGTGCGGTTCCAAAGACCCATCTTCATAATATCCGAGAGGCACGAGCGAGAAGTGAGACTTGTCTTCTTCATGCTGGTCTTCCTCACGCTGGTCTTCCTCACGCTGGACTGGAGGATGTCAGTATGGCTTCAGCTACCGGTAAAGTTCTGTTATATTACCAGCGAAGATCTTGCGCCACCAAACCCGTTGTTGTTGTTGTTGGTCTGGTTGGTGGTGGCAGGGGATGGCAATCCCACACAGAGCGCATCTAAGAGGCATTGTCACCTGTGATAGATTCGATACGTCTTTACTTGTCTATGATAAAACGCAGTGTTGTCGATGAAATTTGGATGTTCGGATTAATTGGAGCCGACGATAAACTTTGTTCACGAGATTGCAAGGTCAGACGGCCATCAGTCATCCCGCAGATGGATCCGGCA